AGAAAGCCACCCCGAATGCTTGAAACCTGCGGGGGCGGTTACACAAGGAGGTGGTCGCAGGGGAGGCATAGGGAGGATTCCAGGGGTTGCGATAGATAAATTCATGCTATTACTCAGCTAAACCGATGTATCTCTGATATATCTCTGATATCTCTCTGATATAATACTGGTAAAACATGTAGGAGCCGGTAGGAGCCGGTAGGAGCCAGTAGGAACCAGTAGGAGCAATGGGATGAGTTAAGGTTAAGGGTGGTGCGGCCAGACGGGACGGCGATAACAGCAGATGCATCGGGAATCGTATCAGTATCAGCTCGGCTGCAATTCCTATAGGTAGAGTCTCTAGATGGGAGGATGCCCCCCCCCCCTCGAAGCGGGTCCGGAACCTATGATAACCGCAGGTTTGCACGATGTAAAACAGGCCTTGTTACTGCTACGTATTCGATAATTCGATATTCTCAGTAGGGATTTTAGGCCCTATATGTCATGCACCTTCTCCTCCCTGAGAATAATGTTATAGAATTTGTATACTCCGTAGAGATTTCCTAACAAGGGGGAAGGGGAGAGTGCGTTGTCCCGTCCAGTGACTGTCTGCGTACGCCCAGTTCCACGACAGATGCCTCCCTTCCTTCGCCTCCATCAGCGCTCGCGGAGGTTGCCTCCTTCCTAGGGTACTTCTGCGCCATGTAGGTCAGATCGCCCCGTACCACGTAGCCAATGTGGCTAAGCGCAAGAAGCTCCTTCATCTGGGGGCTGAGGGTCTCTTGAAGCTCTCTCGGCAACTTGGCTGACCAGTTCGTCAGCGGCCGCATGTGAGGGGCTGAGTAGTAGGCAAAGAGGATCGCGCGGTCCTCGTCACTGGTGACGTTGGGGCCGGACGTGTGCCACAGCCGCCCGTCGATCACCACGATGTCGCCGGCGTCCGCTTCAAACGGGACCAGCCGTTCGGGGGCGTTATCAGGGACGTCCTCCCAGGTCGTCCATTTATTCGAGCCCGGAATGTAGAGCGTGGCGCCGTTCTCCTTGGTGGTCCTGGTCAGGCACCAGATCACGTTGACTGCCCAGATATCCAGCCATGGCGCGGCGAGGACGATGCTCTGGTCCGAATGCAGCGCCATGCTCTCCGAGCCCGGACGGGCGATGTTGGCAGAGAAGTTGCTCACCAGCAGCTGTTCTCCCAGCAGGGACTTGGCCAGATCGAGGCCCGTGGGGTTGATGAGCATCTCACGCCAGTAAGCGTCCAACTCCGGAAGGTAGAAGACGCGCACGTTGGCAGGGTTAGGGTCCAAGATCGGCTGGAAGGTGTCTTCACCGTTGGCCTCCAGGGCGTCCTTCGCCTTCCAGAGCCGATCAAGTGCGTCTGCAGCCTCATCTTTGGAGAGGACCGAGGGGATCTTCACCCAGCCGTGCTCTTTCAGGTGGGCCTTGGCCTCGTCCATGTTAATCGCCATGGTCTCGGACTCGAAAGGAACGTTGTGAATCGTCGACGAAGAGTGTTTTTCTCAATCTGTTAGGTGTTGGCTGTTGACTAAAGGCCCCTGGGAATAATATCAAGGCCACTCAGACACGGCTTAGGAAAGGTAAGCAATAGGGTCAGTTAAACACAGAAGAAGCGGTATATGAAGGTCGGTCTTGTTTTCCTTCTTGCCCCAGAGGCGTATGTCGGTACCTCGCCGATGCTACCGTATGTGTCTAGGTACCCTACTCGCAGGTATTCGGCTATGCGACGTGAGGTTCCGAACGTTTTACCGGGGCAGGGCTGCAAGCTTCAGCACTTTGCATATGCATATGCGTCCTCCCCATCTGAGATGACGTGAGCTTGGTGATCACTGATAAGGAGTCTGGCAGGTTTTACCCCGCCGATAGGTAAGAACTTGTTCCGGGCCACAATAAATAGACATTCCATATAAATCCGGAAATGGTGGGGGTTTCGGCATGATTTGAGACAATCCGAATTCCGATGGAGGAAACTGCCCAAAAGTCATATGTACTTTTACAAAATACTCGAGTAGTTTCTATGTTAGCTATTGACTTCAAGTTTTCAACATCTAAATGCTCAATACCATTCTCATCAACCACACCCATATTAACCCTTTGCCCGTATTATTATCGCTCCTATTTCATCACCAGCACAAAACTTTACGATGAAGCCCCTTCTCCCACCGACCAAGCAGCTACACCAATTCTACGGGGGTTCTGACCTATCCGTAAGCCCCCCCTCCCCCCCGAATCAACAGCCCCTACTTATGTCTCACAATCAGTTCCTCTTCTCTAACCAGTTCAAACTTCAAACCATTCTCTCCTTAGGCTCTCTTCTCCAAATAATCCTCTGCGCCACTTTCCCCCTCCGCTACGCCGCCGTCCCCGCCACGACTCTTCTGCTTATCTCTATCCTCACCACCATCCAACAATGCTTCCGGCCCCAAAAATCCCCCTTCATGGTCGGCGTCCTTCCAGGAAGGACCACTGCTCAAATCCCCGATGAATTCGGACAGTACGGTCCTGAGCTCTCCAAGGGCTCGGTGGTAGTATTTCACCTCGGAATACAATATAACCACCCCCTCGGAATTTTCGCACCGCACATTCGACAAATTGCGAACCAATTTCAAGCCATGGACGAAGATATGGTCCGTCGAAAGGATGAGCTTGGCTTGCTAGGAGTTTCTATGTGGCGTGGGAACGAGCGTAGCTCAAACAATACTATGCTCATAAAGTACTATTTTAAGGACACCGAAAGTGTCCATCAATTTGCCCGCGAGGCCCATCATCAGAAGGCCTGGTCGTACTATAATCGCCATAAACCTAGTTATGTGGGCATTTTCCATGAAACTTTCATTGTAAATGGCGGGTATGAGAATGTGTATGTGAATTGCTATCCCGTTCTGCTTGGTAGGGGTGAGGTCAAGGCCACTGGAAAGCAGAATGAAGAAGGCGAGTGGTTGGGAACACTTGTTAGTGCTGATAACTTGCGCCTGAACTGAAATCAATTAGCTCGAGGCTGGGCAAGGACGATTAGATTTCCACTTATAGCTATAATAACGCTGGTGAAATGGGCTCAATACATGTAAACTGCGGATGCGTTTACAGAACTGATTAACAGCTAGTTAGATAAGGGGGACTCAATAAAAAAGGACAGTTATCCACTCAATTCTATTTATTAGACGTAAAGTCCTTTTATTGATGAACAAGTGCTTAGACGGAATGTGAATAGCTAAATAAAACTGCTTGCTTTCCCCAACAAAATCTTGATCGTTCTCAACGCCACTCATCAATACATGTGCCTGCCCCTTCATACCGTATTGAGCCTGAGCAGGCTCGCGTGGCTAACCTCGGGTGTTTGCTCGGACTCAATGCGATGAAGGAGATCAATGTGCTGCTGACTCCGGGGCTCAACCTTGAACTGAAAAGGGGCAGGACGGTTCACCATACCCGGAATAGCCTCGAGAGTCACAGGAATTTCATTACCTTGGGCGTCCTTGGCCTTGCAAACGTTAAAAGCTGCCAGCAGCTGCACCACCGTGATGTAGACACTCGCATCCGCGAAGAAGCGACCAGCGCAAGACCTACGGCCGTAGCCAAAGGCAAGCTCACTAGGATCGGGCTCGTTAAGTGGCTCCATGTATCGCTCTGGCTTAAAGGTGCGTGGCTCCGAGTAGTCCTTAGGATCGTTTAAGAACCACCAAAGGGACGGAAGAAGATAGGAGCCTTTAGGAATAAGATACTCTCCACAGATAATATCTTCGTCAGACTTATGGGACAAGCCCATAGGTCCTACGGGATTCCATCGCCAGGCTTCTTTAACAATGCCATCAATATAAGGCAGGTTAGCCCTATCGTTAAAATTGGGGAGTCTTTCCAAGCCAACAACGCGGTCGATCTCTTCTTGTGCCCTCTTTGGTACCTCGGGGAACATAACAAGGGCACAGATAACGCTATGAATAATGGCAACGGTGCTGTCAGAGCCTGCGGCGTAGAGACTAACGGCGGTCCACTTAATAGCCACTTCATCTTCCGGGTCCAACTCGATCCCGCCTCCCGCGTCGGACTTGGACTTGGTCATATTCTTCTCCAAAAGATTGGAAACGTAAGAGGGAGGATTGGCCTTGTGTGCCATCTGGCGTTTAACAAAATCATAAGGGAGGTGAGCGGCGGACTCGTTAACGGCCTTCCATTCTTGCGCAGTTTTCCTATAGGACATGCCTGGGAACCAGTCGGGGAGATATTTAATGGCCGGCACAGAGTCAACGGCCCAAGAAAGAGGCACAAATGCTTGAGAGAGATTTTCCATAGCGTGCTCGACCAATTCCACTAATGGATCAGGGCTATTTCGGTCAATCGTATAACCATACGTGATGTTTAACACAATGGCGGCAGCAAGACTAGGAAACATTCTGAATTAGACAATAATACATGTGGGATATCATAGGGCATCTTACGTCTTCAGATGTTGTAAAATTTCATCAGGTTTATTCAATGTCTGGAGGACAAACTGAAGTGATTCTTTCTCCTGGATGGGCTGGAAATTAGCGGAGAGACCTTTCGTTCCAATCTCCTGGTGAACCATCTTTCGGTGCTTGCGGTACTTGTCATCGTACTGGTGGGAAATGAGGAAGTTCTCGAACCCGCATAGTTGAGCAAAGGTGAGCTGCGGTCTTCCCGACGTCTTCTGGGCCTTCTTTCCCATGACAAAATGGGCAGCGTCTTTGTCGTGGAATATGACCAGCGTGAGTCCCATGACATTAATAGAGCTGATAGGGCCATATGTGTCTTTGTGCTTGAACCAGTGCAGGTACTCGGCCTGCCCTGCAGATGGGAGATCAAAGAAATTGCCAATAACCGGCAAAGGCTTTGGCCCAGGAGGGAGGTTCCCTTTGGACTTCTTCGATTGTCTTCGGAAGACCAGCAGGGCGATGAAGGCCGCCAGGGCCACACAGCTCAGCTGAAGAGTGGAAAGGCCGTAGGACATCTTGTATAGATTTTTGATGATGAAATCTCTCGAAAGATGGGTGTTTTGCTGCCTGCAATCAAGGCCTTGATCTGGCCCCTGTGATATATCTGTTTTGCCTCACGTCGGGAACCCAGGGTATTTGAGTCAAGCAAATGTATCTATCAACCACATACGAATCTTGATGAGACACGAGCGTAAACCGTAAACCCAACGATGGCTTCTCGTTGTCTGATGTGATTAGGTCTGAGCCTTTTCCTCTCCAGCACCTGTAGTAAGAGCAATGCCCGCTCCGTGAGAGCTAGATTTCGGGGTTGTTTTCTTCCCCGGGCGACGAATACTGCTGCTTCCCGTTTTGGGATCATGATTGGCTGGCTTCCACTGCCGATCCGATTCGACATGGGGCGCGTAAGCTCAAGTGCCGAATCCAGACGACCAATGGAAGAACCTGGATGCTCTAAGCGTCGGCGGTGTATGTGTATCTCAACGCCACGGGGCGCCCCTATAGAATGCACCTACCGAGTATCTGTTCTGAATATGAGCACTTTCCACAGAATACCAGGCACTAGACCATACATGGGGTGGTTTCGGACCAATATACCTACTCGGTGATGTTCGCTCATCCTGCCTGCCTACGTACGTATCGTCGTCCTGCCATGCCATGCCATCTCGATTCTCCGAGGGTTTCAGCAAGCTCCACCTCTGACTGTACTAGACGGCTATGGTTCTCACTTTCATCAAGTATTATTTGCCAGTTGTTCTTTTACAAGTGAGGTAATCATGGCAGTCATGCACAAGCTGTTCAAGTCCCCCTTCTTCGATTTCGAGTTCCTTCGTTTGCTGGCCATGGCGCCGCACGAAGGTGCCGAGATCGGAGAAGCCCTCGAAGCAGCAGCCAAAATCAAGGACCAAGATCCGGAATCATGGTACAGCGTCCTTCTCGAAACCGGCAACAAGGCTGAGACCATCGCAAAAGAAGCTGAGGCAGCGGGTGATCGTGTAGGTGCGCGGCGCGCCTACTTGCGAGCATCGAATTACCTTCGTGCAGCACAGTTCATGCTGAATGAAGGCCCTATAGGACACGATAAGAGAGTTCTTCCAACAATTGAGCGGGCAATTGCGGATTTTAGAAAAGGGGTTCAGTATCGTGATGGAAAGACGATATTCTTGGAGATCCCGTACGAGGACGGACCCAAGTTGCCTGGCTATCTCTACTTGCCGCATGCCTCCAAGCGTATTCCTGGTCGCAAAATCCCCATCCTGCTAAACTCTGGCGGAGGCGATTCTACTCAGGAAGAAATCTACTTCGTAAACCCAGCGTACGGACCAGATGTAGGCTATGCAGTCCTCACTTTTGAGGGCCCTGGCCAGGGAATCGTACTTCGTCGCCACAAGCTTCCCATGCGTCCGGATTGGGAAGCCGTCACAGGCCCGGTTCTGGATCACCTCTTTGACTTGGCTTCTCGCTATCCTGAGCTTGAACTTGACCTTGATCACATTGCCGTTACAGGCGCGTCAATGGGTGGCTATTTTGCACTTCGCACAGCCGCAGACCCACGCATCAAGGCATGCGTAAGCGTCGATGGGTTCTACAGCTTGTCAAGTTTTGTGGGAGGCAGGATGCCAGGGCCACTATTCAACGGCTTTATGAGCGGCTGGCTATCTGACGGTGTTTTTAACGGAATACTCAGCTTTCTGAAGAAGCTCGACTTTCAGGCCCGATGGGAGTTTAACCACTTGAAGTGGGCTACCGCCTCCAAGACAGATGCAGATATCATGCGCAGCTTCGTCGACTATACGTTGCTCAACCCAGATGGCACAGAGTACTTGGCTAATGTAAAGTGTCCCACGCTGGTGACCGGAGCAGGAGCGAGCTTCTACTTCAACCCAGCCACGACGACGGATAAGATATACGACTGCTTGACTAGTCTCAAGGACGGCGTGGATAAGGAGAAGTGGATTGCCCAAGATGTCGCCTACGGTGGACTGCAGGCTAAGATTGGTGCTTTTGGGTATTCGGCTCAGAGGACATTTGAGTGGTTAGATGCCAAATTTAAGATTGAAAGAGTGCCCTTGAAGGCGGAATCAAACTTGGAGGCTCTTGTGAGCACGGTGTAGGAAGAAGCATTAATGATAACAGCAAGAAGCGACTGTGAAGTATGAATGAAGAGGAAATAGCCTTAGGTAGAAGAATATAGTTTATGTGAAGCGAAAGATTTCACCCCTTTTCTAGCTACCTACGATCTAGTGCAATGACTTCATATAGCAATACGAGAGTATCTGTAGAGCTAGAGCAAGGCATCATGGAATAAGATTGAAAATTGTAATACTGTACTATCAAGTGTGTACCTCCAAATATGCTGGCTATTCTTTGCGCCAGTTATCCAATTTCAACAGTCTCCCGTTCCAATTTACCAGTCCGTCAAGCCATTGGCATATATTTCATGTCGTAGCCTTTACCACAACGCCGTCCTGAGTCAATTCCTCTAAACAAGTTCACCCCTCCATCGAGGGAAGATGGGAAGGAGGTTACTACCAAGAAGCCAGAACTATTATTGCGTCAGTGACTACGGGATAGGCATATATGTGATAGCAGAATGTACTTACACCATACCAGCAGTACGAGATATAGTCGTCTTTCTCGTCATGGCTAGAGACAAAACCACCCAAACACCGTAGACCCGCAGCAGCATATACCAGACTGGCAATAGCTGGTGGCTTCCAGAGGGCAATCAACCCTAAAGTCCACGCTGTAGTCATTGCGGCCAATGACCAGCGGGCCACCGGTTGAGATAGCAGTAGCGGAATAGTCTTACGGCCCCTTGTTGCATCAGCTGAGCGATCACGAAAATCTTGAGCATGGCCCTAAATGAGTTTGCTAGAGTTAGCATGCTATTGCCACATTGGAACCAAAATTTCGAAAAAAGACTCACAGTAGTAGCGAAGATGGCACCAATCATGAGCACAGCGATGGCCTTCAATCCATGCAACTCTTTCCCGTGGTCTTGAAAAATCATCACTATCAGCACATAATAAAAACATCAAGTGATAGTTCATACCAAGAATTATTGTGGTTCCCCAACAGTAACATGCGAGTCCAATAGCTCCAATCACATTCTTCACTACTGGAATAGCGGCCAGGCCACCTTCATTGTATATCACGATGGCAACCGAGTAGACCAAGGTGCATGTTGTCGTGTTTGTATGAATCGCTGCTACCCACATCAATAGGAAGAGGACGTAATAGAGGAGGGTAGCCTGTGCTGGTGATATGCGGCCAGAGGGCAAAGGCCGATGTGGCTTTGCTATTCTGTCCTCCTCTATACCATCGAGCTAGAATCTCTGGTAAGCATATTTTGTCGTCATTACGTGAGATAAGAGATCGAACCAACCTGGTTTTTTACCTGACTGTTATGTCAATCAACTTTGATCATTCTAGCTTGAAAACAGAACTTCTCAACGCACCTGGAAAGTGAGAAGATGTAGTTGATTCCAAATGAACCCCTTGGTGATCAGGTGTAAGTTGGATGGTCCAGCAAGAACAAGAGCTATAGCCATCTAGTTACCTTGTTAGCTAGTATCCTCTTTTTACAAACATAAAGCTAGCACCTGTACATACCGAAGGTAAAGCAGCCGCTGGGATGTCGGATTTTCCAAATAAATAGAGAGTCTTTAGAAATTTAAAGGGGAGGGCCCCCGTCTGTACGCTACTCTTCATGGCTGCTAGTAATTGATGATCCTACGACGTTGTAGCCTAGGAAATTAATACTAATGTGGAAAAATGTAAAAGAAAATGGCTTGCAGCCATATTATCATAAGGAGTGGCTAGTGGAATAATTTAAAGAGCTGAGTGCGTCAAGCAGTCGGTCTCTAGCTGTTTGATCCATGCCAAGCGATACAAGTAACAACATTTTTGCACTAGTCTCCCCGCTGGAAATAATTCCCATTTTCACGCTATAATACTGTTATTTCAAAGTTCCCGAACACTTCCGAATATTTGCAGCAAATAAGATGCAGAGATACAGGCTAAGATAACAAACCCTACAGGGCCCGTGTGTTGATACTCTGGACACGGTAAGGGCACTCACCATCCACGTCTACCCTGTAGCCAATGGAAAGATAACGGTCAAGTTCATGAATGGAAGCTTTTGTCTGTAGCAGGGATGGCATCAAGATTCAGGATGAAGTATTCCATATCGACGCGACAGAAGACTTGGGGAAACTTAGCAGATCTCATCAACAAGAATTATAGTAAGCCTGTTGCTTCGGTTTGTAGAGCTAGAAATATGTCGGCATGATTGTAGAGGATTTTATGATCAGTAAGCCTCATATTATCATTCATATCAATGTTGCTACGGTACATATAATTTGCAGGTATCCCAGCGTTGAGTTGACGAGAATGGTGTTCCATGCTGCTCACCTCTCACTACTTTGCACTAGGCGATATCCCCGTAGCCATCGATACAAGGGTATTCAACTAACAAAGGTAGAGAGAGCGTACTTTTTCTATGCGAGTCACTTCTAGAGATAAATTTGGAACGTTGGGATGACCTAGGTAGATCCTAAGTACACGTACAGAGTGCACGTACAGAAAACAGCAGCAATGAATTACTTGTTTTTTCACGGAGATCTTTATTCATGGGTCTGCCATAGGAAGCAAGGTACTAAGCAATATTATGCATGGACACGCTGGTCGGTCGTCGGATGGCCGAGTCGTGATAAAGCCAGGTCCCCACTTCTCCCTTTGTTTTCCGCTCTAAATCCGCTAAACTAAAGCTATTTACTATTAAAAGTCATGTAGTAATTAAGCTTAGCTACAATATTTAGGTATTTCTTCTACTAAGTAGATGATTCTAAGTATAAGGTGGATACTAATCAAAATCTTGAAGTACTAGATATATACCGTGACCTTACTAATATTGTTTTTTTACTATATTTTATGTACTAAAGAAGAATCTAAAGTATAAAATATTTATAAGCTTAAAAATATAAGCATAATATATTTATAAATTATAACTAAATAAAATTGTCTTGGCATATCGCTTGTTCTAAGTTCGTAATACTCGGTACGTTAAATTAAAGGGGGGCAATGTGGGTTTAGCCTTGAGAGCCGTGGCTTTATCACCATTCGGATGACCGAAAACCTCCCTGTCGAACGGCTTGACCACTGCTTGACCGAACCGGCGGGTTCTTACCTACCAACCGTAAATGAATAGCGTCTGATTTATGAGATAATCATATGTAGACTTTGTATGTACTTGTATATGTTTACCGATCTAGAAATATTTACGGGCAAATAATCCGATATATGATTTGGAAACTGGAGGAGTGAACAATCGGGACAAAGCTTCCATTATATACTTGTATAATTCAACCAGTTTGTTCTTAAAGACGTCAACTCCTACTATCGACAATATGCAGAAGACGCCCATCAGCCTGAATATTGCGTGTATATTTTGAACTTATCCATTGAGAACCAATCGCCCTATATTGATTCTGGCTAGATTGACATTGCAAACACCCACCTCTCCCTTACCATCGCCATCGCCATCGCCATACTCATACCACCTACTCTGCATATCCTCACTTCAGACACGATGGGCTACACACATTCACCAAAAGAGCCCATAGCCATCATCGGCAGCGGGTGCCGCTTCCCGGGAGATGCAACATCTCCTTCAAAGCTATGGGACTTGCTTCACTCACCACGGGAGCTCACTAGAGAAGTTCCCGTAGAAACACGTTTCAACGCCCAAGGCTTCTACAATGTCGATGGCGAGCGTCACGGTGCCAGCAACGCAATCAAATCATACTTCATTGAGGAAGACCCACGGCACTTCGATGCTGGATTTTTCAGTATCGCACCACACGAGGCTGAATCGATCGATCCGCAGCAGAGATTGCTGCTTGAAACAGTGTACGAGGCTATGGAGAATGCAGGACTTACACTACATGGGATGAGAGGAAGCGAGACTTCAGCTTATATGGGTGCCATGTCGGCCGATTACACGGATACGCAGCTTAGAGATGTTGAAAATATCTCCAAGTACATGATCACAGGAACCTCACGCGCCCTTCTGTCAAATCGATTATCCTACTTCTTTGACTGGAAAGGACCATCCATCTCCGTTGACACAGCATGCTCTTCCAGTTTGGCAGCCGTCCATCTTGGTGTTCAAGCTTTGCGAGCAGGCGAGTGTAAAATCTCCTGCGCGGGCGGTTCCAACTTGATCTTAGGACCAGACTGTTATCTTGCAGCCACGAGTCTTCATTTGCTTTCGCCTTCTGGTAGGTCTCAGATGTGGGATGTGGGCGCCGACGGATATGCGCGAGGTGAAGGCGTTTGTGTCTTCTTCATGAAGACGCTATCCCAGGCTTTGAAAGACGGAGATCGAATTGACGCACTCATCCGCGAAACGTGTGTGAACTCGGATGGTCGAACGAAGGGTATCGCGATGCCCAGCGCTGAGGCGCAGGCCTCATTAATGAGGACTGCGTATAGAAATGCTGGTCTTGACCTGTCAAAGGCTGAAGATCGGCCACAGTACATCGAGGCGCACGGTGAGTTTTGATTTTGAGCCCGTATGAGATTTCTGCATCGCCTTGGAACTAATCAGTTGTGCTATTTAGGTACCGGCACACAGGCTGGAGACCCCAGGGAGGCATTTGCCATAAGCAGCACGTTCTTCCCATCTGACCAAGAGCACGATCATAGGCCCAAGCTCGTCGTTGGGTCAATCAAGACCATCATTGGTCATACTGAAGGCTGTATGTGTTACTGTTCAACTTAGCGAATTCCAAAGGATGACTTTTGTGAACTATAGGTGCTGGCATCGCCGGACTATTGAAGACGCTCCTGGCAATGCGGCACAATACCATCCCTCCAAATCAACATTTCCACAACCTTAACCCCAGCGTGAAGCCTTCTTTCAAACACCTTTCAATCGCCACTACACCAGAAGCTTGGCCTACAGTGCCTGCTGATACCCCGTTGCGGGCAAGCGTCAATGGTTTTGGCTCCGGAGGCACAAATTGTCACGCCATTATGGAAAGCTACGTTTCTGAGATTCACGACCATGGTCCGTGGGGAAAGCCACAAGAGCTGCGCGAACTCCCAGCTCCAGTCACACCAGAGGTTGACTTTTCCTCCATTCCCCTCCTGTTTTCAGCTAGCTCAGAGTCAGCTCTGGTCGCTATGCTTGGGAGGTATGCGGAATACCTGGAAAAGACTGATGTCTCTATTCAACGTCTGGCCATGACACTCAACTCTCGCCGGTCAACTTTACCTGTTAGGATATCAATCCCAGGAACCTCGAAGAAGGCTGTGCTTGAAGCGATCCAGAAGCAACTTGCTAAAAGCCGCGTGGGTCCTGGAGCAGAAATTGGCACTCGATCCTCCCTCCCGGAGTTTGATCAGATCAGACGCCCTAAAATTCTGGGTGTCTTCACTGGTCAAGGCGCCCAATGGGCGGGCATGGGTCAAGATCTTATGGAGAAATGTGCACTGTTCAGAGAAACCATCGAGATGATGGAAAAGGCAATGGCACGGCTCCCAGATGGACCAGAATGGTCTCTGAAAGAGGAGATAATGAAGCCACCAAGTACATCGCGACTGGGTGAATCTGAAATATCGCTGCCTATATGCGCAGCCCTCCAGGTTGGCCTTGTGCGTGTACTCTGGAAGGCAGGAATATCTTTCAGCATGGTCGTCGGCCATTCTGGTGGCGAGATTGGCTCTGCTTATGCTGCCGGCAAGATTAACGAGGCCGATGCTGTCAAGATTGCCTACTACCGCGGTGTGTACGCGAAACTCGCGATCGGCAAAAATGGCAAGAAGGGAGCCATGATTGCTGTTGGATTCGGTTACGAAGAGGGTCTCAACTTCTGCACAACTCCGCAGTTCGCCGACCGTCTTACTGTTGCGGCCAGTAATTCGCCCAAAAGTGTGACGCTTTCTGGTGATGAAGATGCTGTTCAAGAGGCTAAAGAGCTGCTTGATGGCGAAGGCTTGTTCAATCGTGTTCTCAGGCTCGATACGGCTTACCATTCGCCTCATATGTACCCTTGCGCGGAGCCTTATCTGGCAGCGATCGAGCGCTGCGGTATTGTGACCGGCAAAGCTACTGGAACTGCTTGGGCATCCAGTGTGTACGATGACAATAGAATGATCACTGAGGCTGAGGATACGGATATGCAAGCGGCTTACTGGAAAGACAACCTCATAGGCCGGGTCCTGTTTTCGCAAGCAGTTGAGCGCGCTTTGGATGAAGGTAACGGTAAGTTCGACCTTGCCCTTGAAGTTGGGCCGCACCCTTCTTTGAAAGGTCCTACTCTGGAGACCATCAGACATATACTTGGCTCGGATATCCCCTATTCTGGCGTCTTGGATCGAAAGTCGGACGACATCTCTGCGCTTAGTGCTGCTCTTGGATTTTCCTGGATGACGTTGGGATCTGGCGTCGTCGACTTCGGTGGCTACGCTTCCGCATTTGATCCGAGCAATGCTGTCATTAATGCGATTGCTCTGCCAGACCTACCGACATATCCATGGGATCATAAGAAGATTTTGTGGCGCGAGTCCAGACTCAACAAAAACATTCGCCACAGAGTAGATCCGCCTCACGCGTTGCTTGGTAGCAGAACCCCCGACGATACGGAATATGAGCCCAGGTGGCGAAACTTTCTCATACTTGATGAGTTGCCTTGGCTACGAGATCATAGCGTCCAGAACCAGATCATCGTTCCTGCAGCCACCTACTGCGTAATGGCGCTAGAGGCTGCTAAGGTTCTTTGCAAAGGGAAGGACGTACTGAGTATTGAGCTTTTGAATGTTGCAATTCTACGCCCAATTGTCCTGGACGAGTCCTCAGATGGCACCGAGACCTTGTTTTCTTTGCGTAGTGATCTTGACTCTAACAAGATCAAGGGCGAGATTCAAGCCCAGTTTAGCCTCAATACTGGCGCGATGGAGGATAGAAATTTGAGAACTGCTGCCACTGGTCAAATTCGCATCATTCTTGCTGGAGACGACCCTGATTCATCAGTTCTACCTCCCTCTCGACCATCCCAGCCACAGTCCGAGCTACTGCCAACTAGCGTCAATCGATTCTATGAGTCGTTGGGAGAGGTGGGATTGAGCTATAGCGGACTGTTCAGGGCTATGACTTCCATGAAAAGGCGTTTGAATATTGCGTCTGCTACTATTGCTGTAGATCAAGATCTCACCGAGAACATTCCTGTTCATCCAACTTGGCTCGACGCCTGCTTCCAGACCTTCCTTGCTGCGTTTGCCGCGCCTCGAGACAACTCGCTGTGGACACCCTTCCTTCCCACTACGATCGGTCGAATGGCTTTCAATCCATCAAGTAGCTTCGGAGGTCCGGCCGCTTCGGTGACTGTACACTCAAATATCACCGAGTTCAAGCCTGGTTATCAGGCAGCATTGCCAACACTGACTGGTGATATGACTATTTATAACTCCAAGACTAATCAACTAGAGATTAAGATCGAAGACTTTGTTATGAGCTCCTTCCTTCCTGCTACCGAGAAGGATGATAGAAGATTTTATCTGAAGAATGTATGGGGACAGGAAATTACTTCTGGAGCTCTATGTGCATCCGAGCAATATTCCGCCCCTGAAAGCGAGTTAAAGGTCATTGATGCCTGTGAAAAGGCAATTCAATACTATCTATCCAAGCTTAAGGCATCTGATTCCTTCAGTGGGATGGCTGAGAAAAGCCCCGGCTTGCTTTCTCTGATCAACGAGCTTGCAGCTCGTAATACCAGCATACCGACTCGATCTGATATTATTTCAATCCTAGGAGAAGTCGGAAACCACATAGATGTTACTCTAGTCCGAACAATCGGCGAGGGTCTCCTTAACTCTTCAACTGAGGGCCTTGGCCTAGTTAGCGCCGAAGCTACACCGGCATCTATGGGTGCTCTTGAGTCCCGATGGCACGAGGAGGGCTTAGGTTTCTCGCAACTTCAGAAGCATATTGTTAGCGCAGCCAAACAAATTTCCCACCAGCATTCAAACTTGAGAGTTCTCCAAGTTGGCCCATCTTCCCCCAGCCTCGTACGCTCGGTTTGCCGAGAGCTCGGCCGTGGCTTAGAGACATATACCGTTATTGATGATTCTGAGCATAAACTTGAAGAAATCAAAACCGCTCTAGCTACAAATCAGCTAAGAGTCAACTTTAAGCAGCTCGATGTTGAGAATGGGACTGTTGAGGTTGATGATCTCCTCAGCGCTGGTTTCTTTGACCTGGTAATTGTTCATAAGGCTTTTACCAAACGGATGACTGCGTTGAAGACTATCCGAAGTCTGTTGCGACCGGGAGGCTTTATGCTGATGATGGCTGCGACTGGTACCCAGCTTCGCTTCCCCTTTTTCTTGCTGTCCGCCACGCCTCCACTTAGTGAAGAAGATGGTTCAGCTCAGCAGAAGCTTACCAACCTTACGCGCGAGGAAACTCACAGTATCCTTAAAGAGGCTGGATTCTCTGGAGTTGACTCTATTGCTCTTGACAACTCACCTGAGAAGCACACATTCTCTGTTGTTGTGTCTCAGGCGCTGGATGACCAAATCAGGTTCTTGAGAGATCCACTGGCATATCCTTCGCCCGTTACTTTGAGCGGAAATATTCTGGTCGTGGGCGGTGCCTCGCCGAAGATTGCCGAACTTGTTAAAGGTATTAAATCCAAGATTTCGGGTGTCTGGCAGGGAGAAATCGTCACTGTACAGTCGCTCGCTGAGCTGACTGGTGAGGCAAACGATGTTGAGGCTGTTCTGAGTCTGACTGAACTTGATCGCCCTGTTCTGAAGGACATCAGTGTTCCCACCTTTAAAGGCCTACAGAAACTTCTGGCAACGACCGAGACAGTTCTGTGGGTCACTCAGAGTGCCGAAGCTGCCAATCCTTACCAAAATGCTACCATTGGCCTTGGTCGATCATTCCAGTCTGAGAATCCCCATAAGCTGCTCCAATTCCTTGACCTGGATACGCTTGATGGAGTCGAGTCAGTTATCGCAGAAAGTTTACTAAAGCTAATCGGCGGCGCTATCATGAAAAACAACGGCCCCAAGGACACCTATATGTGGAATATTGAGCCAGAAATCTCCATTGTGAACAATAAACTCCTTATTCCAAGGTTGTTCCCTGATGGAGCCCGGAACGATCGCCTTAATGCTCTCAAGCGTAAAGTGGAGACTCAAACGACTATCGAAAGACAGCCTGTTGCCATCATCAAGTCTGTACAGAGCACCGGGGAAGCTCTTTATTCTGCTGAGGTACTCCATCGCCATAGTGAGTTGACAGCGAACGCAGAACAAGTTACTATTCAAGTAGAATATTGCTCTATGGACCCTGTTTTTCCTAATATCGACGATGAGGATCTCTTCTGCTGTATTGGTCGCACGTTAGAAGGGACGCAAGTGTTGGCCCTATCAGCTTCTAACGCCTCCGTCGTCAAAGTTCCAAGTGCATGGAGCATCAAACTCGACAGGGGCACGCCACAGAGTGGTGCTTCCCTACCCTTCGTCATCGAGCTGTTGAATGAGATCAAGTCGCGCGTTATCGCGAAGTCTATTCCCCCAGGATTCACTACGCTGATTTACGAGCCTGATGCTCATCTGGCTGCTTCTCTGCAGAAACAAGGTCAACAAGGCATTTCGTTCGTCAGTCACCAAGCCCACACAGCATATAGAGTTCCGGACAATCACATTTTTATTGAGCCGCATTCTTCTAGAAAGGAGGTGCAGGCGAAGCTATCCCCCAAGACTAGGATGCTCATTCACATGGGCCGTGGGACTGACACACGCAAGTTTTCGACTCTCCTGAACGCTCTTCCAACCCACGCTGTTCTTGTTGCCTTTAACGACCTTGCCGCTCACGATATCAATCCTCATGAACTTCTTTCAGATGCCTTAATATCTATACAGCGTAATTCTTCGACATCGACGACTATTCTATTCGATGGCAATAGTGTGATTAAAGCCTCTGCGTTAGTTGCAGGGGGCGCCAAGGAACAATCCAACGCTGCTGTCATTGACTGGACAGACGATCGGATTATCACTCTTAGCCAGAGACCCGTGGACACTCGCAATTTGTTCTCTCAGGCCAAGACTTATCTGCTTGTCGGTCTTACTGGACAAATCGGTCAGTCTATGTGTCGCTGGATGGTAGAAAACGGTGCTCGACATATTGTCGTCACAAGTCGGTATGCAATCCCTTGTTTTGGGACTTAGCGGTGATCCAGCTGTTCTAATGATATACCTCTAGAAACCCTGAGAAGGAGGCACTTTGGAAGGATGAGTTGCTTAGAGAAGGTGCCAATATCGCTATTGAAGCCGCTGATGTTACAAACGAGCAGCATCTTGCAGAGCTACGCACTCGCATTCTTAGCTCCATGCCTCCAATCGGTGGCATTGCTAATGGTGCAATGGTATTGTCTGACAAAATGTTTACTGACATGTCATTTGAGGATTTCCAGACTGCGATGAGGCCTAAAGTAGCTGGCTCAATTTACTTGGAGGAGGTTTTCGCTGGCGATGACCTTGACTTCTTCTTGCTCTTCTCGTCAATCTCGGTAATGACGGGCCAGCGAACCCAAGCTAACTATGCTGCTGCAAACAATGTGAGTTTTCATATTTCTGATATGTGTGGGCATGTTCCAAGCTGATGGACTTTCTTTCTTTAGTTTATGGTTGGCATGGCTAAACAGCGACGAGCCCGCGGCCTTCCTGCCTCAGTTATTGATATTGGCATGGTCATCGGGATTGGTGTCATTCAGAGATCCCAGAATGACGAGGGTATCAGCAAGTTGGAGAATTCCATCCGACAGATGGACTACATGCCTGTGTCTGAACGCGATTTGCATCACCTCCTAGCTGAAGCAATCCTTGTCGGCAAGAGTGACGAGTCTCCAGAGCTCATCACCGGATTAGAGTCGTACAACATCGGCTCTGGAAACAACCCCTTCTGGCACCAGAATTTGCGCTTCTCACATCTCATTACGGATCCTGATTCCGCACCAGTTGGCGCGGGCTCTCTAAGCAGCGATCAGAAATCTCTGAAGGAGATGCTGGTGGATGCTGGTAGACCAGAAGAAGCGATAAAAGTCATGGAAGACGCTCTATTAGGATATCTAGCCTCTTCACTGAAAGTAAGTACACGTAATCGATTCCCTGTGATATATTAAACTATGTTGCTTACAAAAGAATAGCTGCCACTCGAGAGCATCTTCACAGATGTGCCCCTGATTGACCTAGGCATTGACTCACTAGTAGCCGTCCAGATCCGGAACTGGATCTACGTGGAAACTGAATATGATGTTCCTGTATTGAAAATTCTTGGTGGATCATCTGTCAAACAGATCTGCGAGGAGATGGTCTCATCACTCTCTTTTGACAAGAAGCCTGCGACAAGTCCCAAACTCAAGGCTCAAGTAGGTCCAGGCCAGAAGTCTCGCCCTTGGGACAAGCCACTAGACGATACAGCAACCCCAAATCCAAAAATCGTCACAAATGGCAAACAAGGTCTGCCGAATGGTACATCCCGAACTTCAGGAGCCTCCCAGAAGTCAAACTCACTTCGGAGAGGTCAAGCCCAAGTCGCTAAAGCCCTTCGCCCACGCCCAATCCACACACAGCCATTGTCATTAGGCCAGTCACGACTCTACTTTCTGTCACAGTATCTGGACGATGATACCGTTTTGAACTGCGCCATATCTTACTCACTCTCCGGAAAGTTGGATATGGCCAAATTGGAGAAGTCGATCGAGGCAGTTGTTCAACACCATGAGACTCTCCGCACCTTGTTCTACACGGATGAGCAGCAAGGAATGCCCATGCAGGGCATACTCGAGAAGTCAGCTTTCAAACTCAAGGTTGTGCCTGGCATCAGTGATTCATCACGCATTAAGGATGAGTTCGACTTGGTGCACAATTATCACTACAATCTCGAGATGGGGGATACGTTCGTCGCTACCATCCTGTCACACTGCGACGATTCTCATACCATCATTTTTGGATACCATCATATAATTATGGACGGTGTCAGCTGGCAAATATTCCAGCAAGACTTGGCCAAATTTTACAATGACCCAAGCTCAATTGCATCATCCAAATCTCTGCCGACTCAATACGTCGAATTCACTAAGAAGCAACAACGAGACTTGGCCACTGGAGCATACGCTGAGAGACTCAAGTTCTTCCAAGATGAGTTCCGCGAGCCCGTTGACCCGTTGCCACTCTTCCCCTTTGCTAAAGTCGGCACGCGAAAAGCTATGAAGCAGTACGCAGTTCAAGAGGTTGTCTCGCACCTGAACGCCGATGTGGTGAGCGCAATCAAAAAGGCGAGCCAGACCTCTCGTACCACCTCTGTCCATTTCTTCCTCTCCGCTTTCCAGGTCCTACTCCATCGACTCCTGGATACTAAGGAAATGTGTATCGGCGTGGTAGATGCCAACCGGTCTGACCAGAAATTTACGAACACTATAGGGTTTTTCTTAGAAACTATCCCCTTCTTGTTCAAGGTCGACAGGGAGCAAAAGTTCGTCAACCTGCTTCAAGCCACTCGCAGCAAAGTGTATGCTGCATTTGCACAGACTGGGGTTCCCACTGAGGAGATTCTACGAGCATGCGGTATCCCGGCGTCGACGACTGAAACGCCGCTCTTCCAGATATGCTTCAACTACCGCATGGGAGCTAGTCACACCTCTCCGCTCCAAGGAGTGGAGATGAAGTTCCTGGACTATGTTGACGCCAAAAATCCGTTCGACCTTGTCGTATCTGTCGATGAGCTAGACGATGGTACTGCTATGCTTACCCTCTACCTACAAGACTACCTGTACGACCGGGAGGGTGCTCAACTGCTTGCCAGTACATACGCGCGCATGCTTGAAGTATTATCTAAGGACACGGATAGCATAGTTGGTACCGTTCCCATTTCCAATGAGGATTTGACGCAGAAGGCCGTTGAGCTCGGTACCGGGCCGACATTAGACCTTACATCCCCTTCCGCCGGCACATTGTCAAAGATCATCAACACTTGGATAGACAAAGACCCCAACGCTATCGCAGTCAGAGATATCAGTGGCAACTCAAAGACATACTTGCAACTATCTGAAAGGGCCAATGCCATTGCAGCAGCTCTGATTAATGCTGGTGGTGTGCCTTCGATCCCCATTGGTGTCCTACTCGAGCCTGGTGTTGACACGATTGCCGCTATCCTCGCTATTCTCCGCATTGGAGCTACATACGTACCACTGGATACTCGAACCGCGGATACAGTACTTTCTGATATCCTGAAAGAATCTCGCCCAGCAATTTTACTTTATCACGCCGCAACTATCCAACGAGCCAAGAAGCTTCATAGAGGCTCTCCCACAGCCAAGCTCGTCCCTCTAACTGCGGTGCCGCAGAGAACTGCACGAAACATCGAAGATGTGTCAGCTCTAGATGGCCTTGCGATCATCTTGTACACCAGTGGTTCCACTGGTAAACCCAAGGGAATCCTGCTCACCAACGCCAATATTCGAACCCCCATCCTTAGTGTCTCGGAGAGAGTTCCACTTGGACGAGAAGTCGTGCTCCAGCAAAGTGGACAAGGGTTTGACGCTGCAATCTACCAGATTTTCATTGCACTTGCCAATGGCGGTACCTTGATCATGGCTGATAATCGAGATGATCCTGCAAAACTTGCCGCTTTGATGGCCCACGCGGCTGTCACTTGCACCACCGTCATTGTCTCGGAGATGCAATCTTTGTTGAAGTACGGATACGATCAACTTCGCACCTGCTCTTCATGGCGTATTGCTATGGTCGCCGGTGAAACGTTCACGGTCAACCTGCTAGATCAGTTTCGCAGTCTCAACCGACCTGACTTGAAGGTCATCAACGCGTATGGTCCGACTGAAGCGTCCATCTGCTCTTCCATGAGTGAAGTTTCGTTCAGGGACATCCACTCAAATGATGTTAGCATTCCGATCGGAAAGGCAATTGCGAATTACGGAACTTACATTGTGGATCAGGATTGTAAGCCTGTTCCCCTTGGTTGGCCTGGTGAAATTGCGATCGCTGGGCCTGGTGTTGCGACTGGGTATCTCAACCTACCCGAGCTTACTCAAAGTAAATTCAAGAGTCAAACTTCTCTCCCATCGGTCTCTGGATCAGACAATATTTATCTTACTGGGGACAAAGGTCGAATGCTCTCTGACGGCTCCATCATCATCTCCGGGCGCGTGGATGGAGACAATCAGGTTAAGATCAGAGGAATGCGTGTCCAACTCGATGATGTCTCCAGAACTCTTGTTCAAGCATCTCGAGGCATTCTGGCGGATGCAGCTGTTCTACTGCGAGGCAGTGATCCCGCAAATCAGCAGCTTGTCGCATACGTCGTCTTCTCCAGAACCAGCCAAGTTCAGGACACGCAGTTATATCTCCGTCAACTCAGCCAGGAACTTCCAGTCCCAGCATACATGCGTCCAGCAATCTCCGTCCCTCTAGATACTCTCCCAGTGACAGAACGTGGCAAGCTCGACACCAAGAAGCTGGCTTCTTTGGCTCTGCCCAAGGTTTCTATTAACGAAGAGACAGACGAGCAGCTTACTGTGACAGAGGTGCGATTGCGAGACGTTTGGAGAAATGTCTTGGGCGAGATTTCTTCATTCATTCCCATCCGTCGCAGCTCCGACTTCTTTTCAGTTGGCGGTAACTCCCTACTACTGCTACCTCTCAAAGCTGAGATTTGGAAGGATTTTGCAGTTGAAATTTCAGTACCCGAACTGTTCCAGACCAGCACACTCGAGCTGCTCGCTGCACGACTCGCTGGTACTTCTTTGTTAGCACAGGTCAACTGGGATGAGGAAACGGAACTGGACGAGACGTTATTCACACAACCCCTCTCTACAAATGGAGCCAATGGACACGAGAGGTCGAATGGCAACAGCAAGGGAATTTCTGTTCTCCTCACCGGCGCCACTGGCTTTCTGGGAGGTGGGATTTTACGCCAGCTAGTCGAACTGCCGGATGTTGCACATGTTCACTGTGCAGCCATTCGCGCCGACAACCAAGGCGATTCTCGACCACTAAGCATAGAATCTCCCAAGATCATCCGTCATTTAGGTGATCTAGCTTTGCCAAATCTGGGCATGAGTCAGTCTGAAATCTCCGATCTACTCAAAGGCATCGACGTCATCATTCACAACGGCGCGGAGGTGTCGCACATGAAGCACTACCGTAGCTTGCGAGCTACCAACTTCCTATCTACAGTTGAACTTGCACGGTTGGCCGTGAGCCACAACATCCCCATCCACTATATTTCCACCGGAGGTATTGCACGTCTCAGCGGCGCCGATGAGCAGCCCGAATCCTCTCTCGCGGCGTTCCACCCGCCGGTCGACGGGTCAGACGGATACGTGGCATCCAAATGGGCAAGCGAGGTGATACTCGAAAAGGTCCAAAAACGCTTCGAGGGTAAAGTATGGATCCATCGACCTAGCAGCATCACTGGTGAAAATGTTCCAGCCCTGGATGTTGTGCACAGTTTGCTCAAGTTCTCTGGAGAGATCAAAGCTGTGCCTGATCTTACGGGCTCCACCGGATATTTCGACTTTATCAATCTCGAAACTGTTTCGAAGCACATTGCTACTTCCACCGTGAACAGCACGAACGAGGAGAGCGGTCTAACCTACATCCACCAGAGTGGCGAGCGAATTATTCCTGTTGACAAACTAAAAGAGTATGTTGAAGAACTAGAAAGCCAGTCATTGGAGGTTTTGCCTTTAGAGGAATGGGTAGCTATGGCGATTAAAAAAGATTTAGATGAAGTTTTGGGTTCCCTCATGCTAGCTTCTAAGGGGGTAATTCGAGCGCCACTGTTGCAAAAGAGTGGTAGGATCGATTAAGGAGGCAATATTCTACAGTATAGACGGCGTTTAGATGTTCTGGTTTCATGATAAAGTTATTTAATCTTGTATTTCTCTACTATAAATCCAAAAAGTTGAATATTACGGCGTGGTAGCAAGGACTATAGTCTCAATGCTCCGTGACTATGCTCTGCAATAGATCGTATCAAACGCAACTCTAGCTTACATATAATTTCTCTAGCTCCCAAAAAGGTGACCAATGCTCTGCGTCATAAAGCCAACGGAAAATGTTCAATTTTGGTGTCGAACTCTGGTGCTCTAGATACCAGTAAGCAATACATCTATCACAGTTTCCTCGCATGTTTACTTAAAGTGGACGCGGGTGCTCATAAAACATTAGTGCGCCTTTCGCATAATAGCGACATAAGATCTTGTTATCATAATTTAATATTCATTTCATTTCTACGTAAAAGGAGTGTTGATGCCACCACTTTGGCCCTTCTATTGGACACACTATCTGATAACCACCACCAGCATATTTTCAAGCCTTTTGGCCAAACGCAATGATCATCTCAACTTGGCCACCCTCGTTCTCAAGCTCTGCCTTGACACGCGCCGGCAACGAATCAATCTGCTCGACGGTAAACGACGACGGCACAGCCTTCGCCACAGAGGTTAACGGCACAAGGGGTCCAGTGACTCCATGGATACTCTTATCAAAGAACTCAGGCTTTGCCTTCTTGCCCAAGTTGACAATGACACGCTTCTCTTGCACGTTCTTCAAGCCGGCTGCTTCCAACATGTGCTTGTTATTGTTGGCAAAGTCGCCGACCCCGATGCCAGCGAAGAGCTCAGAGGCCATCTTGGCAAAGTCGGTCATGGCAGGGCCGTTCTTGGGCGGACTGGAGCCATTCATTTCCATGAGCTGGACCCAACCTCCAGGCTTTACCAGCGTGGTAAGATTCTTGATCACGGGGGCAGGTCCTTCGGGAGCGGAGCCTGCCAGACTACCTCGGACGTGGACAAGGTCGAAAGTGCCCAAGTACTGCTCAGGCCATGGGTCCTTAAAGGAATGTGCGAAATACGTGATACCGTCTGTGTCCTCGGGAAATAGCTCGCCTTCAACGTCGCTACCAAAGTAGTGGTGCTGGGCTGATTGCTTGCTACGTACACCGCGCAGCCAGGTACCTTTCGACCATTGTCAGCGCCGCGAATAGTACTGTTGGAAGTGGACGCTTACCATCAGCAGTTCCGGAGTCGAGGATCCTCTTGCCTGGCTCATTCATATTGATGGGGGCCACCACGAGTTTACCACCTAAGGCATCATCATAGGTGGCATCCAAGGAAACCAAGCGCTGCAGCTCGGGCTTGTGCCCGAGATCCTTAGTCATGTTCATGAAGTTGTCCATTTTGGGTAATATTCTCTGCTCTTATTGGCTTGCAATTGTCTCTCCCTGGTCAAGCTTGGAGAGCACAGCTGGTGTGTATATATACTTTTTTAAGTACATATGCCCCCAAAGCGTGAGCTAGCAATTCGAGATAAGCCGTTGCTATTTTGCTTGAGGTAGAATATTCAAGTTACTATGCATGATCTTGTACCGAAGTGGTCATTATTCGGATGCAACTGGGGTATAAGTCGGCTCGCCGAATCGGGTGCGTATACCGAATGTAAGCTGCAACGAGACATAGTTTCTTCCAGGTCTTTTATTGCTGTACATTGGAGTGATTGTTAGTAATCTATCTATGGCATACACATTGATACGTAATCCAAGGCGTAGGCTGGCTTGGTTGCCTACTATTCGGCAGAGAAAGGTGATATCCTGCAATCTAGTTTTCTAAGGCACATATTCTGACCGGTTGTAAATTAGAGGAGACGTCATATTCCCATCAACGCACAAAGAGCGAGCCTGTGACAATATACTACACCGTACAAGGGAGAAACGATTGTGAAAATGATTTCCTTGTACAACTTTTTGTGTCTCGCGCTGGCGGGATTGGTGCTCCAGTATGTCGCCGGGATCTTGTCAACGCGTCAACGAATGCAAGGCGCCAAGCTTCCCCCGGGTCCCAAAGGTATGCACTATATTGATTCGAATCTCATTTCAATGCTTATCTTTGCAGAAGGCAATTGGCTAACATGATAAAAAGGATGGCCGTTTCTTGGAAACGCACCAGAGCTAGCTTCAGCTAACATCAACGGCATCATTGGCATCTTCAAGAAGTGGGGACAGGAGTATGGCGCTATTACTCAGTTCAGTGCCATGGGGGACAAGCAAGTAATCCTTACTGATGAGAAAATCGCGAGAGAGCTATTCGTCAAGAGGGGAAATAAGTACTCTGATCGTGGAGCCCCCCATGCTGTGGAATACATCTCAATGAAACAGAATCCTGGTTTTAGGCCAAAGGACGGTAAGCAACTTACCTTTCCACAGTAGCAAGAGACATAGATCTATCTCCAGAATGGTTATTGATAAACTACAGAGGGATGGCGTCGCCAGAGAAGCATGATGCAGAGCGCGGTCAACATCACCTCCATCAATAAATACCAAAGCCTCATGGACGATGAAGCAACGTTTACCTTGCACGCGTTGGTTCAATCTCCCGACTCTTTTCACGGCGAGTTTTTGCGATACTCCTACTCAGTGCTCACAACTTCGCTACTCGGTTTCTCAGTCCGCTCTGCATCTGACCCATATATCCGCCAAAATGAAGATTTTACGGCCGAGCTCATGAATTCTTTCCGTCCCGATTGCTTCCCTAGCAATGTGTTCCCAGTACTAAGAAAAATGCCTATGTGGCTCATGCCTAGCTTGAGAACGATGGAACGACTCAGGAAGGAGTATGTAGACCATATGTGGGCTTTCCGGGGTAGGATGGAGAAGAAGGTTAAGGATGGCTTGGCGACAGAGTCCATCTATAAGCACTTCCTTTTGAACAGAGACGAGTATAGTGTCACCGATGAAGAGTCAGTTCATACTTTTCAAGCTATGATTGACGGTGGAACCCGTTCCCCTCATAACAACTTACTCACGTTCTTGTTCTTGATGATGGAGTTCCCTCAGTGGCAGAAGAAGCTTCAAAAGGAGGTTGACGACGTTGTTGGTAAGGATCGGATGCCAAGCTATATGGATATTCCCAATCTGCCTACTGTGAGAGCTATTGTGAAGGAGACTGTGCGATACAGAAGCATCGTTGCAGAAATGGGAATCGGCCACTGCTTAGACACGGATGACATCTACGAGGATTACTTTTTTGAGAAAGGAACTGTATTCAACGCGATATTTGCGTAGGTCTTTAACCATTAACCCCTATTGATGTATAGATTCCCCGTTGACACTGATTAGATCTATCCTCATGGACAAGGAAACTTATCCGGACGGCGAACTTTTCAACCCTGCCCGGTGGCTTGAGCCCAGCTACCCGACCTACAAGGAACCTCTAACTTTATATCCTCACTGCCGCAACTTTCCAGCATTTGGTTACGGCAGGCGAGCATGCCCGGGCGTCGATTTTGCAGAAAGGACCCTAGTCATAATGTTTGCTAAGTTAGGATGGACGATGAACATCCGATGGCCGGCAGATGAGAATGGCAATGAACTTCGAGAGACACTAAAGTATGAGCCAGTGCCAGCTCCCAGACCATTGAAATTCAGTTGCAAGCTTGAGGCTCGGGACTCAGAGCGAGTCAATATTGTAGAGAGGGCAGCACGGAATCTGAATCTGCATTAGCAGGCATAGGGAGACGTACCGCACAGAGAGTATCTTGCAGCATAACAGCTCGCCTCACCACAACGGTGTGCTATAGAGAATGGGACACGAAGTTTTTGCTAGATAGTAACTATGTTGTCATGGGATCAATCAAAAAGTACTCTATATGATGAATATTTTGTCAAGTCATGAGCTCTCCATGAGGATCTTCAAGAATGGGGGATGGATGATATTGGCTTAATGAGAGAGAATACGACAATAAACCTTTTGCCTACAGGGCCTCGGCAGCAATAGTGGGTGCAATAGTGAACAGGATTCTATGTCTATATATCATCATATCTATATCATCGTCTATTCCAGAATTCTATTGCCATTAAAGCCACATCTTTGCCTCTCGAAATGGCAATTTCATGCCCTCCACTTAAGACGTAGGTCTCCACAGCCTCCATCCCAAGTATTTCCATGGCATCCTGCTCACATTCATCTCCCACAACAATAGCGTCTTTCTGAGCCACTATGAGGCAGACCTTTCCACCTCCCAGACCCGGCGGAGCATCCATTGCCCGCCTATAGGCTAGCTCATCGGCCAACACCTTCCACGTCGTGTCATGTCGTCTATAAACTAGAGCGCTGCGGAGGGTACTTAGGTACGAATGCACAAAGCCAGCGTTTGCTGCTAACTGCCATCGGATAACATCGCCGATCGATATATCTGGCCGATCCACCGCAATAGGCACTTCGTCAAAGTTCCAGTCCACTTCGTCGTATTCCTCAGGGACATCAGCACACGGTGCGCCATTCCTAGGCTCCAAGCTATCGCGGAAAAGTTTGAGGCGCAGCCACTCTGGAATTATCCTAGAAGAGGAGTATAGAAATCGGTTTCGAGTGCTGATGTGCGATGTGCGGATTAGTCCTCCCGGACAGACGAGCGTCATGGAGCGAACCATGGTGGCATGGTAGGCGGCGAAGGCCACGGCGATGGAGCCACCGAGGGAAAATCCTATGATGTGGAAGGCGGACGTGCCAGTCCAGGATAGTGGGGAGGAGGAGAGCACAAGAAGGATTTGGGTAGTGTAGAGTCTAGCATCGTAGGCCAGGTCATTCGGGGCGTCGGAATAGCCTCTGCCAAACAAGTCTATGGATCATGATGTCAGTCAGAGCGTTCTCTTTCTAATGATATCATGGCCACTCGATGAACGGTAATTTCCTGGTACAGATCATGGAGCAGAAATACAGCTCACCATATATCATGACTCTATACCCGCTACCAACGAGCTCTTTCGCCATATCACCCAAAGCTATACAAGGTGTGCCAAGGCCGTGCACCAGCAAGACCTTCTCTCCATCCTCAGGACCCCATTCAAATACTTGGATTGTTCCATATACACTCTTGAACTGCCTGCTTCCAGGGAAGGCGTTGATCGGGTAGGGTGGTTTAGAGAATGGTTTTCTTTCTTTGGCCTCTACCCCAGCGTTTGCAGAGATGAAAGTATGTTCTTCGGGCGTATGCTGCACATCTTTGAGCGAGGAGCCAATTTGTCTGTACACAGCTATACATATTGCCGCTGTAAAGGCACTTATAAGAGCTGCTTGTCTGAGGTCCAACATGATGAAAGCAACCAGTCCCAATGCAAAAATCTTGAAAAGTATTCTATATGACCCGTCTAGTACTCATGAGGTGCAAACTCTTGTCAAGCTATTGAGAATCATTGCCTTGCTTGTCCTAACTTTGTATCAGATACCAGACGCGGTCGAGACACATGTTGACCAATCCCTCCTAGTTGCCTCTCCGGGTCGGAGGTTCCATAGTTAGGAGGTGCATCCTACGTCCGTGAACAAGCAAGCCCCACACCGAGGTCGGCTTTAGAGTCTAATTCTTCATAGCTAGGGGCTAGATAAATTGAAAAATTTACATTATAACGAAGGATCTGCTACAGGTGCATGCATGCATACATTTGAGCTCAGCCGTGACGATCCACACGGACATGGTGTAGTGTTGATCCTACAGATAGGAAACACATGTATCTACGTCCTACTCTTCACTAAGCACAGGTAGATTCTTCTACTCCTACATCTATTAGGTTCGGTCTGATGGGTGTTGTTGCCCAAAAAGGTAACTTCCGATAATTGCCGAATAGGGGCTTATCGGCGTGTCGCCCCTGAGCGACTGCACGCTAGGCTTGTTTAGCATAGCAACGATATTGGCCAATAAGAGCCTAGGATCAGGCCAACAAGTACCAATTTCCGTATTTCTCATATTTCTTGTTAATTATCATAAAAACTATCAAAACAACTACCTTTCTTACCTCGTACCTAGTGCGACGTTGCATGCCAAGCAGCCGTACGTCAACCTCGTAAACTTTTCTTTTATAGTGTAAACTGCTCTCAAATTTCACTAAGAACCCGGTCCTTGGCCAGAACTTGACCATTGTGATTGACTTTCCACTGGGAAGACTCCTGATTGACCCCCCTTGTCCCACGATAGTGTAGCAAGCTTGGGGTGTTAGTCGGCAACGAAAGAGCTCGGCGTTTCCGGTACGGGGTTTTCTTCGGGTCGGCGGGTTCACTGGGGGTCGATAGGTCAGGAAACACTACTGTCACTTCATCATACAAATTTGAGCGCAATTGGCTGTCGAACATAGAATATATGCTGCTGTTTACGGCTCTATTTACTACGATTCCCAGGTGCCACGTAACCGCTGAGGGGGATAGCACTCCTCCAAAACTGCAAAACTAAACCTTATACTATAGGAGACTTGTAAAAGGTTTTCAAGTAAAACATATCAAACCAAACGTTTATGATCCTCGTGACTTTAGTATGCTTAACCTGTCTAATCACATTCCGACTCCTGCAGTGAGTATTAAACCGCTGATCAAAACATTTTCCCGTTCATAGAGTAACCCAGTATGAGAGAGCTATGACGAAGTTTGTAATTTGAGCAGCTCCGGTTTCTATTTCTACTCTCCCACTATAATATCATGCACCTATTTGAAAACCTTGCCATCGGCGTGCTTGTACTCCTTGCCGTTGACAGTAGCAGGCTTGTCCCAAGTCCACTGAGCCTCAACAAAATCACGATCCTCAGCGTTGCTGGGATCAAGCTTGGTGAATTCGTAACACTCGTAATCTGGAGCTACATCAAATATAGGCTGATATTCCTGACCGCGAATGACAAAAGCTCCCTGTATGACCGAGTCGTGGTTCTGGCCATAGACTGAGGCGCTGCCGAACATGTACTTACGAGAGGCCTCCAGTCGAGCATTGAGGCCACCGATAAGGTTATTTGACATGAAGGTCAGGGTAAGTTCATTGTTGTATTTGTAATCGCATCTCCAGATAGAGTATTCCTCAAAAGTTACCTTGTCCCAGAAGTACTTCATGGCCTCGCCGGTGACATTGTTTGAGTAGTATCGCTTCCACTCATCGAGAGGGAAAGTTGGCTTAGGCAGAGCCTCTATAGGATGCTTGGGCTTAGGGGCATCTGCAGGAGGGGCATCTGGGACTGAAGCCTCAGCAGCAGGCTGAGGTATCTCAGGTTTCTTCTCCGGCGGGACGTTGGTCAGTTTGGGCTCATCGAGGAGCTGAAACATTTCAGTTACGGCCGCATAGATGGGTTGGTGGCAGATGGTCTCGTACCAACGAGACGTGTTTGGATTTGCCTGCCTCCAAGTTTTGCCGTAGAAGAACTGGAAGCCGAGAGCGATGTTTCCGGCGCAGAAGAGGTCGGCAAGGGTTAGTCGCTCGCCAACCAGGAACGGGATGTTTTGCAAATGCTCCTCTACAACATCAACGGCCTTCTGAGTCAGGTCGGTGAAGAACTCAACTTGCTCCTTCTGGTAGGGGATTATACCAATGAGAGGCAATAATACTTGACTCATGGGGATGAGGATCTCGGAGTTGAAGAAAGACATCCACTTGATGATTTCGGCGTATTCCTTCTTGTTACTTCCGAGAAGGGTTGTCTGTTCATCTTGAGAAGTCACTGATAAAGCCACGTCAGCACTTAACAGCTTCAATATACTAGGTGGAACTAACAGTAGAGAGCAATAGCTATGCTTTCAAAGAGCTTGAAGCCATCCGCACCTTCAAAAGCAGGAACCTTCCCAAGCTTGCTAACACTCAGATGCTCAGGAGTCCTAGGCGTCTCACGGACGTCGAGATCGAGGCCATTTGCCTTGGCAACTGCCTTGATGGCTATTGTCCGGGGTTGATCGCCCTGAAGAGGAATGGATCATCAGCGAGCAGAAACGTTGAGATCATTGGCGGTTGCACTTACAGGAAAGGTGTAGATGGTACCAAAAACCATTTTGACATTTATTTGCCTTGGTCAAGATTTAAGGTAAGTCAGGTTCACCTTCGGGGAGCAACAATGGTCGAGAGAGCCTAGCACTTTATTATTAAAAACCTCCCACTAGAAATTTCGAAGTCCGTTCATAGCTACATGTATACCAGCAACAATGGTCTTTACTTGTAGATGCGGCGAATACGCTAGCTGCATCCTGAGTGGCTACTATGTATTCGGATGTTGCGCTCGTCGATCTTCGGAGTGTAGACTTGTTTAGGACTAGCGTATCTTCTGCCTCAATATCTCCATATGCGTCTCCATATGCTACGCTATTTTATGATACTAGTTTGATTGGGATTTTAGTCCGTTTCATTTCTTGGGAACTATGTCTCGAGTCACGAATGGCTTTACCTCATTCTTTCTACCTCAAGGAATATCCAGGAATGAATAGTAGCTTATTAGCTTATATTATGACCAAGTTCTTGTCTCCAAATAGAGCAGAGAAAATAATGCTACTGTTATGTAAAGGATTATACACACTTATCTATCACTCGAGAACACAACTAGATGAGGGAACTACCTAAATCTCATTTAAAGTGGAAATATTTGATATTAAATATGTACTAAATCTCCTAATTTCACCACCCATATAGAAAACCTTTTACCAAGAAATCCTCATTTTCCCCGTCACTTTATCACACAGCTCTCCCAAACTTGCCGCGTTGGCCACATCAAGTGTAGTGAGCTCTACTCCCAATATCATACGCACCCAGTTCCGTAGCTCTACCGCCGCAAGCGAGTCCATGCCGTACTGCAATAGGGGTCGTGCTGGATCTAGCGCAACGGTTAAGCGTAGCTGCTTTGCTAACCGCGCACCCACAGCCGTGACAGCTGCCGACCGCACGGCTGCACGATCAGGATCGCTGGATTGTGTGAGTTGCAACAAGATCTGGACCTCATTATCTTTGCCAGAATTCCCTCGCGAACGTGAGCGATCCGCACTGAGTACGCGTAAGGCCTTGAAACGCACATCTCCGAGCAGCTCGCTATCTTCCGGCTGGGGAACGACCAGACTGGTTATCATCTGGCCATGGCTGGCGTGGTTGAGCCGGTGGTGGGGGACTGGGTGTTGCTGCAGGAAAGAATAGTCGAAGATTCGGCGCAACAAGCCCTCGTTGATTCCAAACAACGTGCTGCCATCGAACCTGCTCTGTAGATCATCGTTGCCGTACATGACGCCAACATCTTCTATAGGTCCGAGATCGATGCTGATAGCGGGCAACCCTGAGGAGCGGCGGTACTCCGCAAAGGCGTCCTCGAATGCATTACCCCCAGCGTAGTTGGACTGCCCCTTTTGGCCTACCACACCGGAGATGGAGGATAGCATGGTAAAGAATGTAATTGGTTGCTTTGTCTCAATGGAGATGAAGTGCAGATTAGACGTGCCTGTCACCTTGCATGATAACGCCGCGTGGTAGTCCGCGTGGGACATGGATTCAAAGGTTCGGTCCTAAATTTTGATGCTGGGTCAGTGCTGGTTGCATACTGAAGAATGGCCCTAGAGTGATGCCTTACCCTGAATACGGCGGCGCCTTGGATGATTCCACCAACGGGGACTGAAATTTCAGCGAAGCAGCGCCTTACATCGCTGACCGAGTTGACGTCGCCTTGAATCAAGTCAAGAGAACAACCCAGGGCTCTAATGTTGCGAGCAATGCTCTGCGACACATTGTCTTGATAGCCGCTGCGGGACATGATGGCAATGTGCTTAGCCCCCTGGGAAGCCAGATGGATGGCAAGGCTACCACAGATACCTTTCAAACCTCCCACAAAGAGATAAGCCTGATTAGGATTGAGAAGCGACTTTACCGAGTATGTTGCGGGCCGGGTCTAGAGGAGTTAGGAACTGAAATCAATCCATGCCATGGTCCAGGTGAGAGTAGGCCTTACCGAAACAGCAAGCTTCGTGCCCAGGTCGTCCGAAATAACAATCTTTCCAATCTGATTTCCTTCTCGAATCAGTCGTAAAGCCTCGGGGATCTCCCCGTATCCCAGAGCTTTGCATGGTGATATTGGCTCGATGTAGCCTCCTGCGATGAGCTGAGACAGCTCTGTTAAAACTCTGGAAACATAGGTACATGTATTAGCTGGGCGGAAGATAAGTCGGCGGTCAAGAGAGGATCCACTTACGATGCGATGGTCTCTAGTGGCAAAGTTGTTATATCTAAGCTCTGGAAAGAACAATTCGCAGCAAACGAGTCCGTGGACAGCAAATTGCCAGCATCGGCGCCCCCATTTGCTATCCGAACGAGCGTCCCACCCGGAGCAAGCAACCGCGAGTTCTCATAGTCTAGGTTAGCATTTGTAGACTGGCTGATAATAACATCAAGGCCATGGCCCCTAGTGGCCTCACGCGCTACGCGAGGGAGAGCTGTAGGTTCGGACGAGAGAATACGATCCTCCGGCAATCCCACCTCGTTGGCCAGGAACTGGCGCTGTTCTGGGCTGTCCACGGTCGCAAAGATATCACAGTTCAAGCGCTGGCTGAGCCGGATGCACGCGACCCCGACGTCTACGCAAGCCGAATGGATCAACACACGCTGGCCCTTCTGCAAACGCGCCAGGTGACGGAGGGCGTATATGGCCGTCAGAAAGGCGACTGGCAATGTCGCTGCGTCCTGGAAGGGAATATCATCAGGCACGGCGAAGCAAGCTTTGGGCGAGACGGCGACGCGGTTGGCGAAGCAGCCCTGGCCGAACACTGCCACGCGCTGGCCGACGCGGTGGGCGACACTCGCAGCAGGAACAGCGTCGCCTACACGGACGACCACGCCAGCGCCCTCGTAGCCGCGTCTCTCCGACTTCGACTTCGAATTCGCATCCACCACGTCTTGGTAATTGCAACCGGAGGCGAAGAGCTCCACCACGATCTGATCTGGCCCCATTACTTGCGCCTCGGATCCGCCCAGTTCATCCTCTGCAAAATGCAATGCCTCCAAACTGCCCGGCCGGTCGGTGACCACGCGGATTGTCGTCTTGGAGTGGTGAAAATCGGTCATGACGGGCGGTGGACCCCCTGAGTTGTCTTCGGCCTTGCGTTTATTTACCCCTTCGTCAGGTAGTACCCGGCTGAGATGTAGCAGGCCGTGACGTTCAGCGATCTCGCCCTCCGCTGGGAGGGAACTGGTCCTCATTGATTTGAGTTCTCTTAAGCCCACATCGATGGCATTGATGTTGGTGGTTAAGCTTTCTGTGGCAGCAGACTCGACGTCCAGAGTCACGATGCGAATCATGGGTATCTCCACGCGGACGGTACGGAAGATGCCATGGGCAACGGCGTTGAGTGGCACAGTGGGCTTTATTTGCGCGCCTTGCGTCACCCACAGCAAGTCGCACTCTTTGTCTATCACAGTCTGAAGACCCGTCCATTCCACTTCAGTTGCGGTGGCGAGTAGAGGCCGAACAATTTCGTCGAGAACCAGCACAGTAGATCTGGAGGGTAGTGCCGCAAGCCCAGGACCTGATTTGCCATCAATGTAAAGCTCGGTGAGGTCCCAGCCACCTGTTCGAAGCTGTGAAGCTATTTTCGAAATCGCTGTTGAGCACTCGGGCGAGAAATGCACCAGAACGACTCCCTTGTCGTCGTTGGGCGAGTCAATCTGTCCAGTGCCAACTTCTGCAACGATGGAGCTTCCGGTTACCGTCTGGCGAATTTTAGTGATATTCAGCCGTTCCAAGGCGTGGACGGGGTTATTTCCGTTCACTAATCCTTTGCTTTCTGATGGACCGGGCTGTTCGGCATCATAGAGAATCAAATTGCCGCCTTTGGAAAGAAGACGAGGCAAGTTGCTGGCTAAAGTATCGAGTCCGCGAGTGGAACCGTGCTGAGACCACCTGATTACCACAAGATCAAACTTGGAACTCCCCATTGGTAGGGAGAAGGTTTTGCTGAAGGGGTCAAGCACACTGAAGCGTGCACCCCGCCCCGCTGGCCATTCTGAATACAGCTCTTGGGCGGTGAGCACAGTCTCGGCGCTGTTGGAAGCAAAATGGAATTCAGTCATGGCAGCGCGAATAGGGCGTGCTGTTGAATCCACAAGCCACAGAGATTCTGTGTTACCAGGCACGAGGTTGAATTCCAGAACCCTCAAGTTTGGCGACTTGTGTGCTGCTAAATCTAGAATCTCTTGGACATGAGATTCATCATTGTTAGCAACACTAGATAGCGCTTGCTGGAGCTTCTCATCTGTGTCTAGGTGTTTCAAGTCAGGCTTCCACGTTAACTGAGTATACATGTGTGCCATATAAACACTATCTCGGCTGTCCATCATCGGAGAAAAGGAAAGGCCTGTGAGATGCATAATTAGCGATCCACTGGCGGGATCGTATAGAGACGCGTCTCCCCACCCACTCTTCGACGTGGTCACAGATACAGCCTCCCCTGAACGCCATGTATGTCCAGAGACAACCAGTTCATTGATGCTTCTTGGCACAAGCACTTTGTCCAAATTACTGCGAGTGCCACAATGGAGCGAGGTGAACATGCTCTGTAAGCAGCTGTCGAGAGGCGCCGGGTGCAGCGGGTACTCGGATTGCGGTTCCCACTTGGATCGTGGCGGCTCCAACGATATTAGAGAGCGCGAGCTTGTTTTACCTTCTGAACCCTCAACGGCTAACAGTTTCTGAAATTTGGGACCATACGAGTATCCAGCGTCCCTCATGGACTTGTACCACAGCTGTCCAGCCGTCGGATTTTCCAAAGGCAAGTTGCAGGTACCCTCCGGTGCCCGAGGCAATGGGGCGTCGGGATTCAGCTCCAGTCGAACTAATCCGGTGGAGTTGAGATTCCATTTTTCAGGGGATGGGGCAGACGATGATGATGCTATTGAATCCGATTCTGCGAGAGACATTACTTTATATTCCCACCATCCTTGGCCCAATTTTGCCATGGGAACCAGCAAGAGCATGATATGGGCCTCAACATCGTCCTCAAGCACCAATCCTCGAGGAAACCGTACATCTCGAAGGCAATAATGGTAATCCCTTGCTTTCAAAAAAGCCTTGTCTTGATCTGTGGCAGTCGAGAAGACGGTTTGGCGAACAGCCTCCATAGCCATGGCCATATATCCAGCCGCAGGGAAGAGTATCTCGGAACCGATCTGGTGATCCCGCAGCCAGGGCACATCTGACAGACGGAGCAGTTTGTACCACGAAGGGCTCTGCCATAGCGTCCCAAGGGCTTTGCTACCGAGCAGATCATGTGCTGGGAATTTCTTGAACCTCCAGTTTTTGCTAGCCAAAGACTCGTCCCAATATTCGGTAGAGTGGTTCCACTGATAGTTAGGTAGGTCGACGACAACTGCCGGCTTCACCGCCTCCTTTATGGTCTCATCGTTGTTCACGTTTCTAAGTGAAAATTCGGCGTTGTGCAAGAACAACTGGCCCGCAATGTCGAAAATTGCACGAGAACTCTCTTCTTGGCCACGTTTGTTAGCCGCGGTATATGTGAGGTGGTCTTTTTTAACTCCCTTGACGATCTGCGAAATTGGTCCTGCAAGCGTATTACTTGGTCCAAGTTCGATGAGGAAGTTGGCGGCGAGGCGCTCATCGGTAACCATCTTCGTGCATGCCCCCTCGAATCGGACGGGCGACATCATATTCGCCTTCCAGTATGCGGCGTTGCAAACTTCCGCTCTAGTGATTGTATCCTCAGTCACAGATGAGACCATACTCTTCAAACTACAGTCACCTTTGCCGATATCCTCAAGCCCGCCGTGTACCTCGAGCAAGTCCTCGTAGCGGTTGGCTATCTTACTCATAAAATGCGAGTGGTACGCTACCTCGACTCGCAGTATTCGTGCAGCGTGCCCATCGGCCTTTATAGTCCCTTCCAGTTCTGCCAGCAATGAGGATGGTCCGGAAAGAGTGACACTGGCAGGACTGTTATAGCAAGCAATAACTACATCTTCCCCACCGATCTTCGCGGCATCAATATATGGCTGCACATCCTTTGCACCCAGTCCAACGGCCAACATCCCCTTCGGACTAGTTGCTATAGCATCTTTACTCGCGAGTCCTCGGAAATACGCGGCAAGAATAGCCTGCCTGGGTGTCATGAGCCCGGCGCTGCACGCAGCTGCAATCTCGCCGGAAGAATGGCCTACAACGACTTCTGCTCGCACATTCCAAGACTCAAGTACGGCTAATTGTGCTAGCTGCAGCGCTGTTACGAGAGGCTGTGAGAACTCTGGCTTGCTAAGGTGCTCAGAGGAACGAGGCTCAGTCAGCTCTTCAAGCAGCGACCATTCTGGTTTGATGCCTGCTGGTAGTTCCTGCAGAACGCCATCCAACTCTTCGAGTACTGGTTTGGCCGTCTCTGGGAACATCCTCACAAGCTCCGCGCCCATTTGCGACCATTGCGCACCCTGACCCGTGAACACGAAGCCAATTCTCAGTGCATCTTGCCGTATCTTGGCAAACCGAGCCCAGTCCATTCGTATCTTACTAGCATGGCCGGTCTTTGTCGGGTAGCTCAGCACGAAGGCGCGACAGAAGTGACGCGATCGCCGATTGGAGAGTGTATAACTGAGATCAGAAAGCTTAACCTTCACTCGAGGATTGAGGAGATGGGCCGAGACCATCTCTATTTGGCGTTTTAAGGAGTTGTCATCATTGGCCGAGAAAACCAATACTTGGGGACGCTGCGCGGCTGTTTTCGATGCTCGGTTTCCGGATAGCATGTCAGACATTTTCAGATAGGAGCTAACATAAGGACTAGATATCTTGAGTGATGTCCCGTGTTGTTGAATATAGTGTTCTGCGTTATCCAATATGGCATGTGCATTGGAACCGCCAAATCCGAAGGAATTGACGCTTGCACGGCGGTAGTGGTTCAATTCTCTTGGCCACGCAATGCCTGGCCGCGTGGCACGTACTCGCAGGCCGTCGAAGTCGATATTAGGGCTTGGGGTGAAAAATGTTGGGTTTCCGGGGATCTTGCCCTCCTCGACAGCTAGCATTGCCTTGATGAGCCCTGAGAGCCCTGCTCCTGGCTCCGAGTGTCCAATATTACTCTTAACCGAGCCGATGATCAAGGGATTTGATTGAGGACGCATATGAGCGAGGACGGACGCCGCACCCTTTACCTCAAGGGGATCCCCGGCGGGTGTCCCTGTGCCATGGCACTCGAGGTACCCCGTCTCAGCGTAGCGGCTACTATCGATACCGGCATCGTTGTAGGCGGCACGGATCACAGCAGCTTGAGCTTCGGCGCTAGGACTGTTGATCCCTTGGGTCCATCCATTGCTATTATTCGCCGTCCCGCGGATCACTGCGCGGATAGGATCCCCGTCCCTTATAGCGTCCGACAGACGCTTTAGATATACAGCATTAACCGCCTCAGCTCTGCAGTAGCCATCAGCCTTGACATCAAAGGTGTGACACTTGCCGCTAGATGAATACGCGGCTCGCATAGTTCCCCTTTCTTCGGTGTGTTCCGGTGATAGCCACAAGTTGACACCCGCCACAACCGCGCCGGCCAGGGTCCCCGCTCGGAGATTCTGGCACGCTATATCTAATCCCACAAGCCCGCTAGAGCATGCCGTATCAACTGTGACACTGTGAAAATCATGGAGGTATTAGCTACGGTCCAATAATCGATGTATTTATCCGCTCATCTTGTGTAGCTCACCTAGCCCCTTGAAGGTTGAAAAAGTGGCTAATTCTGTTACTTAGCATTGTACGACCCGATCCAGCGGTCATGCCTAGCGTCCTTTGCTCAGGGTCTCGATTTTGCATATCGTGATAGTCTGAAGAAATTATTAGCATTACAGCTCATCTTTGACATAGTAAGTATAGATTTGACTATCCAAGAGCTCTTACCGGCATTCATACTGCCCACAAAACAGCCTATTTGTTTCCCGCTTACCTCCTCAATCGGTATCCCACCATTCTCGAAGCATTCATATATGACTTCGAGGAGCTGTCGTTGCTGGGGTTCCATGGCAATGGCATCAGCCCGGGTGAGGTTGAAAAACGAGGCATCGAAGATGGCGGGATCAATGTCCTCTATGAACATGCCGCTGAGGGCTTTCATGGTGCCAGGTTTACCCGACCCGTCGAAATGACCCTCGCTACGAAATCTAGATTTTGGCACAATATTGGACACGGCGATGCCGCCGGACTGAAGCAGCTGCCATAGCTTGTGTGGGCTGTTTACATGCCCTGGTAATCGACAGGCTGCGGAGACAATGGCGATAGGTTCAGGAGCATCCTGGATGAGAGTATTGCCATTCACAGTGGTCATTTTGTTTTTGAGCAATGGCGAGGCGAGGCGAGGCGGGAGCTGGAGGGGCAACACTTTAGATGCTCGAATGCGACGACCACGGGCACGGAACTATCGTTAAATGATAAAGGGCAACCTTTATAAAGACAAGACAAACATCGACTGGGTCATAATCTATTCGAGCGTCCTGGGTTCAAGAACACGTCTAACCATGAATGGTAAGCTAGTAAACCTTGAACGACATGCCCGACGCTGTTTTATAGCAAGCACATAGAGTTGATATTTGCCGACAACCGAAAGCGGCATAGCTTAATCTGACCTTGATACCTGGACCTTATCTTGGGTACTCTGTTGTTTAGGGTCGTTTAATAAAGCCACAACCCCCCGCACCCCTCTTGTATTCCTTAACTTAAACTGTTTACTACAAGTTATATAATAATTAATGCTTAGGTATAATATTTAGGCATTACTTCTACTAAATATACTAAACCAAAATATCTAGATATATGTCTTATTTTATGTTTATAATATCTAAGTATTTTTACCCCTTGAATTAAAGGGGGGGTGACGTGGAAATAGCCTCGGATGGACGTGGCTTTATCACGACTCATAATTCGGGCTGCTGGCTTACAGCCGAGTGGATGGCGAACCCACCTGCTACCGATACGGGCCTGCCGAACTGACCCGATCGGCGTCCTGACCTTTGTGGCCTGCAGATGGCGCTAATGATCGGCATCGGAAGTCTCTAATTATGCCTTAGTCGGAGTGGCTTGGGTAGTTCTAATGAGGCACCATGTGCTCCGTATAGATAACGATAACGGAACGAGCATGGGATAATTTAATGATACCATAGAAGTTCAGATAGCAATTTTTTGTATCTTTTCTAATTACTCTGTTCTGTCCTACCGAGGAAAGAAATTTCCACAATGAATCGCGAGGATGTTGAGTTTCCCACCTTTGATGGGCTGACGCTGCGTGGCTGGCTTTATCCAGGCTCGATACAAGGCCCAGCCATAGTTATGAACCAAGGGGTACGTACCTATGGCTGTGAATTTTCGTGTAAACTCGGATTTTTCAAACAAATATCTGACTTTTGAAAGTTCAACACCCCTAAAGAGATCTTATTACCAGATGCCGCCTTGTGGTTCCAGCAACACGGGGTTACGGTGTTGCTCTATGACAGCCGGTGCATAGGTGCCAGCGATGGCGAACCGCGCAACGACGTCAAGCCCGCCAAGCTGGTGGAAGACTACCACGACGCCCTCACCTTCATGGCTAGTCATCCCATGGTTGACGAGGATAAAATCACCCTGTATGGCTATTCATTCAGTGCCATGACGGCGCTCGTCGCAACGGCTCTCGACCATCGTGTTGGAGCAGTCATCTCCGTTACGCCTATTGCAAACTACGACTTCCGAGAGGAGCAAAAGAACAATGTTATGGCATTGGCGATGCAGGACCGCGTCTCGTGTATTGCTGGTAACGACCCGGTATACATCCCCTTCGTAGCTGACGACGGCTTGAACCCAGCTGGGTGGGGAAACCAATATAACATGGAGGAATTCAGAGCATTCCTTGGCACCTCCTTCTTTACGAACCAAACAACAGTACAGAGCTATTACCATGTGCTAGCGTGGCAACCGTACGGGGCAATGCACCTCATTCGTGGGACGCCGGCAATGATGGTCACTCCCGCCGAGGATACCATCTCGACGCCTGCGGATCAAAGGGCAGTATTTGACATGATTGGTGAGCCAAAGGAGTTTGACCTGGTGGCCGGGAGGGGTCACATGAATGTCATTAATGGGGAAGGGGCAGAAGAAGTCCTGCAAAGGCAGCTTGATTTTATGAGAAAGTATCTGAAATTCTAGACAACGAATAGAACATTCTAGATTTAGAAATATAGCACTGATATACTCGGCATGTAAGTTTAATTGCTGTGGTTCTCCATTCGCCGTATGGAAGTCCTTTCAGGTGTCTTCTACTGCTTGGTGTATATTCATCCTCCGAGGCAGGCACTGAGTCTGGACCTCAAAATGGTATACCGACCCGGTTATCTATTAGAGGTGACAGTATGTATCGCAATGCACGGAACGGGGACCAATAGATTACATAAAAAAACATTTCTTGTGTATGTGGTGCACTGTCACTGACATGGTAGCCAGGATCAATTGGCACAGCTTAATATAGTTAAACTTGCAATTGAAAAAGACAGAGCACCTTAGGTGTAGGTAGACTTTGCGCAATATATGGGCTATAATTGGTTATTGTCTATGCTCTACTTCTATATCTCAGCTCGCTCGGTAAACTTAGAACTAAGGGATAGCTACGTATAACAAGGAGGTTAAAGAATGACGGACCATCCTCATCCTCCCTGAATTCCCTTGAAAGTAGGTAATAACACATCCGCTTAAGGCAACTCGGCCTCGATGACACTCTCATACCCACGGCCATCTGGGCAATACTTAACCAGCTTAAGCCCAGCGTCGTTGATCACTTTGCTCCACACAGCCTCAGTCCTTTCATTAGCCGACGCCTGCAACACAAGGCAATCCATAGCCGCTTGGTAGCAGCTGGCACCCGTGGAAGGGATTACAATATCGTTGATAAGTACTTTTGAGTAACCACGCTTCATAACGGCGGCAATTTGCTTGAGGATTTTAACGGATGTCTCGTCCGACCAGTCATGCAGGACGGCATGCATGAAATATGCTCGGGCTCCTATACATCTCCTTTAGTATAGTATCCAGGCCACAGAGAGCAAAGAGGGGAGGGAGCTTACCTCGAACAGGTTGTTCTACGCCCTCCTGGAAGAGATCGTGCGCCACAGTCCTGATCTTGTCCGTGGTAAGCTTGACCGGACCGACAACCTCTGGTAGATCCTCGAGCACGAGAGACCCAGCGGGAAGATCCGGGTGCTTCTCGACCACGCGCATAAGGTCAATACCGTGGTGTCCGCCAACGTCCACGACGAAGGGGCTACCGTCGTTTAGGTCGGCACCGTCGAGCAGCGCTTGGGTGTCATAGAACTGAGGCCAAGGTCGCTTTCCCTTAGCCCACACGTTCATGAAGGACGAGAAACTCTCCTGGTGTACGGGGTTTGCGCTGCATCGCTCAAAGAAGCTCTTTTTCTCGGGGTATGCGTCAATGTAGCAGCTAGCCTTGTCGTCCAACGGCTTGCGGTATTTGGTCTTGGCCAGGAAATCGGGCCAGTGCATAGCACATACTGCGACATGGTCGGTTCTAGGGGTTTCATTGTTCAGCAGTCCGACTTTGAAAGCTATCACCGAGTATGGATGGTATTGCTCACCTGATTCGAAGACCTGGCGCCACAAGGGAGCTCTTATCTCCCACAGCGAGGGAATAGGGTGTAGGCGCATAGCGATCGTTTGCTGTTTCTTTGATGATGTGGTTCGCGGCCAACAGCCGCAGTTGGTGGCCTAGTGAGCTGATTAGAAAGGCCTTGCCATTGACGTATCTATATATATATATATCATCATATAGTGCCATGAAGTCTTACATAGCAGCTCCGGTTCCATATCCTTCTTACTTATCTTAGCCAACTCGTTCACATCCTTCTCGCCGCCGCCAGCAGCGGCCCAGGCCTCAAACAAACCAATGTCAATAAGAGCCTGAAGCACAGAGAACATAATCGGTTCCTCGATAGCAAGCCGCATGGTCTTTTCTTCCTTCGTTTCTAGCTTGTGGAAAAGCTTGCGGGCTGCCAACGCCAATTGCTGCCGCGTAGCATCCTGGTCCTCGAAGGCTGCCGCCTCGACGGCGTCGAGCTTCTCGATTAATTGTTCCGCAATGCCAGCCATGGTCGGACTTTGTTAAGGTAATTTGAGTGGTGGTAGGATTGTAGGGAAGGGCAGTCAACACTCTGTTGAATTTCACGTGAATACTTCTCAATTCTATTATATAATTATGGCCGACTTCAAGAAAATAATATTTGATACCAGACAGCATAGTAACTGTCTGTATATATCATATTGCTGGTACTATTAGCCGACTTGTGGAAACTTCGGCAAAGTGTGCATCTTGTACCCTTCACTTTGCATACGCAGCTTATGGAAGGGTAACCCTTGTTCCCTGTCCGCAGCCCCGACGGAAACAGTGTATAATACCGAAAGTAAATAAAGCTTTCGCACGCCGAAAATCAATCCCGTAGCAGGCGGCCAAAGAACGCTATTCACATGACCAAAGTAAAAGCACGTGTAGATGTAGTCTGCCAAGTTGCCGACTGTGGGTAGAGTATACCAGAGGATTCAAGCCTGCAAAGCCACTAAATCGAAGGAAAATATCAAGATTAGGGGTTTTCCCTTGTCATTACCCGCTCATAAATTCGCTCGCTATCATATCAATCTCCATGAACCTTTGTTGCACCCTAAGAAAAGCAACAAACACTAACGTGAGACATATTCAGAAGTCGTCTCCGCGGCTGATAACCTCTTTCACGTTTGGTCGAAGTAAGATGGTCTAGTGTACTCTATTAATGATTGTCATTTAGATGTGGACTCGAGTTGAATGACTTACGTGCTCGAATTGGGCCGTATAGGTCCCTTGCTTCTCATTTAGAGGGGGATAATCTTCAATAATACCGGCTTTCACAAGATGGTTAAGCTACCTGGCTGTTAGCCAATAGTCCGTAAAACACCTTTATAGGCATGCTAGGCTTATCATACACCGAGGAGATACTTCTCTTGCCCGATCCTATCTAAATAACGTCGGCAGAAGGGGATCGTGCTAAAGTTCTTCTTAACAGCTCCCAAGACTGACCTAGCCGAAGACAAAGTTAGGTCTGTCTTTGCCACATCACGGCGTAGAGCGTAGTGTGAGACCTCGCCTCCCTCAATATATCGGCCGCTACCGGTACTACCAAAGGTTTCAATAGCAAAGACGTCACCTTCTTCCATCTTTGTCATATCGTTGGTTTTGATAAAAGGGACACTCTTAGTACCGTGGATCGAGTATGGCAAAATAGTATGACCACACAAGTTGCGAATCGCCTTGATCGGGTAGGTAGTCCCGTTGATTTCGCACTCGTAGCTTTCCATAGCCTCCTGGATATACCCCCCCAATTCTCCAACACGAACATCGATTCCAGCTTCACGGACACCAGTATTCGTTGCATCCTTGACGGCTGCGAGCAGGTTGTTATACATAGGATTGAACGCCATTGTAAAGGCGCTGTCTACAATCCGCCCACCTACATGGATACCGATATCGACCTTTAAAACATTGTCCTGTCTGAGTATAGTCTTACAACCTGCGTTTGGGCTATAGTGGGCGACTATATTATCGATGTTCAAGCCAGTGGGAAAACCCATGCCGGCAATTAAAGAGTCGCCTTCAGTTAAGCCATCGTGCCCTACTAAACGACGCGCGCTATCCTCGATACCGTTGGCGATCTCGAGGAGTGTTTGGCCTGGCTTGATACTTTTCTGTGCCCACTGGCGGACCTGACGATGTGCCTCAGCTGCTTGACGGTAATCGGAGAGAAAGTCGCTGTTGAGATTATCTAAATATCGCTTCTCCTCGTTAGTAGTGCGATACTGATTCTCATCCTTATATTCGACCTCTTCGCCCTTGGGGTAGCTGTTGTTTGGGAAGAGTTGGGATATAGGAACCGATGGAGGGTCGGTCTGGACCTTCTTCTTCTTCTTGGGCTTCTTCTTTCTGGGCTTCTTTTTCTTTGCGGTCCCTTCACTGGCAGCTACTTCTGGTGCATTTTCTTCAGCGTCGTCATCCGAGTCCACTTCTCCGTTCGCTACGGTGGAGGTGGGAGCAGGTGTGTCAACCCCGTTAGATGCGTCAACTGAAAGCAAACAGGTGTTAGCTAGTGTCTCTGCCCGCTGTGTATGCCGTTGAGAGTCGTAATATTCATACCGCTTCGCTTTTTGAGCTCATCCCCAGGAGGGTTGGTGGTCATTTTCAGCGTGATAAGTAGTAAGTCAACTAGACCTCTTCGACCCTTGTGAAAGGAAATAAATTGAATGAATAAGAATTGCGGCCTGTATTTCTGAAGTTAATCGTGGGTTCGGTCCCACAACATCGCAGTCGTTCGTAGTGGGCACAAGCGATTGTCATGCGCAAGCGATCTGCCATAAGGTATCTGTTTACAGCATCCATATCCCGGAGATCGGTGTACCCTGCATCCGAGAGGGCGACTCGGGCAGCTGGGAAGTGCTGCGCTCTGAGGACGATGTTGATGTCGAGAACTAGCTTGGCGGGGAGGTCTGGAACGGATGTACTCCCTACATGTCCAATTGAGTTGATCGGCACGTTTTTCAGGAACACTTCGAGATCGTTTTTAGCTTGGTCTAAATTTGAGTTAAGCAGCACGGGTTGGTGAATCGGTTAGACATGTCGGCGTCGTACAGTACTTGAAGGCTCCTTAGGGGCTGCAGATTGGTTGCTCATTTAGCTTGTAAGCAATGATGATGTTGGCGGACAGCATGCGAAATGGCCGCTTTATCGAACCGTGAGAGTAGTAACGGATTACTGATTTAAAAACCCAACCCTAGGGCTAGTTTATTTTTGTATCCCTAGGTCAACCCAGGCCCAGATTCTTTGCTTGTTGCTTTGTATTATTAACAGCCTAAGTTCTCGCTCATTTTGTAATAATGGGGCCAAGCAATACGAAGTCATTTTTGCAGCAACAGGGCATTCCATTTAAGGAAAATATCCACTTAATGATAACCTTTCTATAGAAGAGCTTATATCACTGTCATAAATGACGAACAAGATGCCCCTATAATCAAGATGCAAGACAAAATATCCTCAGAAATATGGTCAAGTTTACAATAAAATGATATTCCAGCCTGTTTGTTCTATGCACATATAAGCCCCTTTTAACAGAACAAATGCACAGTGGCCGTGCTCCATGGCGCCCTTGGTATATATACAACATTAAATCTAACATTAAACACAAAGCAAAGATGGCCGACCAGGCCTTACTCCGAAATCATCATGGTGGCGCTCCCGCCCACAACACCAATCAATACCAATGCCGTCAATATGCCTGCCCCAACGCGATCTTTAGTCGTAATAGGTCGCGACATCAACGCCTCCACCCCCCCTTTGCTGTCGCTACCTGCGTTTGGATCACCCGTGCTGTTTCCTGTCCCCTTGACCGCACTCACCCACCCCGGCGTTGTGGTGATCAAGTTACTTTGGACGATCTCGAGGGCAGCCATTTGTTCACCAACGCCTAGAATTCCGTCATTCACGCCCGGGGTTGTCCATTTCAGCCCACATTGCGTCCCGCTGGGTCCGCCTGAGCAAGTGCTAGACGCCGCCGCGGCAGAGCTAGCTAGTAGAGCGAGTATAGGCTTCTCAGTGAAGGGGGCGAGATTGGTTGTTGCGGCCATCCAGCGCGCGAGGTACGCCTTGAAAGATTGCTGATCGACGTTACATTTGCCGGCCTCGCAAAGCTCGCGCATCACGCCGTTAACAAAGAATGTGTTGGTGGTTTGGTTGAGGAGACGCTTTACTCTGTCTTCCCATAATGGGCTGCCATCGGTCTAAAGTCTAGGTTAGTTCGAGCTCAGGTAGAGAAAAAGAGTGAAGGACCTACAAAGTTGTACATAGCTGCAGCGCCCAACAAGTAAATGCCCGAGTTGTAAGACCAGGTGTTGTGGTCTCTCACTGAGCAGTTGTCGGCAACCTGCGCACCATCATAAACATGATAATCGGCGGATAGAAAGCCCACATTGGCTACCCAATCCCACGTTTTCGTTGCCCAATCCGCATAGGTAGCATTGCCGGTATACAAAGCCAGTCTGGCGCCCAAATTGAATAGGCAGCCGTTGGATATGGTATTTTTGTAATTGAATCCATTGTTGAATGGGAAGATCTGCCACCGAAGTCCTCCATTACAGGTCTTCATATCCCACCGCGTTGTCTGGGTGTTGAAGACACCTTGTGCAAGTGCAAGCCAACCAGGCTCATCCTTTGGAGGCGCCGGGAAATTTGTCTCTGCTGCCGTCATAGCTGCCATACCCCAAAACCCTTGATCATCATTTCCTAGCGTTTTACTCTGATTTAAGGGCATGTAGTCGTTGTCGTCGCCCTTTTGGTGTAGCAGTGCTTGCATCGAAGCAGCGTTGTATTGAGTGTCGCCCGTATAATGCCAATAATTAATCATCGTCCCGAACCTGAGCAGAGATATCATATCAGTACGAGACCTCCCAAGAGGGTGGACGTGGGATGGAGAGTGGGAACTCACATGGCTCCAGCTTCCCACCAGTAGTATGGGTCCGGCAGATTCCCTGGCACATCGTTAGGTTTGTCGCCGGTATAGAAGCTCATCAAGTCCTTCGCTATGATGCCGGCTGTCTTCTTTATGGACTCGGTCGAGGCTGTTGATGTGAAGTCGGGGGCGGTGATGGCAGCGTTTGCACCTTGGCCAGCAAGCGTGCAGACAACCGCCGAATATACAAGTGACGAAGTTAACCACATTATGCTATGTGACGAAGCTGACTCCGCCGAGGGATGGATTCAAGACGCAGGACGAGGGGGGAGCACAGAAGCAAAGGAAAAGAAGCTGGAAGAGAACGAGCGACAAGGCTGTCTGCAACAGCAGCGAGCTGGCGGGAAATGTTGAAGTTGGGATTCAGCGAATGTGAGCCAACAAACGGATGGGATTACTGGATGCCCCGAATACCTGGCTTGTAAATAAAACGCAAACGATAATAAAGATGCAGGTAGGTAGGTAGGTGACCTGCAAGATGCAAGCTGCGAAAGGACGTTATAGTTGCAGTGGTGGAAGATCGGCGCGGAATGTAGCAGTGGTATTCGTAGCGCAGTGCAGGGCAGGGCAAGTACCGAAATAAGAGGAACCGTCACCAAAGACTTGCACAGCACAGCCCCGATATCGAGTCCTGCCAGCATGTGCCAAGCCGTCGTCTGATACCTTGGATAACCTTGGATCACCTTGGATCACCTTGGATCGCCCTGGATAGGTCCCTATGCTGCGCAAGAGGAGCAGTCAGCAAGTTGCCGGAGGCGCCCCTCTGCCAGTCCCGGCGGTTTTCATAGGGTGCGCGTTGAAGCCAAGCTGCCCCAGACACCGGGTGATTCGTGGACTCAGGGGGTCGGCCGCTACGCAGCAACTCATCTCAACCCCATTGACAGGAGGTTTCAAATCGGTGGCTCTTGACGGGGTTGTGCAGTTGGTTGTGCAAGGTGCAGCCACGACGCACAAAGTAGGTAGTGAAGTTATTTTGAGATTTCTAATACGAGGGGGGACTCGTAACGGAGGCAAACGGTGTCGAACAATCCGGTACTCGTACTGGAGCTCACGACTCGTAAGCGCAACATCCTTACGAGAAGAACTAACGTTGCTGCGGACAAAAAAGAACCAAAATTGCTGGTCGGGGCATTGTTGATTGTTTATGCAATATGTACGTAGCATTGCACTCTGAACCCTACGGAGTACGAGTACACACACTGATTAGTATCTGTATATGTACGAAGTACGAAGTACCTACACGTACTCTTTGAGCAGTTACGCTATTCCATTCCATTCGTTATTTGTTGATATTCTCCCCTTTTAGGTTATTAATAATAAGTGTTTCTGGGCATTATTAAAGGGGGCGCAATGTGTACGTACCCGTACCCACCATTCGATTCCTGAGCTAGACCCTGCTGTACCTACACTTCGTACCCGGGAACTGCATCGCCTTTTTATTACGGTAGGAATATCTATGAGGTTTAGTGCAGTGCTATACGAAGTATTAATAAATTCCGAAGTCGACGGCCTTCAAAGTTCAAAACTATTCGGCGCCTCCATCTACAGAGAATACTTCGCACACGGGCAGAAGTGACAAAGCAGCAGTGGCAGGTCACATGATGGGCCATCACCTAATGGTAAACAGGGGTGCAAACCTCCTCGACCGGGGTGTCCATCACTTCCCTCTTTCACATTCTTTCACGGAATACTATTACTATCCCACTCCCATCTTACGAACTCTATGATCCCAGCCTACTTCCGTACGACCTAGCTTTGATCAGAAATCATGGCTATTAAAATATATTTGTTTTGAGATTCGCTCAAAACTACGGCTTCGGATTGGGAACAATCCTTCAGTGGCTGCAAAATAAAGTGGACATTTATTAACAACTTGCTAGTGAACCTGGCATTTCTCAACTATACTAGCACGGGCATGAATGTGGCTATATTGTGATGGCATTTAATATCTAAGCTACTTGGCCCAAATCTAGAAGCTCTTCTACTATTGCAAACGAACGTTGTCACTAAAAACGGTGCTGTTGCTAGCGGATCAACTCCATTCAAAGGAATTTAGCCATTGAGACGTCAAGCCGGATAATGAATTGATGGATGAGAGCACACATGGAAATAAAGTCCATTTGACTGATATCGGACTGGCAATGGATTTTCGTGAATCCAAATGGCGGAACGAAGCCCGACGCTCGAACGCTCCCCTGATTGGCACTACTCATTATGCCAGCATCAATGCACAGTTAGGCGTTGGTGAGTGTTAAGGCCTATAGCAAGAAATTACAACTAACATTCTCGACGTAGAATTGTCTCCCCGCGATGACATGGAATCACCCGGATATATTCTCGTATATTTCACTCGTGGCTCCCTTCCTTGGCAAGGACTGAAGCCCTAAACGCAGGACCAAAATAATGAGCTAATTATCGAGTAGGAGTCGACATCAGTCCAGGAACTCGGTAATGGTCTCCCCAAAGAGTTCGAGATGTATTTGGCCCACGTCCGGTGCCTCGGTTTCGATCAGACTGACGATTACACATATCTACCTCGCATATTCCGTAATATCTTCCGCCATAAAGAATAAGTATAAAATTAGACCGAGATGAAGTTCTTAAAAGAAAAATAGGAAGTAGCTCAATGATAACAAATACCAGTATTGGGTCGAGGTAGGTTGTATCAGGGCGAGTTAAGCCTCCAAACACAGGCTATGCTTTTCGCATTTCGTAGCATCCCAACCAAGTAGCTAAAGTTGAAACGTAGTTATCAGAGGTCAAAGAATAAAGAAAGCAAAGAAGTAATATATGAAAAGCTCTAGAAAGGTAAGCTCTCTAAAGTGCGAAGAAGCTACATAAAAAGTGAAAGGCACGAAGCTCAAATAAGCAAAAGAAAAAGGACAGCGAATACCTAGCTTCTAAGAGCAGACGAAAGAAAAGGCGAATCTAACGAAAGAGCAACGGTAGTAATGTGTAAATGGGCTGTCTGAGACTTGGCTTCAATAATACCATTCATTGAAAGCTTCTCTGCTGATTAAATGGATGAAACAGGCTGGCTGTGAGGTCGAGAGCTGAAATCGGGGTGTTGCCTGCCAGTGAGTGAGTCAATGACCAAACTTACAATCAAAGATCTTTCCACTATCGAGGGATACTTAGTGACAAAATAAGTTCCTTCGCCTCGCTGAGGGAGTTCACCAGTTTAAGCTTTGGATTTAAGGGTGTTCGGCTGGAGCTTTACCACCCGGCCAAACTATTTTGCTCTCATCGTCGAAATCCCACCAACCACTCCCACCGGACAAATATATACTACATCTCCGATCATATGATGATTCTTTTTGGGCTTCCCATTGTATTTCGTTTTGGGTGGGGGGTGGCTCGTCGGGTTCTTCCCAAGGCGTTTGGAGTACATCCATCTCAACTAGTCGTGTGCGACTCCACATAACGTAGCCCCGCTCGCGGAGGGATCGTTGCGAGTCGCAATTTATAAATTGCGATTGTGTAACTTCTTGATGCGCCCAGAACCATACATCAGCCGGCCCTGAGTCCGGGTCTTGAACGAATGGGGATTTAATCCGGGCAAGCTCGTCGTCCGCCGTATAATCTTCGAGATCGACGTGGTCATTGGGCTCGTTAGCTGCATCCAAAGCACCAAAGAGGAACATGTCGGTGTATTCTTCAAAATCTAGATACATGAGTTGGTACCTGTCCTGATATGAGTTTGCTAGGATGATGGAACGGATGCTCGAGAGACCGCGGGCTAGGATCGGTTGCATGTGCCCAGGATCGCTAATATCAGCACGAGGTATGCGCCAAAAGCCAGACGAAATGTCATGTTCCACGATCTCATTGAAAGCTAGTATGATTAGCAGTGAATTAATGGAGGACGAAGGTCAAACTTTACCTGGGGATACTGCTCGAAAGAGGTAGTCGTGAATACATGCCAACTGCTCATTTTTCCCATTGCGAGAATTTGGAGAAAAAAATATCCCTCTGCTCCTCCAAGGAAAACAATGGATGATTGAAATCTCGGAAGATATTGCAATACAGCTCAAATCTATAAAAGGCACGTTTAATACGAGCTATCTCGGTGTGTGATGGTGATGTTACCTCATGCTCCAGTGCCCAAAATGCTAGCGATTTAGAGGCAAAGTCTTCTGCAAAGTAATGAATATGGAAGTGTAGCTTGCTTATTAGTAAAGCATCCGAGAGCGTCCAAGATTGAGCGGATGCTGTCCGGATATTCAGATGTCGAGATACAAAATCAGTTACCCCTTGCCGTGTCCAGGATCTGACACGGGATGATTGCAATACTGCAAAGGCTTCTGGGAGAATTCCGGGGTCCACCTCGTTTAGGAGGACGTGAGTCGTTATCAACATCTGAGAATCGTTGAAAGCGCGGTAAAAAGAAGGACAAGCCAGTGCCATCGACTTCAGGGACGCCACATTTGGAAGTGCGCTCATCAATGCCTGTATTATCTCCACGGGAAGCATATCTATCGCAGACATCGCATTCGCAAGCGGTGTTAGATCCATGCTAGCCAAATAAATTGTGAATGAATTGTCAAAGTGTAGACTACAGACTCCCTCATGAACATTTATCTCATAAATTAGACTCTGTCTGAGGGCCATTATGACATCACAGCCAAATTATAGGTAGGGTATTCGAAGATTAAGTAGATATTTGCAACTCCTAATCCAATAGCAGCGCACCCCCAGAATAAACCCAAAATAGTGTCTAGGTGCCGAAATCGTCGTATATCACTAGTAACCCAATATAACTATATACCCTTACTTTAGCACTATACTTTACACCTCTAGCCAACTCCAATTTTGGTCCTATACGCTTAATCGTAAGCTCTCTTATTACTTTACTTATCTCATCTAACAAAACCATTAGTATTGGTGTTATAGTTATTAATCCGTAGTGCTGGCGTGTAGTCGTGTAGTCAATCGTAGTAGAGGCAGGCCTTCTCGCCGGCTATACAGTCGTATTTCAAATTATCTGTTCCCGAATCGATGGGCCATTAATTGTTAAGTTATACGAGATAAGAAAGATCGCCATGGGAAATTATACAATTTGAGCACTTGGAGGCCTATTTATCCTTAGTCGTCAGCTACCTAGGTAAAGAGGGGGGTAAAGACTAAACCCCTGTACATGGTGCCTTCAACAAAGCTACGTATCACTCTCCTTAAGCCAAGATTTAGTTATTGGCAAAGCTGTACAATAATACAAATGCAGAACAAAGAATCGCCACTAGGCCTCGACTACAGAAACAAAACAATTACCTATAAATCAAAGAAATAAAGTCTATAATACTACTCGAGGATTGTCTAGAGATCACCTCTTATACCTACATAAAGGCTTCTCTAGTAGAGTAGATATTTTAGCCCTACTTTTGCTCTAACTACTAAATTTCCTTTCTTTGTAACTCTAGACCATACAACATTAAAAAAGAACAGGTCATAGCTAGGCAAAAGAAAGCGTAGCCTAAAAGTTTATTGTATGTTTTTAAGGCTATAGTTAAATATTGGTAGAACTTAGAACTATAGATAAGGGTAAGAAAGAAGGCGGACTAACGAGTGAGATAAAAGATAGCTATATTAATTCTACGGCATATTCCTAATATCCCTACGAACAGCACATAGCATGAACTTTTAAAGGAACTTAAGATACGCTACATAGAACTACTATCCGGGCTGCTCTCTTCTAAGAGACCGTCCCACTATAGTGTTTGACTTACATAGGGCATTCAAGTTAAAGGGAGGGAACAAAGGAGGGAACAAAGGAGGAAACAAAGGAGGATACAAAGGAGGAAACAAAGGTGGAGAAGTCAGTGACTACAGTAGGTGTGAATTTGTGATATTACCATGTGATATTGGCATGCTGGGTAGAGTTGTCAGAAATACGTATATGGACTAGCATTGAGGAGTCAGGCTTGGTGTAAGCACGTCCTATATATCCGGTCACCTGAGCCCATACTCTTGTAATTTGACTAATCGTCCTGATCTATACTTTGAGTTACCCTTACCTTGACTATACCCATTTATAGTTACCAATTGGGCCTATTCACAACTCATACTCCTAACAAGAGCACCTTAGGTACCTACCATACCTATGTGTTATGCGGGAAGCAGCATATAGTCGCTATTGATCTCTGTTCACTCCGTTCCACTAGAATGCTTCATAGGGAAATTTGACTATTATTTTGCTAGATCCAGCGATACCCACTACGCTCAGCATCTATAGATTCTATACACCATTGTATCTGAGAACGAGCCCAGAAAATGAACATTGTACTAATATGTCACAGGCTCACATCAAGCGCTCGACTATGATGGAGCCAATCCATTTCTCTGGTGAGATACCCAGACGCGTTTATCCCGCACTGGGCCTACAGGCACCTTGAAAGTAACTAATTATGCAGGTAGGTAACAGGCTTTGACAATATAATGAATGTGCTATTATGTTCTGCTGTACAGGCTCCGCTTTTGTTGGAATTCTTTGTGATTTACTGACAGTTCAAACAATACCCAATTTCATTTCGTATATCAGTCGATGTTTCCGCTATTCATCTTCATAACTTCTATTCTTCATTCCAGCCTTCCCAAGCCTCACTGTTCCTTAAGCCGCCTTTCAAACTCGATTTCAACTGCGCCTGTTGGCTGTCAAATTTCAACCACTTCTCGGATATTATCAAAATGGCACACGAGCAAGTTTGGCACGAAGTCCAGAACGGGGAATCATATTGTGTCGTCAGTGGGCAGAGAGTACATCGACGAACGTATGGAAGTCATGGAAGTTCTGCGGGTGGCCAAGCACCGTGTCTCTGTTACCCTTGCAATATTGGACAACGCCCCCCGTTGGTAAGGGCAGACTCTTATTCACCTGGCTCAGGTCACAGTGAGATATATCAGCAGTACACATCTGGTATCCCTCCAGTCAGATTTGGTGACCAAGTTAGTGAAGGAAGCGATCTAGCTGAGAGCGTAGGTAAAGAGTCTGCATCGGAACTAGTCAATAAGCTGACAGAAGTCAAAAGTCATACATGATCCTTATAGGGAAGCTTTGAATGCAGCTAGACCTAGCAAACCGCCTAAAGAACCCCCCAGTGGAAGCAAAATGACTCAGTTGAATGCAGAGTACAAAGCTGTAGGAGAACGTGCAAAGCGAGCCGCGGCAGCAAAAGTTGCCAAGCCATATATCAAAAAGGATAAGGTGTTGGAGATGGGCCAGAAGCATCCACGTAAATATCTTGGAATCCCTGCAGCAACTGGAGAATGGCACCACATACTAGCTGGGTACGCCAAAGAGGCACAGGAATTATTTAAATTGTGAGTCCCAGTTGACTATCTTGCGATGTCTACCAAAGCTTACGGGATCCCAGGGAGAAGCAAAAGCGAATAGAGATGGGAGAAACTTTCGTTGGTTATGATACTAAACTTAGCGGCAATGGCCACAGAAAACGCATAGAGAGAGTCGGCGAGAAAGCAAAAGAGTTCGCCAGGAAGCACGAAAGGCATTTAGATCCGCAGGGCAAACCCGAACCCGAACTACAGCCAGGGCCTTCTAATGGAAAAGGTAGCTCATCGCAAGCGGCTCCCCTGGGACAGTCATCGGGTATAGGATTTACGGATACCGGTAGTTCCGACAAGGGCGTAAGTCTTCGTTTAATTGGCAGATTGGGCAAATACTAATCGATCTTGCTAGAAAACATCAAATTGCCGCTATTAAGCTCGCTTTGGGGGTTTCATACATTAGGATCCATGATATACGGGACGGTGTTTGTGTTTGATCGGTGACATATGAGGGTTTAGAGCCGTTGGTACGGCTGCTTGTAGAATTTTGAGTTGGTATTTCTAGGGCAACATCTTAAGATAGGACATTACTCCATACATAGACATATATGTCTCTCCTATGTGAGTTTACTCCGCAATGTTAGCCTGTGCATCCTTTTTAATTTTTGGATTCCCTTGTACCTTTTTGAATTTCCTCCAGCGTCACTCGCTAGCGGGCGTGTCGTCATATGGACTCTAGCCATAGAGTAGGTAGCTCCGGAAAAAGGCAGCATATACTCTTGATATGCGTTAGATACAAGGAGTGCCGAGATGTAGGGAGATATAGGAGTAGAAGTAAGTAGAGGTGACGTACAGTCGGCTTCGAAATCGGCTTCCTCTTTGTAAACTCTTTCATTATTATTTGAGCCACAATGCCAAGATATCGAAGCGGGTACTAGAGGAATTCTAGTTAGCTTGTCTTTTGCACTCGTATTATAGCCTGAGGCTATAAAGCGCCGCCTTTGAGACTCGATAATGACCCTTTCTGCAACTATATCCTTTGAGGTTTGATGCTGACCCTTTGTTCTGCCATGTCCTGTGATGTTCAATGTTGCCAATCTGTATCGTATACCTGAATAGACTGTATTGCCCAGCGGTAAATAGCTCTCTACTATAGTACTAAATCTTATAAAATTATAGTAGGATATAATTAATAATATAATTTATAGTAAGTCTACTAATACCGAGATAGCTGAAGCTACTATGTGTACGACCTATTCTGTTCCAGCTATACGCTCGAAGATTTATTATTTGAGTACCCTAAGAGCTTCGCGAAATAGCTCGGGAAGAAAACGAAGTATTACACCCTCTATACTACACGCTCTTTGTGAGTACTTACTAGAAAAGCTAGGGTTGTATTAGTCCGAGATAATTTTCTTCTTATAGGATGAATTTAAAGTACTTATAACTACTTCTAATTTAGGAAGAGTATTAGTATCGAGGGGTTGAACTAAAAAGACAATCTGCCGGGTAGTAGAAGGAAGAATGTAGATCTACGAGACTTATATCTATATAACTTTTAGAGAGCTTCTGTTCCTACTATCTTATTTATATGGACGAATCTAGCTACGACAAACGTATTAGATTTAGGTGGACTAGCTAGTCTCTTTTGGAGTAATACTAGTTTAAATTGCTCAGTTCTAGCGCGAGAAACGATATTAGATATTACTAGTGTATACATAAGATAGAATTCTATTTGCTTGTGTCTTCTAGGGATCTACAGATAGCGAAGTCTTTGAGAATTTTGTTGAGTAGTTACTTCCTTTCTGTAGTAAATAGCTGGAGCCAAAGTCGGTTCTAGTAATAGATAATACTTCCTTTTATTATATAGAACGGATTGAGTAGATGTATAAGGATACTGGGGTAAAGCTTATCTACTTGCCACTGTACTCTAAGGATCTAAACCCGATTGAAGAGTTCTTTGCTGAATTGAAGGCAGTTATTAAGCGAAACTGGCAGGTCTACGAAGCGGACCTAAACTAAGGCTTCGATGAGGTTTTAGAATAGTGCAGTAACATAGTTGGGCGAAACGAGCAAAGTGCTAAGGGTCATTTTAGACACGCAGGATTGACAATAGAAGAGCTGTAAGCTCGGTATATATTGGTTGTTCCATACCACTGCTAGTTGTCAGAGCTACAGTATAAGATGTGCAAACTCTACAGTACATACTGTTTCATTATATCAGTGGATGTAATAGCTTTCCTCCGTATATTTTCCAGCATTCAAGTTCCGCATAGCTGCACCATACATAATCCCATCCACATAGATCTCACCTATCAGGGCCCAGCTCATACGTTCACCTCCATAGAACTTGCCATCCACTTGCAGGCATTTCGCTTTCGGTTCAAGTTGACGCAGAACTACAGGAAAGTTGCATCCAAACAAGACCACAATCTTGTCACCAGCTCTAGCTGCCATTGGTGCAAAACCGACTAGCTTGCTCTCGGTCACAACTAGCCGCTTACCATGCATTCGAAGAGCAGCCGCTGCCACTGTCCCTTTCGCTCTTTTCTCAAGCTCAACATCATCGATTCCTTCTTCGAGAGGCGTGGTCGGTAGGGGAGGCATACCATCTATTAGGCGCGGGAACATTTTCCAAAGGAGCCTGACGAACTGGGAAACACGTTGCGAAGGATCTTCCCGTCCAAACTCCTCGTATCGTGGTGCCCATGTTCCACCACAGAAGGTCCTCTGGAATGCTTCACAGTCATCGATAGTGGAGCCTTTGGCGTTGGCGAAGAACTCCCACCAGCCATGAAATGCTACCAACGTCGGTCGAATATCTCGTTCATCGATGGGGCAGTAGAAAGGGTGCGCAACGTCCTTGACGGTACAGACTGTGAAGCCTGACGCTTGCAAGACCTCCGAGTTATTCGTCCATGGCGGCCAAGAGAATTTGGCTTTCGTGGTTCCAGCCGCTTCATACGAAGGCTCTCGAAATTGCATGTGCATGACTCGGTGATGGGGGAACAGGAGTCTGCGCTGCCAGTCCGGGACCCAGGATGGAAGCGACAAGGGGTTATCATCGTTGTTCTGACGACAGATGACATTGAGGCACTCCGTTTGAGTGATGATGTATTTAGCAGTGTGAATATACACAAGACGTGCTGGAAGGCTGTAGTCAATGGCCCCAAATGTCTCCCGATCTAATGACAGTCCAACTAGGGCATATACTTTGTCGACATCCTCAGAAGAAAGCTTACTCTCGTGCGAGTATAGTAGATCAACCAATAGAGGCAGTTTCTTCTCATCCGCCCTGGTATTTGAGTGTCTTTGGATCCTTAGGTTCCTGGGGCCACCTGATGTAAGAGTGTAGATGGAGTGCGGCTGATCGTGATAAACTGCATCCAATATAATTCTCGTAGCTTTCTCAATTCTTCCGGAAGCCTGCAAGAGATCTGACCAGGACATGTGATCTTCTCCACAATACACAACAGTGTTCTCGTTTGAATTGACTTCTTGTACAACCCAAATTCGCCACCAATATTCTCTACGGAAGAGGTCTTTTAGCGCGTCGAATGCTCTCAGTCTGTGGCTTTGTATGACCGTCGTTAGATTCGATGCGACATGAAGCTCCTTCAAAAGCTTCCATGCGAGTGGGCTATCCTCTGAGTGTTCGCCCAGCCAGACCGAAACTTGCTCCGCTCGCTCGTAGATTGGCCGCATCCTCTCTACCTCTCTGGCCTTCTCCCCAAGATCATTTTGGTTGATACAGAGTGCATCTACCCAGATGAGCAACTTCTTTTGACCATCCTCGTGCCGAAGTCTGTGAAGAGCAGCCTCCAAGGTCCTGGTGACCGGGTGTTTGATCCCATCGAGAAGGATATAACCTGTCTCTCGCTTAGATGGCCTTCCCCAGGCGTAAGATAAGGCTTGATAAGCGGGAGGTTGGTCTCGTGGGACGTGGATAAGGCGGCCTGACACTTGTTCAGACCGAGAGTCTGCTGTAACTGGATCGATCTCTGCGATTCTGATTTCGTTGTGCTGCAATTCCTTGTACGCTACAAAGTCCGATCTCAGGCCAGCGTCATTATGGGACGATTCATTTGACACGTGACCATTGGCGAGTGAAGGAGGAGGCATCTTGGAAGTTTCTTAGTGGACAGGCCGGCTTCAGAGAATCCATGGAGTTGCTCTTGAACGCTCGGAGAGAATAAGCATCGAACAACAAGTCAAGCACTAAGGAAAGGAATGATGCTGAACAAGCAATGCATACGATGCAGGATGAAATCTACCAGCTCACTGCGCATATGCTGTACTTCCTTGCACGGAACTTTTCACGCCTCTGCAGCACCGACCGCCTGTCTTGAAAGGCCATGAAATGCAGCCAGTCCAAGGCTATATTTTTAAATTATATTTGAATATTCGCATTCTGAGCAAAATCAGCCTTTGTGCTATTTGTTGTTCTCCAGCAGCCGACTATCTGCTTTCTCGGAACCACGATCAAGATGCCCCCGACCATCATCTTGATCAGACACGCTGAAGCTTTACATAGTATATGTCCTCATCCCTTAATTGGAGATGCCTGCTGACCTTGACAGATATCTCGAATAAGTTTTTTTCCCTCTTCGCCGATGCACAGAAATCTAACCATCCCTCACAGGACTATACTATTCGTGACCCGCCTCTGACAGAACTCGGAAAACAAACGCAATGCGCAGCACTCTCCGAGTCGCTTCAAACCTTTCCTCTATCGCAAGACATAGGTCTCATAGTCGTGTCCCCAATGACACGGGCTCTTCAAACCGCAGACAACTCTCTCGGCTGGCTGATGAACCAAGGCGTTCCTGCAATCCCCCAGGCAGAGTGGCAGGAGAACACAGTAAACAGCATCGACATCGGACGTCCAGTGGCTGAACTTGAGAAGGAGTTTCCACAGTTCGACTGGACACAAATAGATCCTGTATTTCCAGCAAAGGAAGGACTTTACGAATTCTCGCAAAAGGCGCTGACTAAGCGAGGGGTTGTGGCCAGAATATGGCTGCACGAGCGTAAGGAGAAAGTGATTGCTGTAATAAGCCATGACGGCTTCATGCGGGTGGGAATTTGCCAAAGGAAATTCGGCAACGCAGATTACAGAGTTTTTGATTTCGAGGAGAATGGGTTGGGACTTGTGGAATGGAAGTCGACGGAAGAGAAAGGCGGCGGACTAGGGACGAGTCCCAAAGGCCATTTTGGGTGGTTACCAAACGACTTCAAATACATGCCAAAAAATATAGCGACGACAACGGAGACAAACTACGAGAGCACCACGGTACTCGGTGTATAAAGGTCGATGAAGATAGACGCGCTGTCTTGCCCCTCTTCGTACACCCGTAAGCTCAGATCCCATTTCCCTCTCACAGCCTCCTTAGCGGACTATAACCCACAGCTTCGCCTCTTATAACTGTGTCATAGCAAACAGTCTTCTGGACGCTCATCCCACGTGCGATAAACATCATCACCCAGCCCTCGGGCCGTGTGCTCTCGCCCCCTAGTCACCATCGCACAGATCTTCGCAGCGCTCCCATCCTGTATACTTTCGATGCCTTCTCTTTCCTGCTTCGATTAGTCTCTTCACCACTCCCGTTAGCGCGGCCTAACGAAACGATGCAAGAAGCTGGAGGTCGACTGGCTGCTATGTCTTTTGACGGATTCTCTGAACGGCGTGCACGCTGCACGAGGCTTCTGAGGCTCGTGGCTGACACGAAAGCGCTGACTCCAGTGGGGTTGGAAAAAGAGGAAGAAAGGATACGTGAGTGACGGAAGGACAGATGGCTTACTTTGGACAAGGTAAGGTTAGCGGTACCGGTACCTCAGAGTACAACCGGGCAAGGGTGTACAGTCACAAGTATCTGGAAATGGATCCCGCTAAAATTAATTTACTAAAAAATTAGCGACACCCAATTCGCCTTCTACTGTGTAGAACCATTCTTTTATTCTATCTGCTCCTCAGTCCTAACTCGCTTACTCTCTTGAACCTATTTGCTAATGTCACGTACAATATATAGGGCGGGCCCTCTTTTAACACCTCCTTTTATTAAAAAATCAGGATCTATTTCTTGGTAGATAAGTTCCAGGTCTATAGCCTCTTGGATCATAAGATCACAAGCTTTTTGATACTGTACTTTTTGTACTGTACTTTTTGTACTGCACTTTTGATTTTTGATTGGTGCCAAGTACAATAGTTCTCTACTGCTTCATCCCGAAAGCCAGGGATGTTAATAGAAGGTATACTCGATGCGGTTGTAGCTTGTGAGGGCTCCGGGTAGTAGGTCTGGCAAGATAATATAGGCAACGTATTTATGATATGAATAGGAGGAGTTACTGTAGATATACTGGGAGTTTTCTGTTACTTCTCTAGCCGCTACTGCTCCTCTATATATAAATCTAGACGGACCTTCTCTAGTATATCGTTCTATGCCTCTAAATAATGCCCTTGTTCTATAAGTTTAATAATATCCTTGAAGTAGTACTACTTTAGCTTGTAATACTTCTTAGTAATAGGGACCTAGATTATATAGAGGCCCTGGACAACGTATAATTGAGTATACTTTACTCGAAATCGACAGCTGTCTAGTAGATTCTTCTTCTATTTTAAGCTGTGTATCTCGCTCCTGGAGTATTCGTTGAGTAGTTGAAAACCGGCCTCTTTTATCTGTCCTTCTCACTGACGTGGCTAGCAATAGGCCGGTCTCTACGTAATTATAGTTAAATGAGATATCTATTGTTAATCCTTTATCTGGGAATCGGTCGGCCTATAATGTAAGCTACTTCTCTATTTCTGACCAATTAATATCTGTTTTATCAAAGCTTTTGGTAACATTGTCTACCGAGCGTTACAGAACTTTCAGTACAATCTTTATACTCTCAGATTCTACGGTTCTCTTTTTGGCTCATATCTTGGAAATATAAACTCGCTCTAACTTAGGTTTTAGAAAGAGTCGCTAATATGAGGCAGGCACAAGAACCAAGTCTAGTTCTATATTCTTTCGCAGCTGGTTAACCCGCGCCAGGCCAGATGCGATGACAAAGAAGCAACTAACAGAAATTACTCTAGTGTGACTTGGCACTGTGGCTCATCAAACTTTAAAGAGTTTACAAGAGGAAGCCGAAATCGAAGTCAACTGTAGTAAAAAGCGCACAATACTGACGGGTTTAGTAGTCATGAATTGATTGGGGGCGGAACAAAGGGTACCTAAGCACCTTATAAACGCCAGGTTCTTTGTGTATACTGCACAAAGTGGGTGGAAGAATATCGGTGAAAGAGAGAAATATTGAGATACGCATGATCAAACCCCAATCAACCAAGTTAACAGAAACCACACACAACTCCCATGACCCAAGTCCATGATGAAGAATCAAACCCTCAAACACCAATCCACCCCCAAACCACAATGTAAGCCAGTAAGTCATCAAAACAAGAAAAAGGAAAAGCCATCCCATATCATAATTGGCGTATCAAAAAATCTACAAAACTTTAAACTACCAAGCTGCACCTCTCGCAAGCGGACTGCCAACCTTTGGTGCCCATTGCAGGCTCTTTCTTCTTGCAGCCATTAATCTCATCATAACACTCTCATCCTTCTTCTCACTCAAGATACCTCTCGCCACGCCATTGTCATCATCAGCATCCTCATCATCAGCTTGGATGAACCTGCCTTTGGCAGGTGGGGCCGTTTGTTGCATCAACTGCTCCTTTTGCAAGAAGCATGGTGTCTGACAAGCTGGTGTCTCATCTCCATAAAGTCCGTGCTCAGCATAAGCGGAGATGGCTTCTGGAGCCGGGGTTACTGGAACAGGGGAGAGAAGTAGTGTTTGGTCGTCCGCCTCCTGCTCGTCATCTGGTGAAAAGGGAGACGAGCGAACCCATTGGACAGAGTCACGTCGTCTGGACTTTGAGGTAAAAGGTGTCCCGGGAAGGCCCAGAGATTCTCTGGAGGGAGACGCGCTATAATTGCGAGCTGGCGTTGCAGAGGAAGATGGAACAAGCGTCCCGTTCAAATTGGCAAGGATTTGCGGCTCCATGCTCCTACGTCTGCGATGCCCTCCGCGAGGAACAAGAGCAGTGTCGATTGCATAAGGACTTTCGTCAAGCCATTTGTTCTCGCGCTCGCAGCTGCAATATTATCAGCATCTTGGTCGATGAAATGGCCAGTCACAGTTTAACTTACTCTAGTACCCATCCAACTCCAACACAAGACACAACGCTACCAGCTTCCCGGGCTTTCTGGAGAGTTTTCCTTCCACCATCCTTGAAAACGATGTGAGTGATACCTATCTTAGCTCTATCATCGCCCTTTCCGCTCCAATTCCAGGTCTTCACACAACGAGCCCCCATCTGCGTGAGCAGCTCAGTAAATAATACACTTGCATCGGCCCCTTCTGTGGTATGAACGTCCACAAACACTACAGCGCCACTCAAAAGAGCAATATTTACATCACGGCGAGGAGTCCGAGCTGGAGTACCAAGTGTTGACCACAAAGCTGCATCATCATTTTCTTGACTCGAAGAGACACCAGCCATAGCAACTTCCCGACTTGGAGTTTTGGCTGGAGTTCGAAGTTTTCCCTTCGAAGGAGAGTACGAAATAACTGTGTTATTTCTCTGTAACGTGCTTGACGGCCTCTGAACGGGGGGGCGCGAAATACTTAGGCTCCGTTTCTTAGGTGACGGTCTGATTCGGGTGATTTCTGCCGCAGGCTTGAGGGGTACCTTGGACACGGTATGGCATACCCTTTCAGACAAGATGCGTTTTGGAGTTGCGAAGGAAGGGGGAGTTGGGACTGGTGGTAGAGGGGGTGCCATTAACGCTGGGTCAATTGGGATTTCGTTCTCATCGCCATATTCCTGACTAGCCTCTGACATAGCAGGCTCAGCAATTTTCGCATCGGGGCCTAGGTGATCATCAAGCTCAACATCATCAAGCTCAACAAGAGACATGTCATCAGCCTCGTGGGCGAGAGCTAGGTCCTCTTCGTCCAACTCGGCTGAGCTGAGATCTACTTCGTCTATTCTCTGTTCCGGTAAGCGGGTTTCTGATGTCGCAAGAAATCCATCTCCTAGCACCTCCTCTCGGACGGACATCTCATCGTCGAAGAAATTATTCTTGATAGTCGAAGAGGGAGACGTGGATTCTGTTTCGGTAGACAGGCGCTGAATCTTTGCATACGTGGGTGCCGTTGAACCAGCTCCTAAATTGGCCGCCTCTGGCTTATCAGGAGTGGAAGTCATCCAATCGTTTAGTTGCTGCGCTAATGGCGTAAATCCAATAGTTACTGCTGGGTAGGATTGCAAGTCATCGAGGCCTTGTTGAGCTTTTGCTGCCTTTGGTGTCTTATGGATCGCCATACAAGGCGTTGGTATGGATGGCGAGGAGGTAAAGCTGGGAGATGAAGGCTTGAATGTCTCCAAGCGACGAGTAGAATAATTGCAAGGGCTTGAAGTGAGCTCATCCTCGGAATCCGAGTCCGGGAATGGGTTGTCACTCTCACTGCGGAGGTTAAATGCACCACTAGTGTACCCTGATGGGGCGATGGGTGATAAGATGTCTTGGGTTTTCATAGACTCCTCGGCAGCAACAGATTCCGTATTGCCCACATTCATAGCTTCACTAGCCGGCTCGTTCTCCGCATAATGACTTTCAGCTGCCTTGACGGCTGATGCGGATGCCGCGAAGGCGGGGTCGGCTTCACGAGGCACGATCGACGAAAGCCGGCCAGAAAATTGCATCCTTGAAGGGGATGCCACTGGGAGAGTTGATTGATAATCGGTTGCAAGGTTCCTGTCAGAGGCAACTTTGAGGCCGCTCGGGGGAGGGCCCATCTGGTTGGCACGGAGGGCACTTTTGTTAACGGTTCTTGGAGTTGTAAATCTCGACATCTTAAAGGTACCTGCTTTGGGTGTTGCAGCAAGGAACGGGTTGGAATTCCCCGACCTACTTGGGGAGCCAGCTTCAGTGGTTTTTATTGGAGATTGCGGTCGTCGGGCCGGGGATTGAAGCAGGGACGCCTTGAACGCCGAATTTGTTGCCATTGATGGAGCTGGAAGCGATGGCTTGAAGGGGGGTGGGATCATGCTATCCCCAAGGGTCATTTTTTGCGGTGATTCTCTCAAGGAATCTTTGAATGGGGATGGGGGTGGACGCCGGGCTGGGCTACTCATCATAGAACCTCCAAGATGTTGAGTAGCTGGAGCCATGGCTGTGTGGGTGCTGAGCGAGTTTGAGAACTCCAGCTTCTTTGATACACCAAAAATGCTTCCAGGGGGCTTAACGGGGCTCTTCATGAGGGGCATCATCGGGGCGTTCTCGTCCGTTGCCAATTCATCATCTGAGGCTTTCTGTTTTGCGGTTGCTATTTGTGTTGCCTTCTTTGGACTGAGCGGCGACGATTTTTCAGGTTCCTCTTCCAAAGCTTTTGCCTGCCCACGAGTGGCTCGAGTTGCGGTAACCGTAGCCTTTCGCATGGGCCTTGCTCGAAGACCTGTGGCAGTTTGCGCACCGTTGGCCTTCCCCTCGGTATTGGGTGCGGGTGGGACCATGTTCTCCTTATCAGGCTCGTCAAATTTGACTGTCTTCTTCCGAGCCGGAGCTTTTGTAACTGTAGCAGCTCGAGTGCGGATGGCTCTCTTCGGTGGCTCCTCGACAACAATAGCTTCCTCCGCGGGCGCATCGATTTTCTTGGGCCGACCTCTCGTGGACCTAGGGGGCTCGGATGCGGGCACGTCTACTAGGGGCTTTTTTGGTCTTCCTCTGGTCGGCCTCACCACAGTCGGTATCTCTTCCTTCCGTTTCCCAAGTTCAGGACCAACAGCGACCTTCTTGGGCCTTCCTCGAGTTGTCCGCGTGGGTTGTGGTTGGGCTAATTCGTCCATATCGCCATGTTCTTCCTCATGTTCTTGTACATCGTCGGCTCGAGTCTTTCGTTTGGCCCTGGAGGTGGAAGTAGACGCGGAAACGGAAGTGGTTCTAATAAGTTTGGCCTTTGCGGAGGCAGTTGCGATCCTGGTGGTCTTGACGCCAGCATCAGTGGTCTTCGCAGCCGCTCGGGCGCGTGTGATGCGTTTTGGAGGGGATTGGGGTTGGTCATTCATGGTGAAAGGGTTCGTTAGTGAAAATTAAATATAAATGCAACTGGTGCAAGAATGGAGCTACATGAACGCGACAGATATCACTGTCGCAGGTGGTTGTTTGGTGTTGGTGGTGTTGATGATGGCATCGAGGGATGTCGATAAGTGCATTTTGTTTATCTGCGGAGGCGTCCAAATACCGGATTACCGTTGCCATGCCAACGACCACGTGATGACTTCACCCACCTGATGATGACGTTTTCATTCAAATGCCCACAGAGAATAATAATTGCCCAAATAATATCTCACAAAACTGTCAAGCAATTGCAGGATTTGCCAATCAGCCCTGCGGTCCTCGGAAGGAACATATCCGATGAGTATCAGAGGAAGATGTGACGCTCGGTGGGAATATGCGAAGCTTTGTTTCACAGCTAGTCCGCCTATTTCAGAAACAGCATGATGTAAACCCAGTCGACCTCGGTCATATCAGGGCCTCATCCGAATTTTGTCTCCTTAGCGTTGCACTGACTCAAATATTTGCCAGATTATTAGCATTGTTGATACGGACGATAAAGTGCTACAACGTTGTGCTTGCGTGCTTGCGTCGTTGAATCAGTCGTCTGCTCTCATAAGGTACAGTACTGTACATGTACCTTACCGAGGTATATGTACCAATTACTACGAAGGTACCTAGGTATACTACGCCGTCGCACTCGTACAGAGAGTAGCATCGGCGGCAACGGCATAGCTTTTCTAGCAGGTGATACCGAGTCAAAGCAATTGCAAGCACTCGGTGGTCCTGATATCCGGATATGCTATAGAGCACAGGTGGCGGAGTTGTGTCACCAAGTGCGATGACTTTGCAGTTGACTACGAGCCTTCGGTAGGATTGGTTTCACCTGCTGCGGTGACCGCATCAATCAGCCTTGCCCAAACAAATTAATACCGCAGCGTCTGCTCCCACGTGTACCTACCTACGTAGTACTAAGGTATATATTGCGTACTATATCACATTCATTCCTCACCTCCCTCACGCCGGGCATGCCGTAAGCACTACGAGCAGTTCTGGTGGTCGGTGGTCAGCCACAGCCTACTCTGCTGTAGCTGAAAAGACAGACAAAGCAGGTCTCATTCCTGATCCACCTCGGTCAGCTCGCCGTCAGATCGACAAGGCAGGATGGATCATGGGCGGGACTGGAGAATATATAAAGTCCATAAAGTCCATAATCCCCCGGCCGATCTCCCGCTCACTTGATCTCCGTGTTGCCCCCTGCGTTATAAAGTATCGAGATAGCGATTATTCAACCACCTCCCGCCAAACACCACAGCACCACGCACCACTGAGAACATACAAATTACATTATCAGGGCCAAACAAGGGCACCAAGCAACATAAAGCCAAGAACACCGGCATAGCCGTTGCCAAAGAACACAATCCGCTGTGACGCGTCTTAGCCTTAGCCCTTAGTGTCTGTTTTACTACAGATAGCACTCACTCGTACTCGTATACGTCGTGCTCCTTCATTTCATCCGAAGGATTGTTTGGTCCTTCAACTATCGTTCAACGCCCACCCCTTTCTGGCCGGTATCGGGGCCTTTTCTCCTACATTTACGAGTATTTCTACTTCTCTAAGACGTGCATTTATTTTGGTGGCTTTCACAGATAAGGCCCAATGAACCGAATCATCAGTCTGCTGGCAGCTGCCGCATCGTGGAATATCTGTGCTGGTAACCGTTTGTCCTCCGCCAACCCGCGCCCCTCAACTCATGCTAACACGCCTGGTTTATAGCGGCAGGAATTGCCCTCCCTCAAGATGCGTCGCTGGATGTCCTTCCAGTTCCATTGTCATTAGATAACCGCGCATTGCCAAATTCTCCCTCCGGTGGATATGCCCCTGGGGCTGTAGACTGCCCGTCGACACGGCCGACCATTAGAGCGGCCTCTTCTCTGTCAGCCGCCGAATCGTCATGGCTGGAGCGTCGAAGAAATAACACGGTCGGCCCTCTGAGCTCCTGGCTCTCTCGCATGAACATTTCGGACTTTGACGCCGCGGCGTATATCAATACCCACAAGAACAATGCCACTGCCCTGCCGAATATTGGAATCGCCTTCTCGGGAGGAGGATATCGGGCATTGATGAATGGGGCAGGATTTCTTGCTGCTGCAGACGCTCGTACTAGCAATGCAACCAATACTGGCCAAATTGGCGGTCTCCTTCAGGCCACCACCTATCTGGCAGGTTTGTCCGGTGGGAGTTGGTTAGTAGGGTCCGTCTATACCAACAATTTCAGCTCCGTTGAGGCTCTTCGAGATGGCCACAATGACTCTTCAATTTGGAAATTCGGCAATTCGATCTTCGAGGGGCCAGCTACTGGGAAGTTCAAGGTACTGAGCAGCTTATCCTACTTTGAGTCAATTGAGTCGCAAGTCTCGGCAAAGGCGGACTCACCTCTCGGTTTCAATACATCCATCACTGACTACTGGGGACGTGCTCTGTCTTATCAGCTAGTCGATGCTCCGGAAGGGGGACCCGCCTATACCTTCTCGTCGATTGCGTTAACAGACGATTTCAAGAATGGTGACATTCCGTTCCCCCTCATAGTTGCGGACGAAAGAGCCCACGACACAAAGATTGTCTCGATCAACTCTACTGTCTATGAGTTCAACCCTTTTGAGATGGGATCATGGGATCCAGCGCTTTATGCCTTTGCCCCCACGGAGTACTTGGGTTCCAACTTTTCTGGCGGGTCTGTTCCTGATGGCCAGAAATGTGTCCGAGGCTTCGATCAGGCTGGATTTGTGATGGGCACCTCATCCACACTGTTCAACCAATTCATCCTCCAGATCAACTCCTCAGCAGCGGCCGGGGTTCCGACTTTCTTACGAGACATATTCACCAAAATTCTATTACGCGTGGGCGATGCTAATGATGACATCGCTCAGTATCAACCAAACCCGTTCTACAGCTTCAACAATGCTACCAATCGAAATTCGCAATCTAAGGAGTTAACACTCGTAGACGGGGGAGAAGATAATCAAAATATTCCTCTTAACCCCTTGATCCAGCCCAACCGCAACGTCGACGTGATCTTCGCTATCGACTCCTCGGCAGATACCTACTACACCTGGCCCAATGGCTCGTCCCTCGTCTGGACTTATAGGCGGTCCCTCAACGCAACCATCGAGAATGGAACGGCCTTCCCTGCAATTCCAGATCACAATACTTTCGTCAACCTCGGCCTGAATACACACCCAACCTTCTTCGGCTGTAATGCAAGCAACATGACTGGTCCTGCACCCCTTATTGTCTATATCCCCAATGCCCCGTACATATATAACAGCAATGTGTCGACCTTTGACCCCTCATACAACAACACCGAGCGCAATGCCATCATCGAAAATGGGTACGACGTGGCGACGATGGGGAACGGGACGCTGGACCGCGAGTGGCCAACTTGTATGGCATGCGCTGTGCTGAGCAGGAGTTTTACCAAGACTGGCACCGCTGTTCCTGCTGCTTGCCAGACTTGCTTCACACGGTATTGCTGGAATGGGCAGCTTGACTCTAAGGAGCCTTCTGGGAACTATACGCCGCCCTATAAGCTCAGTGAATTGAAGATTTCTAGCGCGGCTCCTGCTGCTGTCACAGTTATGAAGACGAGTGCGTATATTAGTGCCCTGGCTGCTGCGGTGGCGAACGTGCTGGTTTAGATACCCTTACTTCATTTGACAGAACAGCGGTTCCCGCGATTTTGGATATCATCCACCCGCAGAGAGGGTAGTGGGTTTTATGATGCCTCCTACAAGAGCAAAGGATAGGAGCAATGTATATATATTTGAGGGTTTAAAACTTGCATCGGTAAGCATTTGGGATTTTACATTGGGTGGTTGGTTGGTTAGACCAAGGTTAGTTGATAGAAGTAAACTCTTCAGTCTTTCTCCCTGATTTTTCATTTTGAAAACAAGAAGAATATAGAGCTGCGGCAAAACTATATGAATGATAAATATTATCAAGAATAAAATTGATATGCCCACGTATATGTGTGTTTTCTTTTACTACGGGACATATCTATCGAGAATTGTCACGTTGGTCTTTGGGTAAGACCTGTTGCGCCCAGTTGGCTAGTTCACTTCGATTAATCCGTTCAAATTAAAAGCTAGACCCTCCTCTCTGAACACCTCAATAGGCAAGCATAGGCCAAAATATAGTGCTAAACGCTGCTAGCAGCAAGTGTACAGCAAGAATTCATGTAATTGCTCCCTCAAGTCAGGCAGCTAAACACCTAGCCCTCATGAGTATGCCGACTCAATATGATCGACCTTAGAATCTAGGAAATAACTTTATTTGCTCCCTAATTCGGTCCTATCTATGCAGAAGTATTGAAGCCAGAGCCTTGGTATAGACCAATATTGTGCACTTAAACCTAACATGTTAGATCAATTCCAACGCAACTATACCCACGTAGAAATATCTTGAAAATTTAAGAGGATTCATGTTCGCTTTAACACTTACAATAGTAAATATGCGCAAACGGAATATATTGCGAAGTTCAATTTGCATAGGCTGCTCAAGATGCTGTTGCAAGAGGAACAACCCTCAAAATATACGGGAGTTGACTACGAAAGCCTCAATTCCAATCATCTAGCTTAGCAGCTTAGCCAACGCCGCTTCTAACAAAATATCTCACAATAGCCGAACACACTGTATTCGGTTAAAGGAGAAGGCCATAAACCGTAAGCTAAGAGTCAAAAATAACAAAAGGGAAGGCCAAGCAGGAGCGTCGAACAAAATTGCAAAAACTCTAGCAGAGCCCCGTACTTCTGTACGGGGTTCTCACATTAGAGAGAAAACCAGACTGAACTGGTTTTTTCGGAAGGGAGCCATGATCCAGTGTCATGGCCTTTATTGCCCTTACCCTAGTCGACTAGGGAGTTTTGTCGCTTTTTGGGCCTTTTTAGGCCCTTGGATGTTTTTTATTTTTGGTTTCCCGCCCCCCTTTTCAGGGGAGTTCTTTTTTTGAGTAGCTATTAATTGTTAGTATTTTTTTAAGCTGTAGAGGGAGGAAGTGGAGACATACTGTTCTGGTGGTAGCGGAGGTTAACGGGCGCATAACCATTGAGCTATACGCCCGTTGGAAGGAAATTTGCATATTTTCTGTTATATATCATAGTGTTGTTTGGGGTGAATGGGGCGGTGGCCGGCTACGGGTAGGAAAGGCGGTAGTACCTTCTTTGCCTTTCACTCAACCAAAAGCATATCTCTCGGCAGCGAAAGCATCATATACCATCCAACCGCTTAAGAACGCCTAAATGACGACAGGTCCCACGCAAGAGCTGATATTCTTGGTTTGCCATAAGGCGCTGAAGCATATAAGTCTTCGATTTGTTCCCGTTTCTCACTTCCTACGCGAGGTAGCCGTGTTCATATTTATCTATCGTCTTAGGTAGCACACCTCTAGACCTCTAATTCTGACGCTGTACATACCACATTGACGTCGCTCGGCTCTGGTGACTGTTCTCTCGTAAAAATCAAGAAGCACCTCTTTGATTTCTAGGTTATGAATGTTGCGTTTTTCATGTGGAGATCACTTGGCGCTACGGGTTGTAAAGTATGCCTATGTTTTGCACAATGAGGCATGCGGTCCGTTTCGAAGACTGTAGCTAGTTAAGAAGAAATTTTAGAACCGTCTCCCTAAAGCTAGGGGTGTGATTATGGAGGATGTCAGCCGAGAAGTGATTTGGGGATTTACCCCTGGAAAGCAGGTCGGTGCTGCTCCGCGGGTTGGCGCTTGTGGACGAGGTAAGCTCATCTTTATAGACCTCGTTTGTAAGCTTAACTTCCTACTACTAACAGGCTTCAGCTAATTATATGACGCTGTGAGGTTGAGCGAGGCAGAATTTTCCTGACAAGCATATTGCAAACTATACATTCGAATTTTGAAAGACCATGGGAAGTACGTTGGACTCTATGGGACTAAATGAATGGTCTTTAAATACACAAAGATGTAGAACAGAAAACCACAAGCAGACATATGGAAGGTTGCGTTATTAATGGAAGAAGGTTCCGGCCCGGCCCTAGAGGTATGGACTATGGAGCCAGGAACCTACTACCGGGACTGTCCATAGCCATTTCGGTGGAGTTGACGGCAAGGCTTGGTAGTTTGTGGGTGAGTTGCTAGCACTCACGACTGCTACTCACACAGTCAATCCTAGCTCGCGCAACGCCGCCCGTACTATCAGTCCCCGCTGTGAGATTATGTATTTATTAATAGCGAGGAAATGGTAAAGAGTAACGGAGATGATGCGGGCGAGGTCGTGGCAAGCGTGGCAGCAGCAGGGATTCGCTTTCGGCTCACGGGAATATTTCGGATAAATACCGGCGCCGAACAAACGTCCTCCAGGAATTATCATACGAAGGTAGGTGATGTGCAACAACTGATATTGGCAACATTATTTCAGCTATTGACTTGATTCAATTAGATAGGGCCACGATAAAATTGCTTTTGTACTATCTAGCTCTTATCCTATGCTTCCACAGTGTGTATCACGGCGCACGCCACAGTTGGCGTCCCAAGGATGTTACGACGAAATCCTCTATGTGGGTGGCTGGAAGGCTCCAACCACCGGATTTACCTCGAGTCCAGAGCACCAGACCAGCCACCTTCGTTTTGTAAAGACCGTACAAGACAATTGTCCTACTTCTCTCTTCACTTCTGTCTCTTCTCTTCTCTCCCTTTCCTCGTCTCCTCTTATCTCTTCATCCCTTGCGTTATTCATCGCATCAATCCTCCCGCTTGAAACCCCAATTCCAACCCAACACCCCACGCTCACCCCCATCGACGTCATCCATCCAATTGCCAATTATCCAAGCCTCGTCCCTTGGAGACTTGAGCCTCGCCGCGGACGGAACAGATCCCGATCCATTTGCGCAACCCAAATCAGCAGAAAACCAGGAAGCATCCTTGTCCGCGACCAGATTGGCATCCAGTCGCAAAACGGCTCAAGCACCACCAGGCTCAACAGACGCAGGACAAGACAAACAGCACAGGACAAGAACAACGACTCCCCTTGGCGCAACTTGGCCGCAATACCAATAAAGTACTTGTATAACAAGGTCGCGGCATCGAGTCGGGCTGTTGTACTGCTTGTCTCCCAGGTCAACGTCGCGCAGCACAGCACATCGGGGTCCCACAGCGAGCGCATCTATCGCGAAGCAACATTTGCGACAACCCCGCCTCTCAACCGGATAAGATCACAGGACACAGGACACCGACGAATACGAGCGAGAGAACCTACCTTATAATACGCTTCGCATCTGCGCCAGAGTTGCGACATTGCTGCGAAAGGCTCCGTTTCATTTCTATACCCTCTCATTAGAATAAGAGCCATAAATCCGACACGATGCTGTTCGGTATCTTCTTCGCCTTCTGGCGGTTCATGGAGATCATCACACTGGTAAGCCTCTCCCCACCACCACCACGACCGTCGTCAAAACCAAATTGAAACTAAACTAACAAACCTCTCACTAGATCCCAACTCTCGGCATGCTATCGTATTTCGTCCACATCTACTCCACCAACAACGCTCTCACACCTAACTATATCCTCGTCCTCTTCATCGTCTCGGTCCTAGGGGCCGTCTGGGCGGTCGCAACACTCTTCACCTACCACCGCGCCCGCTCCAACGCCCTCTTCGTCTCCTTCGTCGACCTCTGCTTCGTGGGCGCCTTTATCGCAGGCGTCTACGAGCTTCGCGGAATCACGGGCTGGAACTGCTCGTCGGTCGCATCCAGCGATACTCCGTTCTTCTCCATCTCTTTCGGTAGCAATACCTTCGACCTCAGCGGCTTCCATGTACGCACGGACAAGACATGCGCCATGTTGAAAGCGAGCTTCGCCTTTGGCATCATGAATTGCATATTCTTCTTTTTCACTAGCTTCCTTGCCTTTTGGGTTGGCAGAGGGCATAGCCATGACAAGAAGGATTCATATGTGCGCGAGACCCATTATAGCCGCCATGGACATCGCCGGAGCGGGAGCCATAGAAGCCATCACAGCTCGCATTCGGGAAGGCGGCATGCGTATGTTTAAATGCGCTTATTTCGTGTTAATGAAATAGTCATGATGGGACAGATATAAACTTGATGAAGGAGCTAGAAAGAGGGATGCCTCACGGTCTTTTACCCTCCACTGCGCGATTTACGACGGTCACGATTTTCTATTTGATACCTTGTTATAAACATTACAAACAAACAAACTGGGACTGGAAATAACTCCTCCCAACCGCTATTCGTGTAGTTACGTCAGATTTTTATTATATATAGTTAATGAATGAATGAATGCCTCTTATCTTGCCCTTGTACTCAAGTGTCTCCCTTGTGTTGTGTTAGGCATATTAATTGTCTAATAGCGAGATCAGTGACTCATTTACGATATATAATTCTATTCGCCTCTGTATTCATAAACATCCCAGGGTATCTATCAATTGTATCCATATGCTACCTAACTCCACCTCCGTAACCCATCCCCACCTGATCTAATTCTACCTTCTAACACCCTCTCCACCAACAGTATACCCTCTTGCAATCCCTCCTCTCCCCTCCTCAATCCTCCCTGCGCTATCCCCATCCCCATCCCCTTCATCGTTAAAGTCACTCCCCAGCCCGGTCCAAGTCCTCTGACTCCTCAAGAATTCCGCACCCGGACTAACCGCGCCATTAACCGTCGCTAAATCGCCTTTGGCTCTGCGTGCGAGAACCTTTGATGTTGGGGGATCAGATGAAGAGGGGGTGGTGGTAGTAGTGGAAGCAGAGGTTGAGGACGAAAACATGGGCCGAGAGTGCGAGACGTACCGTCCGGTTCGTAGGTCGAATTCTGGGGGTTGGGATTCCTCCTCACTCTCATCGTTGTCCTCATCATCCTGCTGCTGCTTTTCCCCAATGAGCGAGCCGTCATCAACCTCTTTTTTCTCTCCGCCATTCCCCACAACATCTGATGTCCCACCTGTCCACAACACACTCTCGAAATCCCCCCTCCACTCCCCACTCCACACCCTCTCCCCATCCTTCTGCAACGCAAGCTCCAACTCAAACGGCGTCACAACAGGCGCATAGAAATCCCCTTCCAGCAAACTACTCTCCCAACACCCCAGGACCACCCAAGCCCCCACCTCGCTAAAATTAGCCATTTTGGCTGCATTCACCTTTCCCACGACGAAAGTGTAGCTTTTCTTCCCCGCGCGCGAGATCATGGCTTGTAAGGTGCCGGTGGAGGAGAGGTAGTTCGCTACGCTGAGTGTGTTTATCAGGATGCCGATTATGGGGACCGTGGTGAGACGTGTGAGGAGGGCGTAGCGGCGGCGGAGGACGGCCGTAGTGTTAGATCTTATGATTTGGTTTTTTGGTCCAGGTTTTGATGGAGATGTAGAGGCCGTGGTGGGATATATTAGGAGTTCTTTGATCCGTGAACTGAGCGTCAGAAGTAGCGCAGGTGGCGGGTCAGAAATATGCCATATCCTCCACTCCTGCAACGGCTCCTTGCCTTCTTCCCCCTCTTCCCAGACGATCTTGCGATTCGGTATCTCCGCCACTGGATCATGAATAACCGCTGTCTCTCTTACATTCTTCCACCCACTCTTCCTTAACCGTTCAACCAATGGCTTGACATGCGACTGGTAGGTCAAATCTGCCATCATGATCACCTTCTCCTCCTTGCTATCAAAGCTCTCCTCAAATCCGCTCGCCGCATCATCCGCGTCTAGTTTTCGTGAAGTAAACACATAGAGGACCGGCAACCTCGCTGTAGGACTCAAACATGCGCGTCCGTAATGTACCACTACTTCAGCATCGACGTGTTCTGCGGCTATTTCATCCACGCAGCAGCATCCGTAACTCGTATCTGCCAGGATATAAAGTCTCCTCCTGGTGCTCCTGTTTCCCTCTTCCCCTCCCTCTTGCGATAGATTTTCTAGCTCTGAAGCCAGCCCCTCAAAGACCCTCGGCGCATCAACTAGCATCTCATCCGGAAATTGAAGCGCAACACGTCGCCATGCTCCTTGTATTATTTCCCGCGCCGTCCGCTCGATTTCATACGTTTCTCGGATTTCATCGTTTGAAAGTCGGGATTCTTTTGTTGGGATAGCTAAAGGCGTGGGGTCGGAGAAGAGGTGGGTTTCGGGGGTAGATAGTACGGGAGGTGCGATGGGTTGGTGGGCTGCCATGGTGCTGGTGGACTTGAGAAGTTGTTGATGGAGGGGTAGTACTGGAGTAGTTCGATGTGTATTTTTCATGGAGGGGCAGAACTTGGAGGCGGTGGCAGAATAAGTTCGGGGTTTAGAGAGCGCGGTGGAGACAGACCGCCAGGGAGCTTCCTAGGAGCCGGGAACTTTAATTTATAATAGCTAAGGGAACTAAGGGAAGTAATATTTAATAGTTACCTGGCTACGAAGTAGGAGTTAATAATTATACTGGTGGTTTAGCTAGCTAAGGGAGGAAATTATCCACAACTGTAGGAAGCTTGTAAATGTGCCATTCGAGTACTACGAAGTAGCGCCATAACCCGGCCTATGGCTCACCACCACCACATCTTAACGTTGAGGGAAATCTTTCGTTTTGACATCCTGTCTTGTATCACTTCCCTTTACTAGTAATTTATCCTAGAAATAGAACCGAAAGGCTTTGAAATTACCTACCCAGTATCTACTTGCCTTCTCGACAAAATTTCTTCCCTTGGTACCGGCCGCGAGCTCTTTCATCCCGCTCGGCCACTATCGTTAATTCTACCACGGTCTTGCGTCGCCTTCTTTTTCTGACAGCATCTGGGCACGGCAAGAATTTTCTTCCCTTTATATTCAGCCGCATCTACTGCAAATAGAAGATATTTATTTGCGTATGCCCCATCATCGTCATCCAATTCGTTGATGTTGATCTGCAGGATCTCAGGGTCAGGATCGTTGGCAGGAACGAGATGGTCAAATGTGACACCGTAGTAGTCAATTTGTCTGGCTCGAGGTGGTCAATGGTCAGCGATAAACAGCGTAATCACCTTTATTGATATGCGGTCTGAGCAAAGACCACGATGTGCTTACCTTAACGGCCTCACCTCTGTCACCCAGCCTAGGTATTCATCACGCACTACAAAGTCACCAGCAATCTCAGGACGGACTTCCCGCCCATATATTTTCTGAAATGCCAGCTTTGCCAGCTTGGGCCCGGCAGGCTGTGGAAACACCGGAGACAGGGGTTCCGCATCCCACGGTGTCTTCGGAAGGAGTTTTTGAATAGACACAAGGGGTCCCCCAATCTGGATTCTGAGCGGCTGTTCCACTGGCGGGGAATGGGCACCGTGAGTAATAATGCACGGCGGAATGTAAAGCTCGAGAGCCATGATGTGGGGCGTAAATAACAACGGGTAATGGCTTTACGAAGGAGAAATGAAGACTATTCTGCGCTTTAACTTCTAGTCTTTACGTCGGGTTTCTTGGTTGTGTGTATTAGCGGTGTTGGCTTGGTTAGTTTGAGGGAAGTGTTGGAGTCTAAGGCTCAGGTGTCAAGTAATTAAGCCTCGTTACCTAGAGGGCTGTGTTAGATTATATGATCTCCGGCTGCCGGGCTACTTACTTAGTACTGCCCCGATCTGTATAATATAAAGTCTCTTCTCCGAATAGGCTTCTCCTGCTTAGACTTAATACTATTATATATTATATCTTATTAGAATTCCGTCTACTCTAACAGTCATAAAAATCGTGATTCCCTCGAACGAGACTCTGCTAATCGAAATACCATGGTGCTGCTAGCTAGACAGTGGCTGGATAGCGCTCAGTTAATCCGCCAATTCAAATGCCATAATAACGAAGTCCCCAAGTAATTACACACCAAAGCCTATACCCCTTCCAACATTACAAACCACCGTTCACAGCACATTGCGACCTCAATTCTCGAAACCAGGCAATCTAGATGAAAGGACCAGCCATCAAAATCCTTGGAGCCCTAAATCATAAAGGAGGTACATGTGCGGGAGGTTTCCATCAAGCCATTAGAGGACCCTTATAAAAATGGTAATCATCGAAATCTGTACTTGTGAGTGTAGGTGACCGAACCGACGGAGCATCTCCTTCCATGACAGGTGGTGGTGTCGACGACGCATTATGACGATATGAAGGCTTCATCCTTGCCATGGAGACTGGTGGTTGGATATGCCAAGTATCCTGAACGGCCCAGCAATAACTGTTATCATGGCTTGCCTCTAGAACATTCTGGTTTGCTCCTTTCCATGGTGGCGTGCCTCCCAGCCGGGGATTGAGGTGGTACGAGACGTCTTTCTTGTAACGGAGATTGGGTGTCTCGACAGAGACGGGTGCAAGCGTTTGCAAGATTCCGTAGATTAGGACCCATCGGCCTCGGCGGGCTGCATACGGATCTATGTCCCCGGCCTGGTCTCCCTTTTCAAATCGGACAAAATCATCAACCAGCTCGTTGGTCACAAAATCGGATCCAAGCTGGTAGATATTGGTTGATTCTGTGTATGCCAGGGCGGTTCTTCTCTCAGCCATCTTATCGTCGGTCTGCTTGCTCCCCTTCTTGCCAGCTTTAAACAGGCTCTCTCGAGAGCTGGAATTGGTTGATACTGGCTCGGGAGTCAAAGGGTATGGGTGAGGTATATGCGGGTATCTGTGTCGGTTATCGAATGCTATCAGTATATCCGTCATTGGGAGATCGGGTGTGTCGGCCTCGAGAGCTTTGTTGGTAGCATAGACTATGTTCCACTTCCGCCCACTCCTCTCCTCAGCACAGTCCCAGACAACCTCCCTGTTGACCAGGTATTCATAAAGTGCACCGAAATCCTTCTGAAGTGATTGAGCCAGATCTCTTGTAAGCCATTGCTCTGCTCCGGCCGATGTAGGTGGCGGCCAAGTCTCATAGACTGATTGATAATGCTGCTGGATAAAGTCACGCAACCGTTCGAAGCTGGCTCGAGAGGCTGATAACTGAGCGCTCGTCTTTGGCCACATGTCTTCAAAATCAAATTCCAATAGCCGGTCTTCGCAGTTTTGGATACGCACTTGAACCTCCAAGCTAGCTCGCTCTAAAAGAGCTTTCGTAATGGGTGTGACGAATTTGAAATCGCTATAGCTCTCCAGTTGGCTGTACATTCCAACACTGTGCACGTACGCTTCCCTCCAACCCTCCTCCCAACGAACGCATTGGCTCTCACTCCAAGCAAGGATCGAGGTAGCTGCGGCTGCATTGTCCCGGACATCATCAATACCCTTGCTAACAAGGTAATCAATGATCATACCAGCTGTGTCTGTATCAGGCGGCATATAAACCTCGAGGCGTTCATGGAGATCAGTAAGGGCCTGGTAGAGATTCAAGCCAACCAGAGATGCTTGGTAGAGAAGCGCGAATATATTGCGCGTGGTAGTCTGATGGCGAAGGATATCGGTCTTAGCATAGTTGGTGGGTGTTGGGAAATGAATCTCATATGATATCTGTCCGTCGTAGCCGCCTCCGCCATACTCTGACATTGGAGGCGTTGTCTGGTATGTGCCATCTTGAATGGGAGAGCTGATGGGAGATGGGGACATGTCAAGCGAATGGTTGTCATCAGTGGATCCGTCACGTAGGAGAGTGATGAGATATCGTGAGTCAGTGGCTTCAAGTACATGTGACGAAAGGCGGAAAGAAGGAGGGGGGCGTGAAGAGTTATGGTGCCCATGACCAAAGAAGACCAAAGTATCACCATTTGGATCCCAGAGCTCGGGGTCCTTTCGCAGCTTATTCCATGGTTGCGGGGCTCTGCCAGATCCCATCCATCGCTTCAACTGAGATCCATGTGGGAGACCTGGAAGCTTCCCTTGCGGGGGACTTGGCCGTCCATGGTCTTGTGCATCAGAGAGTTGACGTTGGCGAAGTTTGCCTTGGAAAGGGGATTCTCCTGCGTCTGTCTCGTGGGACGTAGGGCGAATGCTTGCGGAGGTGGACGGTCTAACGTCCTCATTCTTCTTTTTCTTCCCAAAGGTCTTTGCAAGTCCTTTCCGGACACCTTCACTTTTCTTATCCATCATAGATCGGAATGTGGATTTCTCAGTACCAGATGCATCAAGCACAGCGGCGTGAGGTTTCCGGCCACGCGCATATGCTAGGTCCTCCATCCCACTCGACCCACCAGATCCGCCAGTCCTGATTGTATTGTTATCATTGGCAGGTCTAAAAACCAGCTCGTCCTGGAATTGCCCTTGGTGGTCGTTTGGAGAAGACATAGGGAAATCTCCAATAATCGAGCGCGACCTGTCCGATCCACAGTCAATGGTAGCTTGGAGATATTGTGCACTTTTCTTGGCCTTGAGCTTGACCTTCTCCTTGCGCACATGAGCACTTCTACCCGACATATTGAAAGACGAGAGGTAAACGCTGCTGAATACTCATATACTGTCCCATGCGAGTGAGTGTATTTAGGCTGAAGGTCGGCAACGTCAGATCGGGAACAGGACGCGTGAGATTGATCCACCGTAGACGATGCAACGATGCAACGAGCGAGCGAGCGGCGACGAGCCACAAGATTCAGGAGCGCTGATCTTGGGATTGCCTTCTTTCACCGCCGTGTTCGTCTATATGAGGTGTGACGTTCTTCACAGCGCATGGCGATATCGAAGGCGGCAAGACAATCAAGTTGCGTGTCGTGTGCTGTTTGGCGAGACAAACCGACAAGTCGTCGAAGCTCAGAAAAGCTCCAATGTCAGACAAGCCACGCCAACTTCCACTTCCACTTCAGCTTCGTTTTTGCCTTTCAACTCAATTTCAATCTGGGATCTGGCTTAAGTCTAAGTCCTACGAGTAGTGGTATGCTGTACCGACCAGTCGCATCGTTCACACATTACCACTGCTTGATGCGTCCCCATTCAGGGCACCAAAGTGGGCATATAATAGCTCATGTGGTTGTAAGATCGAATTGAGCCCCAATTAAGGTTGTTGTACGAAGTATCGCAAATGCGACCGTCTGCGGCTCTGCAACCACTTTCTAGCCAGCCTATAGGTACCTAAACTCCTACCTTGGTAGGTATGTGAACACCGCCTAGCTTGCCATAAGCCACGTCCACATAGTCAGTCTCATTATTATACAATTAATAACAGGGAAGACCGCCGATAAGGAATTAGGGCTACTATGCCATATTTAATTTGGGCTTAATTCGCCCTTAAATTAGGACTCAAGTCGATCTTACGATTACTTGACCTACTTGGGCCATTATATGCGCACTCCAGTAGGCCTGAATGGGGCGCAGTAAAAACTGGCGTGGGCGCACCAAAAAGTGCTGATCTACGGTTTTACCAATTCGCGAAAATGCACTTGCCCAACGATACAACCGATCGCTACACCATCGTGGCGACTCTACGCCCAAAGGTTCTCTTCGAAGAAGAGAAAGGAGATGCCCCCAGAAATCACAACATCAACGGATCTAAGCGGGCTAGATCGATGTGCAACGCACCTATTTCTAGAGCCCTAGCTAGGAAATAAACACGCGCACTCTCACTTTCGAAGTATAGTGATGCAAAACAGAAAGCTAAAAGGTTTCGCGACAGTTGGAGGGACAACCAAGACCAAGGCTACGTAACAGTACAACAGGATAAAGGATCGGCGAAAGGACACGCTTCGGTCAATAGTACGAGTAGGTAGGTTGTGTTCCTAGAAAGTATCGGAGCTCCTATTCTATGTGGGTGACGCTGACGCGCAATTGCAGGCCTCGTAGGATGGGGAAATCCCTTCCCTTCCTAGCAAGGTGAACCAACGGATATCCTAGATATACCACCCCTGTTCGGACCTTTCAAAGCTTATTTACTTTCTTTTCCGGTACTAGTAAGCTAGCAACTAGCTGGAGCCTTGTGCGACGTATTGCCTCGTTCGTGGCTGCTTACAGAACTAGTCGTACCTAAAGCTGGAGGGTGAGATATGCTGCCTCTGAGGATCATCTGCCCTCATCGAAACCTGGGCATTTGTTTCCCCCCCCCCCCCAGTCGATGTTGTTCCTAGTGTAGTTGCGGAACTTTATGTAATGAGCAGGATCCTGAAGCAAAAATCTCTTAACCCTCGCCATAAGTATTTGAGCTCATCATGGCTACAAGAGATGCAGAGCCGCGCGCCTCTATGTCACTCATAGTGATGCCGAATGCTGTGCTACTGATAGGAAATATTTTACTGCTCTTCAACTGTCCTAGCTGTTAAGGCGTTCGACACACTGACCCAGGATACAAAGTATTTTGACATCGAAATATCGACAAGAGCCTTTTCAATTTCCGTCTTTGGACTAATCCGTTGCTGCTCCAGCCTGAGTCTCTCCAAACTGCGTCTGCGCTATCCTGCGGGATGCAGTCATAAGGATTTTTTTCCCTTGCTTTGCAGAATATCACCCACTCGAGTACTTCGTACCAGTGCAAGCATCACAGTAAGTCCACGGCCACTGGACTAGGGTGCTAATACGTAGTACGTTGTTGGTACTCGAAAGACTAGTCGTTATTTTACCTACAGTTAAGTATCTCCCGCTCAATGGTGGCAGTGTGAGACCCAGCTTGCTGTGGGCGATAGAGGGAATTTGGCGGTGGCAGTGCTACCAGCCCGGATATTGGTTGGGCAGCTGGCTTGGGCGTCTTCTCGCAGGCATGTTGCCTAACAGGGCAATCCGAATTGTGGCTGGGCTTGCTATTGCTTTTCTGTACTTCGTGAGAGTCTTGCCATTCTCCATCATGTCCCTCGTTCACCCCGTTCTGGTAAATCATAATATATCTTTCACCTCACAATGGCACAAACTCCCAATGTCCATCACGGCTTTACGAAGTCATGGATCGACTTCGATCGTCCCTCTTGGCGTAAGTACCCTAATTCCACTGAGAGAGCATAGCTAGATGCAGCCTTGCAGAACGACGAATCACGATGACAGACAATGGTGGTGCTTGGGTTTCCGGTACTACTGTTATCCTCCTCGCCCTAGCATCCCCTGCTGCGTATATAATATGCAATCGTGCAATAGCCGGAACTTGGGCATACCTGGAAGGAATCTATTTCACGCAGCGAGAGGCGAGACTTCCGAAATCCAGTTCTACTAATGTACCAAGGGAGGATACGGGCCTGCTCCCAGCTAAACGCAAATTTTATTATGCCAAAGTCCGCAAAACATGGAGATCATCTAGAACTCCTGACTTCGCATTAATTGAACTAGGACGACTAGGCTGGGAAATGGCAACTCATCATCCTGTTTCGGCCAATCACACCGGCTTCAAATGGGCAAATTTATGGGCTCGCAAGTTTGAGCTCCTGCTGTGCTTTTTCTTAGAGCTTCTCTGTCTTGCCATATTTGGGCTCTTTGCATGGGGTAGTATAGCCGCTACAGGTCTTATCTCAGACACCATTGCTCTATCAGCGTCAGAAGATTGCGGCTTCTGGATTCCGGATCCAAAAGCAACACTGAAGCCCAACGGGACCTATGGATACTTCTATCTCCAGGAAATTGAAGCCATGGAATATGCCAAGACTTGTTATGGAGCCGAGAAGGGTGCTGATGGTTGCAACTTTTTCGTGACTCAGGATTTTCCGATTACCGAAACCGAGAATGATTTTTGTCCTTTTGAGGAACTCTGCCTTGATGGCCGATATACAGCTTTCTCGATGAGCACAGAGCTCATCTCATCCAAATCACTTGGTATCAACGTTCCAACTGGCTACAAGTTCAACCGAACTACTACCTGTGCACCAATCAAAAGGGAAGGTAGGGTGGTGGAAACCCCTGATTCATACGAATATTACTATGGCGCTCACGGAATTAATAACTGGACCTGGAAATCTCCCAAAGGCCAGATTAAATCATTTCCTGGCTATGATGTGGCGTGAGAAATCATCTGAGCTTATTCATACACCCCACATACTAAGTACTAACTGCTTCGCTAGTTCTTTCTGTTACGAAGAAGGCTCATCGGCGGGTTGGGATCCTATTCCAGCTTTTCGCTCCAAAGATTACGAAGTTACAAGCCTATTTCTGATCCGATCCCAGAACAACTACCATAAAACATCCCGAGACGACCCTATCTTCCCAGCAAAATTGCAGGTCGATCCCCCGATGCGGCCCTACCCACTTTTCTATAATGATGACCCTGTAGCCACCACTCTTGCATGCGTCGATAGTGTTTCTGTGTGCCATGCAAATGGGGAATTGTGCTGGAATAAGATTAACAATCCCATCAACGAACTAGCCCCTCACATCGAGAAAACAGGGTACTACATGCTCAATATTGCACTTACGCGATCCAACATCTGCAACGGCATTTTCCTCCGAGGCGGCAGTGCACTCGACGCCCAGTCAAAGATGCAGGCGAACCTATCCGTCCCATTATCATTACCACTAGCGCCCGAGCAGTGGAAAGTCGAAGTCCGCTCTCTTTTCAAGGCGTCTCTGGCTCGGATTCAAATCGACTTACGGGACTATATGCGTGGTGCCGCAGCAAATGTAGCTGGATTCAAGGACCACACTGAGTCCGGATACACTGAGATGTGCGGCGCATATAAGTTTCGGACCGTTGGTTGGACGAATATCAATGCCTGGGCGTTTTGGCTGCTGATCACGCTGGTTGTTGCTGTGTATTTTCTTAGTTGGGAGCTAGGAGAGTCTTCTAAGGAACAAAAGACGGTCGCGGAATTGATTTGGGCTGCTACAGCTGTTCGAGCTGTCAAGCTGATGTATCGTAAATGGGCGTCTCCAGAAAGAGCCACCGTTGATGCGAACCAGGCCGCGGCGGCCAATGAATCAAATGCGGCCGGAATGTCAGCAGTACATGTTGTTGGTGAGGACGAGGACGAGGACGAGGACGAGGACGAGTAATAGAGTATAATAGTTTTTAAGTATTTACGTGTACCTGAACTAGACAATATACAAACTATATAAAGCTACATATACACAACGAGAAAGATAGGAGAAGTTTCTGAGCTGGAAGGAAACTTTCGATGTGCGATAGATCTAGCGCAGAAAGAAGGTCTATCATTGATGGATATCATTTACCTGCACCTACTTTGCCAATTTATGTCTCCTTTCCGCTCCGGCTTGGTAGAAGAATGTGATGAGTTGTACCCAAACGCTTTATATCCAATACCTTTTCAGACGCCCCAGCTCCAATTGTGAAGATACATAAATACAGGACCCCACACCTCGCACATGTCAACCCCTAGACATAAGCAAGTTATAGCTTGACTTTACCACCCCGCAACTCCTCCCAATCCTCCGGTCGAAACTTAACGTACGTTCCTCCCTTCAACCAGTACAGTTCATCTTGTCCAGTCTTTTCAGGGTCCACACCCTGAGACCTCACAACATGCTTTTGCTGCTTATTGGTTCCGGTCAACTGCATGTTACTAGCACTGATCAATCTCAAAAATAACGGGACGGCAAATCTTGGTAGGCGCTCATGGGCATGTGTGGCCAAATCACTCATCAGCCTGTCGCTAGGTTCTTCGGCCAGCACAAGCACGACACAGCCTGCACGACCATCGTGATGAGGGAGCTCAACGCCATAGACATTAGCTTCGTGTACAGCCGCGTGGGTTCCAAGGACTTCGGCAACTTCGTTGGTAGACACATTCTCGGCCTTCCATCTATAAGTGTCGCCAATACGGTCGCTGAAATAGAATCGGCCCTCAGAATCACGGCTTAGCATATCGCCAGTGCGGAAATATACATCGCCTTTCTTCAAGACATCGCGCATGATCTTGCTTTCGGTCGAGGAGGTATTGTTGAAATATCCTTGAAATCGCCTCGATATATCAGCGGGGGGGAGTTGATACAATAGCTCGCCTGGTTCCCCTGTTTTGACACGTCTACAGAAACCGGTGTTGGGATCTCGCCATGGTTGTTCAGTCTCCCAGTCCAGGTCAACGAGGATTGCTGCTGAGCGGGTGAGGAAGGTCCCAAAGGTACCGAAGCGTCCAACTGACCCTTTGCCGAAATCGTTGCGGGTATAATTCCATAAGGCCCCAGAACCTTCAGTCGCGGTATAGAATTCGGCAATAGCTTCAATACCGAAGCGTTCCTTAAAGCGGTTCCAGATATCAGGTCTCAACCCATTGCCAAATGCCATCCTCACGCTGTTTTTCTTATCCAGAACTTCGCCCGTAATAGAATTGACTTCGGGGGCCGCCGATAATAGGTATCTGCATGTTTCACCAACGTATTGGATAACTGTAGCATGTGTTGACCGGACTTCTTTCCAGAATGTTTTCGTGGAAAATTTCCTGCCAATGGCGATTGTAGCACCGGAACGGAGTACCATACAAAACCCAAGGACGGCAGCAGAAGAGTGGTAGAGTGGCATGGACTTATCAAGGTTAGAAGAGATATAATGCGGTGCCAGGTGAACGTACAGTGTAGAGGATATCATTCTTCGAGAAGGAATTCCAGCTCGGTACAATCATCGATGCGGTTAACACCTTGTTCCAACTTACAATTGCAGCTTTTGGAAGCCCTGTCGTACCGCTAGTATATATGAGCATACCTATATTCTGAACCTTATCCTCTGTGCGCGCAGAATCTGGTTCCCGGCTTTCTTGAATGGACAGAATCTCACTCTCCAATTCCGGGGTGAGGATGTCGAACTGGACGCCGGGCAACTCATCCCTAACCTCTTGAGTGAGTCTATCCTGAACTTCCGGGTCTACTAGAACTAATCGAGCTGTTGAAAGCCTAATGCAATGGGCTAGGGCCTTGTCGGTTAGATTATAATTGATGCAGGCAGGCTTCGCTCCAATTGCCCATAGCCCAAACCAGATGAAAATGAACTTTTCCGAATTCATAAAATTCATCGCCACAATATCTTTCGGCATAATACCATGCTTCGTCTTGAGCCAGGTTCCATATTTCAGGACCGTCTGATATACCTCCTTGTAGGTCCATTGCCGGCCTGCATATATAAGAAGTGCTTTGTTTGCCAAGTCTCCACGCGCATGCTCTTCGAGAATGTAGAAAGGGTTAAGTCGATCTCTCCTATGCAGAAGAGCTATCTTTATCATCGATTTGACAGCGGGCGCGATAACGCGGTAATCATAACTAAGGCTGGTTCTCGCGTTCAAGTAGGCCAGGCCAGCGGCGGCTGCCGGCGCAGCGAGGGCGATTGGAACTGTTGGACAACCGTCAGAACACGCCTTTGAGGGGGAGAGGCACATAGAGCATGCAGACCTGGCATTGCACTAATTGTCTATCTTGTCGATCGACTTCGTACGAGTATCTCGGGGCCTCTGGTAGATTGTTCCGTTGTCAATTTCGGGGGTTGAGGGAGGATCTCTGGGTCCTTTAAGGGGGTCTGAGTTGATGTAGGAGAGAGCGGGGAAAGGAAATAGCGTTGAGCTTAGATAACAAACATTACACTACACTACCCAAGGAGACTTAAGGGGACGTGGGTGAATCCGTAGCCCAAACATTGCGAGGAGCAACAGCAAGATGCCGAGGCACAATACACAATGCATGCCACCTGTGGGTGCGAGCACAAAGACACTTGGATAACTTACGTGCGTAGGCACTGCCAGCGGCCATATCAAACACAGTGCACCATGGTACTTGTACGAAGTACAGATATTAATAATTGGGTTCAACCGGTTCAAACATTCCTCGATATATGGATATACAAATCATAACATATTATATACTTATATTAATTAGAAGTTAGAATGGCCTTTGCAGTGGGGCATTGTGGACCCTCAGCCTTGTCCGCCCTGCGCCGGGATCCCTGAAGCCACGGTCGCGTCTGACCTCGCATGTTGAATTAAGACCTAAGAGCTTCACAACCACCACAACAACCACAATCACAATGCAATGAATGGCAGAACCAGACGTCATCCGTCCCTGCTCCCCCCCTGGCAGATGTGACAATTGAAAACTCTCCAACTCCAGAATGTCAGCATCTTCGCAGGCTCCTCCTGCAGCCATTCCAGAGTCTGGAGTCCAACAGGATGACGATCGCAAGTCGAAAAATGGAATAACAGCTCCCGACAATGCTGTGTCCGCCATGGCCAAAAAGGAGCCGCCTCCTGAGAAGCCGGCGGAGATCCGATTACGCCGCCTCGTTATATTGTCCTTCTGGCTGATCATATTATTCCTGGGCCTGCCAATATGGTGGAGGACTACAACGATTTACAGGGCTCGATTGCCGCTGGATCAAATGATGGACTGGGCCGAGGGCAGAGTATGGCTATGGACACACCTCAACTGGAGGAAGAGCTCTAGGCTGACACCACATTATAGGCATGCCGGCCGGTCTTTCCCCTCCGGATATCGATAGAGGCGGATTTCCTACAAGACCATGAAGCACAGCACCTGTTACGAACGACTCAACACGCCTTAGATGACTTGAACGATTTCTCGGCACATCATCTTCGACTACAGCTCTCCCCGTCTGCCAGTGCGTCAACAACAGCCCCGGAACTCTCTACCGGAGGTGAGGAAGAGGAGGTGGCCCTCGTGATACGGCTTCTGCCAGGGAACACAACAATAGCAGACCTCCAGTCATATTGTCCCATATTAGACATCTATTATACACCCAACCAAATACCCTCCAGCTCGTCTTCCTCGTCGTCGCTAGCTACATATATTGCCAATACACTACGAGAACTCTTTGCCGAAGAGCAGGCAATGATTGCATACCTACTATCCACTAGCTCCGCGCCTCCAGAACGAAGTCCCAAAGCATTGGCACCAGAGGTCGCAGAATCTCTCGCGAAATGGACCACCCGCTCGATGAAATATTCCCGCACATACCACCTCACCTTTTCCCTTTTTACGCCCAATGCCACACCTTCGTCGTGGGATATTGAGGCAGCACTAGAGGCGTATATGAAACCCTTACTAGAAAGCTTCTCCTCAATCAGCAACTTCACAATCGATACGCAGGTCCAACTCTACGCAACTCCGGGAGTTAGTGGCAACATTTTGAAAAAGGAGGATTTGAGTGGCTTCATTAACGCTGCAGAATGGCCGCTCAGCCCCAGCATCGGCGGAGCTCCAACGGTGAACTTCATTGTTTACGTCGGCGACATGGAAGTCGAAGGCGGAGGCAAAAGCTGGCTCATCCCGCAATGGGGAGGCGTCGTTGTCCAGTCCGATATCTCTGATCTCCGCCCAGCAATGCTCATTTTCTCGAATCAACTCATGTCGCTCCTCGGAGCCCCAGAATCGGGTTCCCTCCCTCTCCGCCTAATGACCCTGGTCCGTGTCCGCAGTGCCGGCCTCCTACTAAAAGCCAGCGGGACAATGGGAAGTCTAGCTCGGTTGACCCTCGCCCTACCTTCCATCAGTATCCCAAGATCCGTTGCTGACGGTGTGTATACGACCGTCGAACATTTGCGCAAGGCATGTGATGGTTTAGGTGGGAAAGAAGGGTTGGAGAATGCCCGGATAGCTGAGGAGGCTGCTGAGAAGGCATTCTTTGAGAAGAGTATGGTGGGCCAGGTTTATTTTCCTGATGAGCACAAGGTTGCTGTTTATATGCCGTTGCTAGGACCTGTGGGTGTTCCCTTGGTTATGGGGGTAGTGAAAGAAATTAAAGCGTGGAGGAAGAGGAAGAGGATGAGTAAATAGGTAGCCATTTAAACGAGAGACTTACGCCTGCCGCTCATTACTCATGGTTCCGGTGTCATCCGTATTTTGAGAGACAATGAATGGTCTTGGTGCCTGTACAGACATTGCCTTTCCGACACCACATATCCAGACAATCTAGTATACTAGCTCAAGTCGAAGCAACTCTCTTTGAGGTAGGACCTTCAATACCCTAGCATCACTCCCCTTGGAAGCACATATTGGAAATTGGCAACTCTCTATATATACCACACTGTAACCAACAACCTTCGAAAACGCAAGATCAGTTTGTGCAAAGCTATCTATGCCTGTATCACCATAAGATTTGAGACCATTAATCTTTAGGCGGTCACCGGGCGTTGATATACTTTGCATACCTACATTTGGCATCGTATTAGAATGAGTTGGAATAGTTGTAGAATTGAGGGTGGGAAGTCTGGATTATTCTAGTAAAACCCACCTAGCATTTATGCTGGCAGGTTCGAACTTCTTTGCGGAATAAGAGGCGAATAGCTTGTTCCGAGTATGATATTATAAGGGACTGTTAGGGAATAGAATCCACTACATTTGTCCTTGTTAGGTCGCCGAATACAACGAGAACTGGGTTCCTCGACTACTCAGTAGATTTGGGTATTTTATACCGTTCGATGACTTTCGTGTGCCTATGATAATGCCTGGATATCTCCAAGGAGACCGCCTTGAAGGAACTTACCGTCTCGGGTTGTTTTGGCAATAGTGTCTATACGGGGGCCACTGAGTCCCTCTGCCTTGCATTAGGCGAAAGTCCACGGCTCTCTACAGTTGAGACATTGATTGACACGGGTTCGATGCGCAACAAAAGATTTAATTTATATTGAGGGGAGTTTCAAGAGCCGTTAGGCGTTGAGCAAGTCGCTCGATATTGCATTTTTTTTAAAAGCTCAATTGCCATCAGTGACCTGACAGAGGAAGGTTGGTCGTATCATTCAGCGCCACATGTCAGTTCGTTTCGTGTCTCCTCGAATGCGCTTTCGAAACCAAGGTGTGGAATTTGTTGACAGGGCAAGGGCTCCTTCGCCCATTGGAGGATATTCTTAGAAGGCCTCCAGATGAATAGGAAAAAGGATTCGCATCTTGTGCGCTTCGTACGTACGAAAAGCTGTGAAGGTTGTTTACGAAGAGCTTCATATTCGCGGGGACCTGATAACGTGGCTGCGATTTGCGAACTTCTTTATCCCTTGCATCATATGCTATGCGGCATGATCGGAGGAGGATTTTGAGTTGCGAGGGAAGAGCGATCAGATTGTTTCCAAAGTTTTGCCTAGCAAGGGAGAAGGATGTTTCATCCAAGTGCGGAGTACTTGGTACTACGTACTCGAGTGCAGCTGGCAACAAGAGGATCACTCATCCCTGGCTAGAGACCGCCTGTGACTCTGTCAGTGATCGAGCATTGATAATTGATAAGGGCAACATGTGGTACTAGTACTGTACGTAAGTAAAGGGGCCCGAGAACATCCAGGTATAGTACATGTACATGTACCTATCTGCCCTCCTCCAGCCCTGCCGATTGTTTTCTTCTCCAGTACGAAGTACGTAGCACTCCGTTGATTGCTCCCAGCCCGCGAAGGATCGTCGGGACTCGGACGGTCACATGGAGGCTGGTGTTGCATGGGATTGACATCACCTGTAGCACAACTCGCGAATTACTCCATGTTAGGGTTCTTGGTCTTGTCGAGACGAGGGAGCATTACTGGCCCCGAGGGCTGGATGTTTCGTGGCAGAGGCACAGTCCACGACATCCTCGGTCATAGCAGTGGGTGAAGTTATAGCGAGCCAGGCCCGAGGCGCCTCCCGCTGGTGCCGGCACCGCGGCCACGTGGTGTTTGGTGCTTGATACTACCACGAAGTAACACCTTGCACCATCTGAGCAAACCTCACTCAACTTCTCTAGGGCATCCTAGCAGGTCGCGTGCAAAGCGCTACAGTACGATGGGAAAGGACTTCTTAAGTTATTCGCAAGACAAGACCAAGTACGCCCTCGGCACTGTATGTACGTACTACGGAGTGCACCGGGTACTCTACATTAGCTTGCTTCAACAGCGCGCCGCCCTCGTGCCTTTGTTGTATGCGCCGATGTGGAACCGTTGATCACAGCCTTATTCGCCTTAGTCCCGGGGCGTCAGACTACGTACGGAGGTTTGTTTACGCTGCCTGCTTAAGTTTCCGAATTTGCGGTGATAGCCCAGGAATAGTAGCGCTTACACGAGGCTTACGAAACAGTCCGAAGTCCAGCACGAGCACAGAATACTTCTGTGCTCCAGAGCCCAGACTCCCGAGTCCCGGCAGTAGCAAGCGCAGGCAGAAGCAGACGAAGAAGAAGACGAACTCAAGAACCAGAGGCATTATTATTTGTATTCGACAACATCGACAGGGGAACTTCCCCTTCCAGCAGCGTCGCCGGGAACGTTGGAAACGTCAACCTGCCAGTCGGACCTCCTCCAGCCAGTCAGTCTCGTCCACCATGGATGGCTTGTTGGAAACCCGGGAGACCACTTCCCCAGAGTCTAGGCAAGTCTGGGATATGCTTGGCCTAGACTTGGCCTGAATGCCTTGTCATGACTCAAGTGGGACATTGTTCTTATTTATTGAGCTAACACCGGAGATCTAAATCGATCGCCCATCTCATTTCACCCGGTCAAGGCGACCCCGCAATTACCTGTGAGACGAGGAAAGAAAACAATAGGGAAAAACAGAGGGTTAGAGGGAACGCGACTAGTACCGCCCTCAAGAAGGCCAATCAGCCCAACAGCGGCGCGGTCAGCACCGATTTATCCAGAGACGGCCATCTTTATTTCTCAAGGGTGCGGCTCGGTTATTCTCCTTTGGGTACCAAGTTCCAACTCCCAAACCAACGAGTTCAGGGGCTGGCATCTTTTTGCCAACCATCCTTCCAACCACAGCATCACTTCCGGATGCCCGCTACTTACAGAGTACTTTGGTTCTGATTCTGCTGCCAAACAGCTTGAACTTGAACCCCTTTCCCATAGCCGGTTGGAAATGCTGCGCACGCTTTGATAGCCGAGAGCATAACTGTTGGTATTATAATAGCTTGTGCACAAGGGTTTATACCGTGTTGCACCATATACTGGCACCCGCTCACAGTCGCAATGATAGTGGGGTACCTGCGCCGGGTGTCAGCGTTGAACCAACGCCCTAGTTGACACTTCTACAGTATGTACGCAGTGCAATATGGAACTATTCTGGTACCAGTCCACCGGTTTTGATTGCTGTTTTCCCATTTGCGGAGAAGCCAGGGCCTCAATACAATCATCTACCCCTAATTGTAGACTCGCACACCCTAGCAGCATGACATGCAGCAATCCCCGTCTCCAAGTCTCCTAGTTCCCTCAAACCCTTACGCCGCCACTGTCGTTGCCCACTAACCCGCCCTACCCACCTTGGGAACTTGTCCGATAGTTTCTTTCAAGGTTCTGAATTAGTCTTACGAGCAGGGTTGGTTACCTAGAAAGCTCTTGGTTAATGCAAAAGCTGCAGCATATCGGCAGTCGGACCGAGGACAAGGCTCGTACGGGCCATCAACTATAACTCCTCGAGGTTGGTTTCAAATATTAAAACGCCTTTCTTCTGGAAAATCGCTTCTTCCACCTGGAGATTCTTTCAGGGTTGCTTGTTTAGAGGCGTTGATCGGCGTTCATTCGACTATTGAATCCATGGTTCTATATATGCATATATAAAACGGATTTGCCCCCAGAAGAATTTTAACCTATCGAAGACTTCATACCTAACCTCTAGCTTATCTCTACACATTCTCGACCTCGAATTTGTTCTCGAGCAGCCACTTGCTGCCTGACCAAGCTATTGCTACCATTGCCGGCCTTTCTCATCCACCGATTTTGGGTCTCTTAGGAGGAGGTCCACAATGGACCATGCCGTGTCTTCAGCCTATGCGAGCTCCTCTATAAATCCTCTTCCCACAGATATTCACAATGGGATGATTGCCATGGGACTAGTAGGGGTGCTATCGACTGCGTCAACCGGCTCTCTTCTACTGTTCATCACTTACCGCATGGTGTATTGGCGTCGGTTTTACGATCTCCCCCTTGCTACAAACCAAATCTTCATCTTGATTTTCAACCTCCTCCTTGCGGATTTCCAGCAAGCGCTCAGCTTCCTAATCGCCTTCTATTGGCTTGCTCAAGATCAGCTGGTCGGACCCTCGAAAATATGTTTTGCCCAAGGATGGCTGATCCAAATTGGAGACCTGAGTTCTGGAATTTGGGTTCTTTCGATTGCGGTCCATACATTTGTTGGTCTTGTTCTCCAAAAGACAATTCCATTCCCGGCATTTGTTGGGGGCATCTTGACAGTTTGGCTGTTTTGCTTGGTTTTGACAGCTGTTGGACCGATTATGCATGGTACCAAGTTCTTCGTACCAGCTGGAGTCTGGGTAAGCCACCCCTCAGGACTAAAAATGCTTGTTCTTCTAACATAATGCAATAGTGCTGGATTGGGGAAGACCACGGGACACATCGTCTCACCCTGCACTACCTCTGGATATTTATATCTCAACTCGGCTCCATTGTTATCTACCTCACGATCTATCTCTACCTCCGCTTCCGAGTGGCGAGTTCAATCCAGCCTCAAGGAATGCTAAGTGATGGCTCCGCCAACACGTCAAGCCCTTCCTATAATAACTACACCAAACGCATGGTGGGCATAACCACCACCACTATCGTCAGCAACCCCGCTCGTAACCCTTTCGTTGTCTCACGACAGAAAATTTTACGAACGGCTAGATACATGGTCGTCTATCCATTCGCATACGTCACCCTAACTCTCCCCCTTGCGGTCGGGCGAGTCTCAGCAATGGCGAACAAAAACCCGCCAATGATTTTCTATTGTGTTGCAGGCACCATGATGGCCTCGTGTGGCTTTATCGACGTCGGTTTATACATGTATACACGAAACGCGCTGGTGCGCAGTAGCATCGGCTTAAAGGAATCCAACGGAGCGTTCGGCGATAATAATCCGTCAACATACCCGAATGGGAATCCAGGAATCGGAGATTTGGAGGGAGAGTCGAGCGATAATATCCGGATGGATGGGCTAAGGGAGGGTCGGGATACGGATTCTTTGTCAATAGAACATAAGGAGGCGTTAGGGAGGAGCGCCATTATCGTATCACGATCGGTGACGAGGACCGAGGACCAGTTTCCGCAGAATGCCAAATACCACAGGTCGGATTCTCTGAGGAGCTTGGTGGAAAGGAAAGAGGAGGGGAGCGGCAGTGATAAATCATGGTTAACGGCAACTTAAAAACATTATTACTTACTAAATATGAAAACTATCAAATGTTCAAAGTTCATCCCATATTCCTGGACCTCATGAGCTCTGTCATGTTCATCACTCGTCTTTGCTACGATATACCCATAGGGTATTTATGAGAAGCATGATCACGGTACAGTGGATGGATCATGGGCTACAGCTGTCAGGAGCATAGTACCATGTGCTATGGTGTTTATCGCACCGTTTGTGGAGAGGTTTGAACCTGGCCGGCACACTAAAATGAATGCCGAAATACGGGAAGGGGCGGGCAAGGGGGTTAACGTAACCCCTAGTATAAAGTAGCGTCGTCCGAAAAGGCTCCGCCGGTCAAAGCCGCAAATCACCTATGATAGAAATCGGCACTACATAACTGTATGTGAAATTAGTCAGTATTGGCAACTAATTCAATCCAGCTATCCTCTTACCACGCAACTTATCTCGGGAGAGCTAGATTCCGTGGCATGTCAAACGTTCAATCCCGCGGTGACATTTCTAGGTATGGACTAGCATCTCTGTTGCGTTTTGACTAGGACAGTGTATCTCGATTGAGTATGATGGCCGAGAAGCTCTGAAGTGGAGCAATTGCGGAATTGGCCGAGATATAGTTTGGATGATCGACGGCACGGGCTCTAAATGTCAAGGCCACAGGAAATGAATAGCTACTAGCTATTAGCTAGTTAATGCATCAGATCTACCCTTCGGACTAAAGACACTGCATCAGATCGTCGCTGCTAGGTGAATTGCCTTCATATTTTACAACTTTTGTGAAATATAGCATGAGTTCGACAAGCTCGCTATCAACTAATACCGGTATTTTAGCAGCGGCACTGATCTTGACATATTCTTATGCCGTTCTTATGCCGCTCTTATGCCGCTCTTATGCCGCTCTTATTTCTCGAAAAATTAAATATATCTCAGCGTCGGCGACATTGTATCTGCCTTTCTGGGGCTTTTATTACTGTAGACCGAAAGGAAGTTAGAAATGGCACGGGCTGCCCATCAGGTGAAAAGTTGATGGTACCTTCCTTTGCCAAAGGGCTCCGGCTCTCGGTTTCTCTGTATTCAGTACTTCGGTCAAATTTACGCTTAGTGCCATAGTCAAAGGAAGAGACACATCCTTGGGCTTCTGCCATCTTTTCCTTCTTGACCTTGGAAATGGCCCAGGGCAGCCACAAAACAGACCTCTTTACTTTACGGCGCAATCTTTCAAAGTAACTCTGCTGCAGGATAGAAGGTAGACAATGGGCATAATAAACGGCCTGGCGACTTTACGAAGGAGGGGTTCGTTTTAAGGAAATAGTTCCTGGTGAGGGAAATGGCGATTGGAAAGAACCAGCCGAGGCTGGCGCCCGAAGCGGCCAATGGTTACCAAATAACAAGTTCGAGCCTGACTTCAAAGTCCTCGTATGTACCTGCTCTGGTGGTAATAATAGTAGTTTGAAAATTTCAAACGTCCCGGACAGCGTTCTTAAAATGAGAAATAAAGAGATAGGACCCACCTGTGGTTCTCACCAATTCCATTCCAAACTGGGCCAACCAGAAATATGCCTATTGATATAATGTAAGTCAATCCTGCAAAATCAAATCTCATTAATGAGCGTTCAACAATAAAGGTAATAAACATAATGGTTCACAGTTCCTTGTCATGAAAAAATTATGAGGTTTCTTAGAAGTGGTGCTTAGCTCGCGCTCACTACTCCGTAGCGAGTCCAGCCAATCTGTTTCGAGACTAGCTTAATTCAACTGCCACAAATGTGAGTAAGTCGCATTTAAATACCTTGATACGCAAAGCTCAACTCAACTTCCGCTCCAATGGCGCAATGGTAGCGCGCGAGACTTCTACACCTATTTTCCAATATTTAGGCAATCTCGAGGCTGTGGGGTAAGTTTTCAATCCCATAACTGACTTGATTTATACTAATATGCATACAGTTCGAGTCCCACTTGGAGTGTAACGATTTTTGGTATTCTTTTTTTCTTTCGTTTTGGTAGTCCGGGAGTAGGGTGGCGAAGTGGAAGCTACCTACCTTAGGTAGGTAGGACTCCTCTCGCCAATCTTTTATTAGTCTATTCGACTTGACTCTCTGTGTCGTTCGCGACAATCTCCCTTCCCCAAGCCCCACCTAATAACTATGCTATATTCTACTCTATTCTTAATACATAACTATTATTGCAGTAAAGATGACAAAAAGGAATTATCAAAGGATCAACAAAGACGTCCCAGGTATATAGGCCTAGATTTATCTATATAGAAAAGAGTTTAGGAGTGGTGAGTTGCTTTTCAAACTTAGTACCATTCTTGAGTTAGAAAAGAGTTAATTAAGCACGCAAATAAGGCTACTAAAAGTAGTAGATTTGGGGTATATTACTATGAATAATAAAACAACACATTTGCACACTGATATAGCCCTATTGCGAGCTATAGTAACCCAACTCAAGTCACGATAAAGAAACGTTCAGGATTAGCAGGCGCTAACTCCAAATTGATTCCCCTCTCGGCACGAGCTTTAACTTTTAAGATTAAATCTAGCTAGTCTCTCATAACAAGGGAACAATGCAATTTACAATAACTGCTCCGAGGTTAGCATAGGATATCTAGATAGTGGGAGGTCCTGTGACTCCTATCTCTAAACAAATAGATCCGAGTAGTATCCTATAGATTCCTACTTACCTTTCGCATCCCTTCTCGACACGGGCTTCAAAACCAACATAGCCTAACCGCCCGCAAGGTAACGACAATGTGATCGACATCAATTACTTCGGGGCTAGGAGTGGATATCCAGAGCTTATGGCTATCAGGGCAAGGGCTGAGAAGAAGGTTTCCGAGTAACAGATCTTGGTTTCCTCATTTTACCGGCTTCGTTCGTAGCCACCTTTCACCGCCCGTCCTCTCGACAACCACAATCCCTCCTATATAAAGCCAAATAAGGCAAAACCGGTTAATCGGCACAAGGGCTGTCCACTTGGCGAGGTGGTACAGATCAAATTGTGTGTGCGATGTTGGAGAGAGTTTCCTGTCTTCGCTTAGAGAGATCTCGAAAAAGGCTTAGCCTAAAATAATTAAAACTCAGTGCGTCTGGTTTTAACCAGGGGCGGGCGCTTCGGCGCTCCCTGGAGTTTTGCTCTTTTGAATTATCGAATCCTTCTGTCTTTTCTTTTTGGCTTGTTGTTGACGAGGTGGAGTATATAAAAAATTCTCAACTTCGGTTAGTGAAAGCGAGAAAGGGAAACCAGGAGGCGCGAATGCAAAAGCTCACCTTCGGTTATATAAAGGGGGGAAATAAAGCAAAACATATTGCCATTTCTAGAACAAGCCCAGTTATTGTTCTCAAACCTTCGATTGTATCTCGAAATTCGAATTATCGTTTGCAGATTTTACTATTGGTTAAACTAGGTCGGATAGGACATTTAGGACTGTGAACTGGCTACTTGCACTATTAATGGGGGAGGGGTGCTAGGCGAGTCTTTATATAGGCGCTATTTGGCAAAGGGCTCAAGGGTCCATAAAAGCTACTTCCCCTTGCCATTTGAGACATGCTCTAGCGCCTCCGTAGTGCCGTTAAGACCAGTGGTTCCGTCGACTGCTACTGAGATTTAGTTCTTTCCCAGACTAAAAGATATAGTGAGAACCGGCGATTACTATTGGAGAAGTCTTTTGGCAGCGGCAGCCTTTGTTAGCCTGCTATCAACCTGACTATAACCCGTACTCATTGATAATCTTCTCGGCAGCTGTTTCTCCCTGCAGAATAAATGTAAGCCTATATTATTAAACGTGCCTTACTAAGGAGGCTGGTGCACTTACAATCAAATAGCAAGTACTCTGTGTATGATTATTCATCATAAGTGGTGCAACTGAGAGATCGACAACCCTCAGCCCCTTAGTGCCTCTGACCAGAAATCGGTTGTTCACAACACACATCCCATCTCTCTCCTTTCCCATTTTGCACGTTCCGGCAAAATGTAATCCACAACTCCCCTGCTCCTTGCAAAATTCCCGAATATCTTCCTCACTATCACTCTTCGGAGCAATAATTGCCTCTTCGATAAGACCTTGGGCGGCCGGGGCGCGGGAAAGCTCCAAGCATCCGCGAACGGCCTCGGTCGCAACGCGGCGGTCATATGGATGGGAGAGGTAAGCTCCGTCAATTACTTGTAGCGTTGAGGGGTCGGAGGAAGATAGTGTAACGGAGCCAACAGATTGGCAGTTCATGATGGCGGCAACGAGTGTTAATATTTCTGCGTCTGGGCGCAGAGGTGGTAAGCTTCCTACAGCGAGATTGGTGCATATGAGTTCGTGCGTGCAGGTCTTTGAAATGTGGGTTTTGACTGATTCGGGGAGAGAGTAAAACTCTGGAGAGAATAGCACGGCGGATGATTGGAGCCAGGCCATTGATGCCTGGCTCCCGGTATCCAAAAGAGGATCTCCGACATCCTTAGACACAGTGGATTGCGTTCCTGTTTGAAAGGCCTTCGGTTTTAGGAGGAATGATATAAACAGCAGAGAGTGATCTATTAGATTATTCCCAACGCCAGGAAGGTCTTGGATAACAGGGATCGAAAGGTTGCTAAGCTCATCGGCTGGACCAATTCCAGAGAGGAGAAGAATCTTTGGCGAATCCAAAGCCCCAGCAGATAGTATGATCTCCTTCGATGCATAGTAAACTTGCCCGGAGAGAGTCGAAACACCAACTGCGCGCTTGGTATCATCGAAGAGGACTTTGGCGACAACGTTGTTTGTAAGAATTGTGAGATTCGGTGGAGGAGACGAGAGATATGCCGTGAAAGCCGTTACTCGGGCTCCATTGAAGAAGGTTGAGGGCGCAATTCCCATCCCGCTTGGGTTTCCAGAATTGGGATCGCCATTGATGTCGATCTAAATCCGCTAGAATCCAATATATAGCTATAAAAGCGATGACGAGATGCCTACCTCAAGCTCCTTTGCAATCTTGAAAGCTAAAAGCTCCTGACCCCCCCAGATCTGACTGTAAGACAGATCTACCATGCCGTCCTTCGAGTGCAGGTTTAACAGTTCGCGGTTGACCATCTTCGATTGCTCGTCATCGATGCCATCACGGACTCTCTCAATCTTTCTGAACCTCTGCTTGACCCCGTTTCTACCCTCCCACTTCCAGCACGGATCGTCCACCAAACCAGCCCATTCATTGAAGTCTTCCTGATACCCTATAATCCAAGAGGAGAAGTTGACTGCACTCGAGCCCCCAAGGCCTCTACCACGAGGACAACCCAGTTCTCGCCCGTTAAGATGTGACTGAGGGGTGGTTTTGTAGCCCCAATTGATGGATGGTTCTGTGTAGACTATCGACCAGCGGTTCTCAGGAGTGCGGAGTGTGGGGCTATCATTTGCACTGCCGCCTTCGATGAGAAGAACCTTTGGGGCAGAGGGGGCATTTGCAAGGCGGCTGGCAACGACGCAGCCAGATGTTCCTCCTACCAAAAATCAGTAGTTCTTTTGGAGTTTGTGTAACTCTATGTTTAACGCACCTCCGACAACTATGAAATCAAAAGTTTCGCCCATCCCGTGTGATAAGGCGTTTGATGGGCTATCTACTATTAGCCTTTTGCGGGGTAAAATGTTTTTGAAAGTAGTTGTTAAAGTAGTGAGCTTTATATTAAAAATATCCAGTGTAAGATTATAGCTACAACTGTGGGTAAAGAACTATATAGTAGGTACGCATTTTACGTCGAACTTTCTTAATAAACTGACGTATGTAGGTTGAAGCATACCTGCCTATGCTCTGGGAAGTCTGAGGTATTATAGTGACATGCCAGGTGACTTTGGAACCAGCTTGTATCGCCCAACTCGGGATCTGACGAGACTGTGTTACCTCGTCCTACCACAAGATAATATAAAGACGCACATCGGCCTTATCTCCGTGACAGTGATACGAGAGGTTACGCAGCCGGATGACCGCATGCTAACAAACACCACGATACAATGCAATATCATAGGGGCAGCTGGCTCCTCTTGGGCTATGAGATATAGTCGCATCCCTACATGTACGATTTCTGTTTTTGTTAACTTGTAATCCATCCCATTTAACATTCTAAGGATTTTCATTTGGCACTTACTGCATATATGGCCACAGCCCGGGAATGGCCATTCTAATATGGATCGGATAATTAAAGCATGGTTACCTCAAGATGCCCGAGTCCACCCGAATGGCAGGGTAAGTTGCGTGCGGGCATTTGCTCTTGTTCGTCGCTGATTAATCCGGCTCCAGGACACGACAGGAGGAAACAGCCAGCGAATGCGAAACTTGCCCATTGCCTAATGCAATATATGTCCCAATGGTGGATCTCACCCTCTCACCTAGCGCGACTGATTGGTCTTGGGTTATGCGCTTCGGCATTTGTTTTGCATTTGAATATACTCGAGTATGCGAAGCAGCAAACGACGTGGATGACCAAATCCAAGCAGGAAACTTGGAGCCACGCGTCTGAATTAATGAAGAATTCCTCGATGTTGGTCTATTTGGGACATAACTGGAGTTATCGCGAAGAAATCGAGCCTTCCTGTTACGCGCAAGGTACGGATTACCCCGTAAGCAGTTTCTTGAGCTGCTCCAGGCCTTGAGCTGGGCCACTTCCGGCTCGTACGCTGCAGCATGGAGCACCTGCGCCAGGCCCCAAGCCCTCAGGCGTATCGGAACCCCCAATGCCTGCCAACGGCTAGAATCCAGCTTTACAGACTTCATGGCACCATCAGTAATCTCTAGCCCACCGCTTCTAGTTTCTTGCCTCAACAGATTATCAATTGCGACCGTTCTCGAGTGCATCATATCAAAGCTATAGTAGGCGATATTGGAGACGATCTAGCCTAGGAAGAGTCGCATAAATATTTTCGGAGCTTCTCTACTCTTCGCAAGTGTAATCCTTTGTATCCAGAAATTTGGGTCAATCCGTTCTACATTGGGGGACACAACAACCTCTATTAGATGAAAACGGAAATTGAGAAGGTCGACGATACTAGTTTCCTTCGACTACCTCAATGTAATATAATCATGTTCCTAGACGAAAAAGCTCTTTGTTAAATACCATTTTGGTTCACTTCAACTAGGGATCACGAGGATAGTGTACCTAGGTAGGTTGAAATCTAGAGAACCTCTGGATTGGGCATTGAAAAGATGTGAATTTTATGTATGGATAAAACTGAAGCAAATTTCTATAGAACATCAAGCCTTGAACATATGAAAAAACGCGAAAATGTCAAAATAAATGACAACTGTTGTCAGTTCTGCCAGTGCCTCCAGCTGACTTAGGCCCTGTTCAGGTATGCTCACCCTCGGCTCAGGTAGCAGCGCCAGTGCCTAGGTCCACCGACTAATCGAAACGAGGCAAAGGGAAGGTTGTGTATGACAATAGAGGTTTTTCCTCGGTTCAGATAGGCTCATGTTCTCTCATGAATCATCTTGAATTTAGTTCGTACCGCCGCAGCTGTCAGGCAGTGAGCCATCTGCGTGACGTATGATACTCGCAAAAGACTTGAGTGTTTGCAGTGATGCCTTTATGGTCTATTCATAGAAGTAGTTAAATACAGGCCTTCAGTGCTTGAAGTGCTTCAGCCTTAATAGTTTCATCCAGACCAGGACATCCACTATCCTCCGACCTTGTGGCCTTCGAGAGGGATCTTGCCCGTTGAAGATTTGCCGCCAAGTCGGTATTCCAGACCCATTTCTGGTTACAGTTCAAAGTACGCACCAAGCTTTTCTCATCGAATATTCCCTGGGGTTGCTGCAAGTCGAGCAGTTGACCTTGCAACCTCGATTTCTCGATAAGTTCTTGACACCTTGGCCGTCTCGAGATATCGTAGGCGTGAAAAGCATACTTGATATCGGATGGTGATTCTACCAGCTCTGGCGTGAGGAGTCCAGAGAGTAGATGTACATCTTCAATCGCAAAACCGGCTCCTGCATCCAGATGCGGAGTTGTTGCGTGGGCTGCATCGCCCAGGATGCAGAAATTGTCTTGTGCGTATGTTTCTGATGGGATAGTATCGAATAGAGCCCACTTGTCAGGGTCTTCGATCAGCTTGAATTCAAATTAGCAATTATCACATATCTAGTTGATTTGTGGCTATCAAATCAGACCGAAAACGGAGTGCAAATACCTTGAGTATATTTCTAGGGTACTCTGCCCATCCAGCGAAATCTTTTAGAATTGCGTCTCGTGAGCTGGGTACTACCCATTGCCGTTGCGTCCAAGGGGCTCCCTCCGCATCCCGAAAGGCAGCGATATTCAACGCCTTTCCGTTCCGGATTGGAAAAGTTAGAATATGCCCCCCTTTTCCCAAGTACATTTGTCGATTTTGCGCCTCTGGCCCCACCGCTCGAATGGCTTTCTTCATATCCACCACTTTTCGATACGCATATTTCCCACTATAAACTGCATTCGCACTCTTATCGTCTTCACCGAATAGGATCCGGCGGCAAGCTGACCGAATACCATCGCATCCGATGACGGCATCGGCATTTGTGTCAGTCCCGTCTTCAAACCGGACTCTCATCTTCCCAAATTCGAGCTCATCATCCTCCTCCACATCGATGACCCTCTTCCCAAAATAGACCTCCACATCTTTCGAAAGTAAGTCTACTAAGTTCGCCAAAAATTGCGCTCTTGAAGCGTTACAATGTGCAAACCCCTGCTCACTCGGCACCTCAGCGATCAGCTCTCCCGCCCTAGGCCCATCACCAAACCGCATTTCATACCATATATTGGCGGCTTTTTCTGGGCCCATGTTGGGCGTTTTGGCCTTGTCATAAGCTGCTGTAATTTTGGGGGATATTAAGTTCATTGCTTGGATGGCATTGGGCCCAAAACCAACACCGGTTGATAGTTCTGAGAAGCGGAGACGTGACTCAAAAATTGACAGGTGTAGATCGGGGTTGCGTTCTGAGAGTGCTAAAGCAAGAGTGACACCAGCGATGCCCGCACCGATGATAGCGACCCTGATTTGAGGCTTTTGGGAGGACATGATTTTTAAGAATATTATGCGGCTTGCTTATTCAGGGGAGAGGAAGTGCTTGGAAACGAAAGGGATCTAGGTATCTATACTTCATTGCTTCGGCATAGCACTCCAGCCGGGTGGTGCGCAAGAGAAAGATAAACGACGTACTAGCTCGAGAGAGCGCGCAGCTGATGAGGCTAAAATTTCTAGCGGCGGCGATTTTGTGCATTGTGATGTCGTCGTTATCCTTGAGTCGTATGATTCTCTGCTGGTTGAATATTCCCGGATCGTACGATTTGAATATATACCTAGGTACTCAACCCCGTTGCGTCACACGTTCCATATTCTCTCTCAACTCAACTGCGACCCATATTCGGCAGTTTCACTTATATACCTAGGTACAAATTCGAGTATTGCCCACCTATTGCAAACACATTCTGGATTTAGTAAAAGAGTGTAGTACTCACGTGACTAATCTCGCTCATGAGGTCATGTGATGTGGCAAGGGTACCTGTGCTTCCTATTTCCCTAATTAAGTGCCCTTCGTAAGTAGAGACTTTTAAAGAAATGTTGCTCTAGCGGGCTGAAGTATTGCAACGACAAAAACCCAATCCTCATCCTGGGGGTACTCTATGCATTGGGTTGTTTGGAAGGATAACTTCGGGGAGTTAATAAGTCGCGATTGAACTTTTAACCTCTAGGGTACGAAAATTCAACATGACATAGCAATTAAGGACCATTGTAATAAGAGATGATAAACCCTTTAACATACTCAGCCATATTCTTGTACAGTGCGAGGTTGGGATACCAAGATTCCGGTCTGATTTGTACGACGCTCGCCAGCCTCACCCGATTCGGATCTCCCACCACTATCAATGTGGCTTGGAGCTGCATCCTCAGAAATATATCTAGCTAATGGAAGTTTCCAGTATAATTAAACATCTCTAATCAGGACTTTAATCTGTTGCAGAGGTATTATAAATGTATAGACATATGAGCCCCCTTAGCGGAGTTAGCGAAGCGAAGCCCCTGAAAGGTCGGCGTTAAGGGTACTCATGGATTATGAGTCTAAAGCACAATAAGGAGGTAGGCATGCTTACCCGACTAATGTGTCAGGATACACTCACAAATCTACCTAATAAGTTGATCATTGGACATTTGCGTAGTGTTACCTAATAAACAATTTTACAAAGCGATTGTTGCTTCATAATCGGTAACGCTAATTGATAGACCTGCAAATTGAATACTAACGCCGATATACCCCTGATCCCCGAAGAGGCACAGTAAATACGCAATGTTGTTGTCGCTTTTCAATGCGAAAGACTGACGACATGGGTCGGTCAAAATGTATTCTACAAACCAGTGGCTGGAACCCATCCTTGTATTGATGGGATTTTGATGAAATTTGCGGATTAAGAAAGGCCGAACGCTGTGAATGCCTTACTAGGATATAATTTGATATGCTCAGTTGCGTAGTTTCCCTGTCAGTATTATCGTATCGGTCGACTTGAAATAGTATGTCCGAAGGAATTTGGATCTCGTTACTGGCGTACTTACAAATGAGAACTTTGAATGTAAGAGGGACATAGAATTGAAGGGAAGTCGAGAAAAGTTATATAAAATGAGTTGTCCGGTATGATTCCTATTGTTATCACTCAGCTCGCCATTCTCATTCCAGACTTCGTTCATCACAATCACGATTAAGATGGCTTTCCTTCCAAGCTCTTCCCTCTTGATTTCTGCTCTGACAGTGATTCTCGCATTCACTCCGTTTTCGCAAGTCCTCAGTCACCCAGCACCTCAAGATGCAGCAGTCCGCACCGTCTATCAATTCCCCAACCTCACATCACTCGAGAACATTGCCGTCCGTTCCAACGGCCAACTTCTAGTCGCAGTCATCAGCTCCGCCGAATTGTACCAGGTCGACCCGTTCAACAACAAGGGTGCATCGCTGGTCCACCGCTTCCCTGGCGCCCTGAGCACCTTAGGGATCGCTGAAGTCGAACCCGATATCTTCGCCATCATTGTCGCGAATTATACACCTGGAGTCCCGACGGTGAATGGCTCCGGTTCTATCTGGAGAGTCGACCTGCGGTCCTTCAAATGCTCGGATAATGGCGATGTTACCTCGCAGCCCACCGTCACTAAAATTGCATCCATCCCTGAATCTTTACTTCCCAATGGGCTGGCTCTCCTGGCGCCAGGTAGTCCGTATATCCTAGTTGCAGATTCAGGCTTGGGCGCTGTATGGCGTGTCAACTTCCACACTGGGGAATACGTCAAAACACTCTCGCATCCTCTTATGTTGCCATCCCCAGAGGTGGACCTGAAGATAGGCATCAACGGAGTTCATATTTTCAGAAGTACGCTCTACTTCACCAACACCGTTTTAGATGGCGGCTTCTTCGCAAAAGTGCCCATCCACCTTTTTGGCCCCAACGCTGGAACCGCAGCGGGTGATTATGTCGTGGTTTCAAAGAACGGCTTTGGTGATGATTTTGTCATGGACAAAAATGGAAACGCATATATTGCCCAGAACGTAAAGAGTGGGGTCCAACTTGTGACGCCGGATGGGAAATTCAGTGTTATTGCTGGGAACGAGAACTCGACGGCTTTGGCAGGTGATGCGGCGCTGCAATTTGGGAGGACCACTCGCGATAAAAATGTGCTGTATGTAGTGACTAGTGGCAACAGTGGTATTTTGCTGCCAGGTTTGCCGGAAGGAGGGAAAGTCGTTGCTATTGATATTGCTCGGCTATAGGTCCCTTGGTGCATTAATTGTGCCAAGTGAGTAGGTGAAAGAGTTAGATATAATTAGATTAGTAACAGAAAAATATTTCTTCTTTCTCTTAGACACACGGCGTAGTTAGGTCTTCCTTGACAGAATCTTTGTGGATTAATATTGAAATTCAAATAGATATAACCTTGAACTGCTTCTGTTTTATATACGCATGAAAGGGGACCCAATGAAATATACTCAACTGGCCTGGTAGTCCTAGTTATTCAAACTTGATATGCATACCCCTATACCTAGGTCATCCCTAGCTACAACCTACCCAAAGCTTCATCAAGTCCCTTCTCGTCGGATTTCAAAATTTCTATCTAAAGGTTACATGCCATGTCTAGAGGCGCGGCCAAAATATCTCCACGAACGATGGGGAGTTCGAATGGGACTTTCTTCACATCTTTTATCCGGTTCTACACAGTGTGGGAGGATATTCTTAATTTCAAATTAAACAAAGTGCGGACTTGGTATGTCGTTTCAGATCCTCACTAATCCAATCACCGCACCACAACCCAATCCTGATCGTTATTATCCTCGTTAATATGCTCCGTCTCACTCACAACTTCGGAGATTTCGATCTTTGGGCACGCTAGCACTCCAACTGCCCGGAGTGAATAGTCATCTGTCCACCAATCGCCTCCCGCTATTGAAATCCATTAGTACGAGTTTGTTTGCTAGCTTTAAGTATTTCCATCTTGCATTTGCATCGAGATAAAACAATCAGTACGCACACAATTTAACAGCTGCCCACTTGGTGCCTCATGCTTTTCTTGGTGTGATTTACAAACTCATTGAGAGGTTGGGACGTTTTAGGCAAGGCGAATACCTCAACGGCATGGAAAAATTGGAGCCAAACATGGGTAGATACCGAGCACTGGCCAGTCCAACCTTTCAAGATGCACGGAGGAGAAACCGTTTCAAGGATCGAAAGGTAAGCAAGGACAAGGACTTACTTCTCCACAAATCAGGCCAACATCCTGCTGGAACCCAGGCCGGTGCATGAATATGGCCGAAACTATTATACCGATTCCCATATGCGGTTATGGATATTTTGTGTTCACCGGGTCCAAACTTGCCAAGATATAACGTGCGTGGCTGAAAAGCAATATTACCAAGCTTGGAGCCCGTCGTCGGGGAATGCTGGTCGTGTACACTTAAGACGGGGCTGCTAAACTCCGGGACCTTGAGTGTGACATTGGTCTTCGAGGCGTTAGTGTCTATGGAGAAGCTGCAATTGTAAGTTACGTTCCCGACGTAGAAGGGAAACCCCCGATCCACTATATCACCCCAGCCCCTAACCTTGGACGTAACATTACGAAGCGGTTTCAGGACGGTGCTTCGGCCTGTCAGGACCACTTGGAACCATCCCAAGATATATATACGCTCAATGTTAGTTAGAATACCAAAAGGGAAAGACAGCAAAATCGTATTGCTGCCTTTCTTGATTGTATTTTTGGGGATAGTGAGTTTGGTGATGGCCTCGTCAACCCAGTAAGAGTGTCGGGAGCAGCCAGCGGATTGTATTAGGGACTCATTGACGGATATTTTGAACTTATCAGCATCCTCAACGGCCAAGCTGAGGGACTCGCTGATGTCAAACGAAGAGCTGAACGTAAAGCGCAAAGTTGCTTGTGCCTTTGATGCTCGATCAGACTCTGACACTGTCCAAGGTTGTCTCCAAGCGAATCCCTTTGGTGGGATTTTCAGACGAGAGCGGATAATATTATCAATTCGGAGAACCTCAATGGGCTCGGACCAACTTTCATCGTCAAGTTTATATTCTGCGTAGTCGAGTAGTAGCACGTTAGGTTCCGAAAACAAAATCTTTTCAAGTTGAATATCTTGTGCAACCGTCTTTACGTCTAGGGACGGCGTAAAGGAGCCCAACAATGGCAGCAGCTCGGGCTTAAATGGAGACAGCCGCAGAAGGAGGCTTGCGCACCCTTCGAATCTGTAGGTAAAGATGGTCCAGCCATCATTTAGCTGACTGCACAGAGAGGATTCCTTCCCAGTAAAGGTGTCCAGCTTTCCAACGTTCCACAGCCCTTTTAGCTTCACTGTAGTATCCGTCGGCGTAGTTCGGTTCGTATTACATACAAAGACAAACCGGTGGTCTCCATCCTGCCGGATCTGATGCAACAATCTATCCGTCGGTGCTCCTTGATCGGTGACAATTCGAATATCCCGGTGTTTATCCAGGGCAGAAATAATATTCTGTTGACTCCAAAAAATGCTCAGACTGTTCTCAATTACAGGGTTTGATCGTGGCATTTGTGCATCGACAAGAGTTGGCGCACTGCCAGCCACAATGACTTGGCCGCCAGCTCGACTGAACTCCCGGAGAATTTTCAGCGTAGTTGACCGAATCGTTCGAAGATTAGGAACAATAACTACTTCATATTCGCACTTTCCTACCCGTAGCTGATTTCCTGTAATTTTTCCAGATATTTGTCCAGGTAACAGGCTCTCCGAGATGAAATCAAAGTCGATAAGCCCATGAAGTAACCAATTCGACAAATCGCCGAACGCTCGATCTCGCGATTGCAGTTCATCTCCACTTCCGTTTGGACCAAACGCCAGCCAGTAACTCTCGATGGGGTGGATAACCCCAACTTTCGTCACAGCTTTTCCACGAGTCATTGCAACGCCAACACGCGCGAAGTGATCTTCGACGTATCCATACTCCTTGTACCATGGACTCTAAAAATTGGTGTCAGTGATGTATCGACTAGTTTTATGTCCAGCTATAACTCTCCCAACCTTCTGGGTATAATTTTCAAGCATTCAATCAAGGTTTGCATACCTGGTAACCGATACAAGCAGGATAATCTCTCTTCCCTTCCCCCCGCATACTTACCCAGGTAAGGTGATGAACGCGGAAAGTAATACCAAGGGCGGCTTGCCAATCGCCGCACCCTTTGTGGCCCTCAAATGTGAAATCCCAATGGGTGACACCATATATCTCACTCATTGCACCCCTGAGCCCGTTCTGTCGAGCTACACTTGAAACCTGCTTCGCAGTATTGTACTCGACCCAATCGCAGAGTAAATCCATGCCGGGCATCTCCATGCTCCTATAGCAACGCATAGCTTCGCCCAGCGCTGTTGTTTGAGAGTACAGTGTTGGCTCCTCCATCATATGCCCATTTAGCATAATGCCATTCTTCTTGCACCACCGACCAATTTGATCCATGAATGAAGTGACAAATCGTTCGCAAACATGGTCATGGTACTGATAGCGAGTCGCACTCGCCTTTCCTTCTGGGAGATTCCATACCAATTGAGGCAGGTCTTTAATGAGATCCGCAGAATATTCTTTCTTAAAGGTCAAGGCCAAATCTGTGGTCCATGGCAGGAATATGTCCTCTGCTGCTCTGGGGTTAGACAGCTGGGTTTTGATAGCAAATTGTGGCTCATCAGTGAAAATGCAGGGCACGACAGTCCCAAACTTATCTCCAATCTTGGCCTTGTAGGTCTCATGAGTCATTTCAATGAACCTAGCCATGGCATCTACACTTAACGTGTCGATATATGTCTGGTCATTGAACCATGGAGACCCAGGATTAGTCTCCTCATAGAGGTACCAGATATTGGCGCCGGCTTCGCCATCTTCCAATATCCGACTAGATTCCAGACAAGCATTGTCATCCAACGAAATATCATATCTTGCCAGAAGACGTCCATTCTCACTGCGGCAAGCTCGGGCAGAAGAAGGTGAGCGATCCCCACCAAGCTCCACCGTGCCATATCGATACGGCGTGAATAAAAGATGCTTTCCCTTTGTCTCGGGATACTTGGCGATCACGAGTCCCCCCGCAGCCCCCGAGGGCCATCGGTCCTCATCATACCTTTGGGTACTTCGTATAAGTATTGTTTTCTCTTAGAGCCCGCGGAGGTAAACCAGGACACTCACAGACATGCAAGCATATTTTTGCTCTCCGCGTAATCTACACAAGATCGAACCAGATCCATAAACTCCGGCCCCATATACTCGGTGTCAAGGCCGGTGCGAACATGCATATGGAAGCCCCCCATCCCCATGTCCGCAAAGTTATCGATCTGCCGCAGCAGTTGCTTCTTGTCGAGCTTGGTGTTCCAAGCCCATAGAGGACAGCCTCGATATTCCGAGGTTGGGGTTTGGAATAATTGGGCACTGAATGGTTGTGCACTTTTGGGGTAAGTGAGGGGATTGGCCGGCTTCTTCCCTTCCTGATGGTCTTGATCGCCCTTCTTATCCTTTCTCCGCAGAGCCATAGTGGCAATAGATGATAGTTGCTCCATTGCGGCTGCGAGTGTGATAAGGCAACCTGCGAAATAACAACATGTCGTGAGCACGAAGTACAGATACTCCGCACTCGTATTGAGGAATGTTACGGTTTCAGCCACCTACGAGGCACATGTACTGTGCATCAAGGGATATCAATGCACGTGCCTTGGTTGAGTGGGCGCTTCGCGATGCCGCTTTACGTCGCGTACGAGTATATTGAATTGCGACGCGTCTCTTCGAACTTCAATCCTAACAATCACAGACGCCCCCTACATTTCCCAACGTCGCCATGGCTTCAAGTAAGAATCGCATATCCCAAAAATTTATGTCATTACTGACTCCAATTAGCTCGGGAGGAACGCATGCAACAGCGGCTTCGCGGGGCCCAGTGAGTACAGCCATGCCACCCCTCTTCAATAACACACACTTGCTGATATCAATCGACACAACAGGAGGCGGGAAGTCAAAGAAGTAGACTTTGAACTCGCATTCCCAATTGCTCAACCTCTAGAAGGCCCAGTCGTGTCATCCCAGAGATCCCCCCAACCCGAATTACCCCGCGCATCAGTTACACCTGTCACAAGAAACCGTGGACATTCAAATGAGGAGCAAGATTTAGGTGTAGCAGCTCAACCACAATTAATAAAGAGCGGAAATATCGATGCAAACATCTCTGCAAAACGGAGGAAGCTGGACACTGATCAGGCACCACCATCTGCAAGGAGCACAAGATCAACCCGCGCTGCCCCCCAACTCGACATTTACTCTCTACCTGAAGATGGGCCAAGACCCGCTTCAAAAGATGATGCTTCGAAGGGCTTACCTGCTGAGGAGGCTATTCAATTTGCGCTGCTCCGCGAGTATGAACCGGAACCAACTCAAATCGTATCAGCAGCTCGTTCCAAGACACCACTGTCGCCTCCGCCATTAACCGCGATGTCAGAGGAGATCACTGAAAGTCCAACCGGCACGCCCGGAAACGGTCTTGATACTAGGGCCATAGGTAGTGTACGTGCTATAGGCCGACAAGTAGAGGGAATGCAGAATCTAAGCCCCATAAGGCGAGATTTAGCAACACCAATCCCTCGAACAAAGCGGAAGAGAGGACAGGCTACACCAACTCCGATCGGCTCCAGGGCGTCACAGGATCAACGTAACCAGTCAGCTCAGACAACTCCTAGCGACGATGAAGTTGATGAGCTATCGCCGAGTCAAGCCGTTCCACCCTCTCGAAAACGAAACTCTGTGGTTGAGGATAACTCTTCTGCTATTCAAGAAAATGAAACCCGCAGTCCAGAAGCGGGAGAAGAAGTAGCCGAAGCCATTGGCGACTTGGATGCTGCTGCTATTTTGGAGAAAAATAGAGGTCGAAAAATAGCTCGAAATATCCCGGCAATCGAATCTCCCGCCTCAGACGAAGTAGAAGCAGTCTCGAAAACACCGTCCCAAGTACGCCGACGAAGACAACAAAATTTCTCTAGTCCTTCCAAACAGCGACATCCGAAAATCCCATCGAAAACAAAATCACAGAAACCCACGCAGCCGGCCAAGACGGCCAGACTTCGCGGTGGAAGCCCTATTCCTGTAACCGTACATCGTTTAACAGAGCAACCACTTTGGGAAGAAGATGAATCCGATGCTGATGTACTTAATTCCGGAATACCATATGCAAAGCGACCAGGCGTGAATACGGTGGACGTTCTCAGTCAAGTGTGCCAAGAGATCATCGGCACTAGACTCGAAACCCTCGAAGATGGTGTCCGCCATGCAGATGATTCCACTCTAAGACGGGAATACAAAACCAAGTGGAACGCTATTAAATCGTTTGGGGAAGAACTACAGTCACGTTTGCTTGCCCATGTAAGCTACCTAGCAGCAGTCTTTCGAGTTGTTCTAATTGGGGAAATAGACCATCAACCTCGATAACGCCTACTCGTTCGAGAAGCGTGTGCGAGAAGAGCATAAAAGGAAGCAAGCTCTTCGTGACGAGATCCTTCGTATTCGGGCCGAGCGTCAACAAGTAGCCGTTCGCATGGATGAGATCCGCATTAACCATGAAGATGAGGCCAAAAGGGCTCAAGTAAGTTTGACGCATCGCCATCCTATACCCAGAGACTAGATCATTTCTATTCGTGATTTAAGTACCTAGTCATGAACTAACTTCTTAGCAGGAACGTGATTCCCTCAACACTATGGCCCATGACATCGAACTAGCTATTGATTCTGGGCGGAGTCAGGCTCCTAAATCTGAGTATATTGGCGATAGAATGACCGGGATAGAGGTCTTGCTTAAACGAGTAGCTACCCAAATAAGCAATAAAGGGGATTCTGGAGGGATTTTGAAACAGATCAAGGAGTTTAATGGATTTCTCACACGAGCCGCTTTGGCACTGGAGTCGAGAAAGGTTTAATGATTAACGTATTGCGACGGCTATAGATACCCAGGGGTCATACCATGAGAACAAACCAATATCACAAATATATATTTTTTTCGATCTTCAAGTTGTGGGTGCAACCAGTCGATCTATAGTCCGTATATTCGTAGGTATCAATGCGCCTTGAGAAAACCATGCTAGTAAGCCTGGGTCGGTACTTATATCAGTCATTGCAACTAGCCTCCTAAGCCTCCTCAAAGGCTAAATATCCGTCAAGATAAGTCGTTTCAATACTCCCCAGGCTGATACCGATAACTAACTATTTCGTTGAAGAGCGGAAAAGTTGATCGTTATGTCATACCGAGTGCAAGTATTAAGATACTTCAATCTAATTGGAAACTCCTCTTGTTTCCTAAATCTAATCGCATATCTCAAGGTTTGCATTATTATGAGAAGGAGCTCGAAATCCAAGGATTTATGACAGTTCTAATACTGGGTAACGACACGCCCCGTTTCTTCGCCACAACTCAGTTGCCATAAGCGATCAACGTCATACGAGAACTCGGGAAACGCGATTGCCTCCCGATCTTTCACGAGGTCGCAGCCACCTCCAAACATCATATTACTTTCCAAAATAACCAGTACATTCAAATTGATAAATTGAGATTAGAACCGGTGTATCATAACCGGCTGCATTTTTACGGCCGCAAAAGGTTCCCCAGCCCCGGTTCCTGTTCCCTTTACCCCGCCGTCGGCATGCCGGGTATCCTCGCTTTATTGTAATACACTTATTTCATCGCTGATCGCCTTCGAAATTACTTGCTCCCTTCTTCAAAATCCGGAGCCAACGTCAATGGCGAATCAAATCCCCAATAAAATGCGGGGGTGGTATCTCGAAGAGTTCGGGCAGCCGTACGTCTACAAAATCGATATTCCAGTACCAAAACCACGTGAAGATGAGCTCTTGATCAAAATGGAAATTGCTGGATATTGTCATACTGAGACAATTGTTGCCAGTGTACGTCTCCAACATTCTAAATGTTTGACCAATCGCACTTATCCCATTTTAAACATGTGGTTAACCTGACTTTTCCCCTTTTTAGGGTGACTACCAAAGCAAACTCCCCTTGATCCCCGGCCATGAGAATGTGGGCATAGTTGCAAGTGTGGGGCCCAAGGTCCAAGGTTTCAAACTCGGTGATCGAGTCGGTTGTGGGCTTTTTAGAAGATCTTGTGGTCAGCTAGGGTTCTATTTCCAATCACTTTAAAATACACTGACTAGGTAGTACATAGGTAATTGTCGGGAATGCACGCGAGGATATAGCACAAACTTCTGTGCGAAAGCCGAGCTTGCAGGCTTGACACACGATGGGGGCATGGCGGAGTACCTTGTGGCAGACCCAAGATGGACTGTCAAGCTTCCCGATAACCTATCTTTTGAAGATGCCGCTCCACTGATGTGCGCCGGAAGTACAATGTTCAATAGCATTCGGAATGCACGGCAAGATAAGGGTGCCATTATCGCAATCGTAGGGTTGGGAGGGTTGGGACATATAGGTACGAGCTCTATCAGATCGCGTAAACGATTTTCTACTTGATCGGATAGCCTTGGAGCTCCACTAACAAATATCATTAGGGGTTCAATTTGCGAAAGCAATGGGGTATAAATGTGTTGCAATTGACATACGCCCCGATCCTATTGCCCTCGTCTCATCATTCGACCCCTGCCTTCGCCCAGACCTGGTTCTGGATCCCAGGGACGGACCTGAGCATGCTCTATCCAAGATCCTAGAGACTTTTCCAGGACGCACCGGCGTAGATGCGGCCGTTGTATCAACAGATGCCAGCGAAGCTTTCAAATTCTCTACTGATATTCTTGAGAAGCATGGCGTTCTGGTCGTTGTAGGGCAACCCAAAGAGCCGATCAAATTCCATTGGAGGGTATTTGTGACGCAAGATATTTCTATCGTGGCTGGAGGCTTGAGCCAGCCGGATGTGATGGAAGAGATGATGGATCTAGTGGTCAAGGAGAAGATCCGCTCTACGGTTAAGGTGTACATGTTAGAAGATGTCACTCAGTTGGTGCATGATTTCCATAATCCTCATATGAAGGGGAAATATGTAATTAGAATAGCCACTTAAGTCTATATAGATTTTATAAAAACAACATTATCGACTTATACTAGTACTCTAAGTGCCTTATAATATTGCCGTGGTTATATGGCCTTAGTTAAGTAGTTCAAAAGCAAAGAAAAAGGAAGTATTCTTCACCCTAATATCTCGAATGTGTAATCAGCTTACGAAGCAATTATACACCATCTTTCATTCATTAATACATGGCAGTAATACAGTAACTTGCAGCATCACTTGTAACTACGCTCCAAGTTAAATTTAATAGCACTTAAAAACAGTAGCAAACTCCATCCAAGTTAAGAAGCTACAAAACAAAATGGGATTAGGTCACAACAGCGAAAAACTAGTTCGGGGGGTGGGGAGAAAGTTAAGAATGGGGGTGCTCATCATAGTAGCAAAATTTAACTATTGAGGGTACGATATAACAGATTTTAGATATGTGCAAGTGTTGCGGGTGTTAATAATAGTGGTCAAAATCTAGAGTAAAGAGCTATATACAGGTGAGAGATGCAGAGAGCCCATTTTTGTTACGATAACGAGGGGCGGTTACAGGGCCAATGAGAAATAGAAAAAGGCTGTTTTAGTTGGATGAACAGAAAGTATCATGGTGATGATCAAAGACTCAAAAATACAAGGAACGAACGTAGTTTTATCTTTCATCCCTCGCTTTCATCCCTCGCTTTCATCCCTCGCTTTCATCCCTCACTTTCATCCCTCACTTTCAGAACAAAGGATTTCCGAAGAACGGCATTGTTTGAAACAAGGTTTTAAACAGCGATCGTACAAAGGAGAGAGAATTCAAAATAATATAAATTCAACCACTTACCACTGAACCTGGGACATAGCATTATCCTTGCACCCCACAAACTCGATAATATATCACAAACTGCATGAAAGTTCCTGAAATTACAACTCAGGGTACTCAGCAAAATGTGCAAGACCGAGCGAACCGAATACCTCTGCGGATGCAAAGCGTACGACAAGAAGCGCTGCACCTCCTACTTACTTAAGGGCTACCAGGGATGTTCCGGACACGAATACTCGGATGTGAAGCGGGGGCATCTCTGCCGGAATTGTGTAAATAACGATGAATATTTGCGGAAGAGGCATTGGTGGCTATTGAATCGCTAAATCGGAAGGCAAATGCGGTATTTACGAGTTGAGAAGGGTAGCTAGTAGATTGAACTTAACAGACCTTAGTATTCCTATATCCTACTAATTAGTTATAAATCTACCTTATAAGTGCTTTATATAAAGCGTCTTATCTAAACGCTTTAAAAATTGCTATAATAAAGTGCTTATAAACTTAAATATATACCTACCTACCTAGGTAATATAACATCTTAATATTTAACGTGCATCCCTATATCAGGAGACGTACCCCGTGACGAGACAATCCATTAGTACTTTAAATTCAATTCATCCTAATTTTGTAAATCTATTAAAAATTCTAGAAGTTTTATATCAGTTATATTATATAACTATTCCTAAATTGTTCAAACCCTAGCTACTTTGAAATTTACAATTACGTCGTCGCAGTCGCGCCTAATTACGGAGGACGACAATTCGAAGTATAATAGAACCCTTTAACTTATAGTACTACTACGAGCTTTTTGCGCCTTTTAAACTTATATAATACTTTAATCTAAGTTTCCGAGCCTTAATAATTATACTTATAAGTAAAAGAGTCTAATACTATAAAGGATATAACAAGAAGGTTATATCGATTTGCCTTTACTCTAATAACTATAATCTAGGATTTCTACTATCTTTTTTACCAAAGGTCTTGTTAGTATAGGGATTGTATACCTCGGAAACCGGGGTCTGATATAGCTGGATATAGGTTCTCCGTCAGGTGAGATTGTGTGGCGGAGGAGGAGAAGCCGAGAGTGTTTGTCCAGAAAATAACATCTCCACACTCTTGAACTCTGGCAGCCTGGGCAGTTCCACAGAATATAGACCGTCACCCGTACCCTCCAAGAAGACGAAGTAGCCGAACGACCGGACCCTGCGAGCCCAGACTTCGGTTTTCGGTAATCTCGCGCGTTTGCATGTACTGTACAGCCAACCAGAAGAAGCCGAGGCGGCAATCACATTGTAAACCAAAAAGTCATCGACAGTGATACCCCGAGTCAATGCAAGTTATTAGAGAACTTTACTGAGTTCAATCTTTAGCACTAGGCATTTGCTGAATTCCAACTTATCAGCAGCTGACTCAATCGAATCCCTGGAAAAACATATAAAGAACTATGACACGCGGTTTGTAAAAGTAAGGCTTTTGATATAATTATATATAATCACTTGTAGCTCTCCGGAATAAGGTGTTGGTAGCTATCTAATAGAAGTGCTGTTGAATTAAGTCACTGGGAAGTTGCGTATATGTCATAGTTGTCTACGAAGCAACGAATGAAAAGTTTGAACGGTTCGTATCTTGGGACTGATCAGCGAGTTGTTGCTGGATGCAGTCCTAGAGTCATTATACGCAAACGGTTCTGTACGACAGTGCTAGATCTATCAAGATAGTATTAGTATCGAAGAACGTGTATTAGTCATAAGAATGTCTTTCAGGCTCGGAGAATGGCTATCTGCTGATAGAAAGAGCCGTGACTGGGTCTGGCAGGGTGAAGTGTGGATCTAAGCGGTGCTTCAGTCCGCGAGAAGGTGTCTCTACAAGGGTCCATCTCACGACCAGTGATACTGACCCCTACGGAGCTTCTTGTGACCACCGCCGAACTATAACCTGGCTCAACTCCCTGGTCGAACGCCGAGAAATGTAAAATTGCGTGCCTGGAAGTTTCACCAGCGATTGCTAATGTTATTTTGGGAGAATATATTCGGTGGAAGTCACCACCCCTAAATCTATCTCTCTTGTGTATTCCTCGATCGAAGGCACTCAATCAAGACATGGCCGTACGGCAGGATTCATCAACAACCGCAGCTCCTGCAGAAATAAACCAGAAAAAGGTACCAGGCTATGTTGTTCACCCTGCATTTGGTACCGTATACTAGTTGATAACACCCAGCTGATTAATTCTCTTTGCAGAACATCAGAGCCATACCGGTAGTATCTTTGATATCCGGCGGAATAGCCGGAGGAGTTGAAGGATTCATAACGGCAAGTATAATAATAACACCATGTGAAACTCTGATATGCGACTGACCTGGCCAAATTCCAGTATCCTTTCGAATTCGCAAAAACGAGTGTCCAGCTACAAGGCAATGATGGGTCCAGAAATCCCATAAAAGTCATTCTCAACGTCACCCGGTCGCACGGCATCTTGGCTGTATACTCAGGATGCGGCTCCCTTGTCATAGGGTGCGTCGGCAAAGCTGCAGTCCGCTTTTTAACTTTCGACACCACCAAGGCCCAGCTTAGAAATTCATCTGGAGAATTGTCTTTCGGAAGAGGAATCCTAACTGGCATGGCAGCAGGGGTTGCTGAGAGCTTACTCGCAGTTACACCGACTGAGCGCATCAAGACGGCTATCATTGACGACGCCAAACATGCGCGAAGATTCAGGAGTAGTCTCCATGCCGTCCAGGTCCTCCTGAGGGAGAGAGGTGTTGCAGATATGTACCGGGGCTGCCTTGCTACTACAATGAAGCAGTCGGCGACGTCTGCTGTTAGGATGGGCACCTATAATATCTTGAAGCAATGGTCCCAGACGGCTGGCGTGGCGTCTAATGCGGTCACAACATTTGCTATGGGTGGTGCGGCTGGAGTGGTGACTGTCTACGCCACACAACCATTCGACACTATCAAGACACGCTCGCAAGGAATTGCGGGTGCAAGCATTGGAGAGGCTTTAAAAGGTGTCATCCAGGACTCGGGAGTAAGAGGGCTTTGGAAAGGGAGCACGATGCGATTGGGCCGACTGCTGTTTAGTGGTGGAATCATTTTTTCCATATACGAAGAAGTAAGCGGTTTACTAACAAGGCAGGGTCTCTAAATAGAAATAGACAACCATGCGACGTTTAAATAATTGCGGGAATGAAACCTAGAAGCCTAGCATATTCTCTATGTAACAAGTGCATAACGGGTTCGTGTAGGCCACCATGATACAGCGATTCAAAAATAAAAAGATTTGAATTGTCGCTGCCCTGAACATTGATTGGACAACTCTATCGACGTATACTTGCATCATTCAAAGCTGGATTGGTCCTAAGAGCCCACAAAATAGCCTAGCCCATGGTACCATCTAGTGAAATTCGGGCCAAAGTATTCTAAACAGCAAGTCTCCCTCCATCTACGGGTAAATTGACACCGCTGATAAACGCTGCCTCATCGCTTGCTAAATATATTGCTGCCATGGCAATGTCGTTCGGTTCTGACATCCTTCCCAAAGGCACGCTCTTTGCAAACCTTTCCCTCTCTTCCGGACTGTCAGGCACGCCACTGAACATTTCGAGCAGTCCTGTTGCGCCCCGAAGAGGACAAATTGAATTCACACGCACGCCATCGTGCCCGTATTCAGCCGCAAGACCTTGTGTAACCTAGAATGGAGTCAGAAGAAATTCGCAAAAGAGCCAAGAGCAAGGTACACACCGTATTCAGGAATCCTTTAGTACCACCGTAAAATACCTGCCCGGCACGTACCCTGGTCCCCGCAACTGAGGACGTGTTGAGGTAGACACCTTTCTTCTGCTCGACGAAATAGGGCATGGCCACCGAGACGCTCATATAAATGCTCTTAACATTGACGGAGATTATCTTGTCAAAGTCGGCTTCCGAGACATCCATACTGGTCTGCTTCTTGTAGGTTGTGCCCGCGTTGTTGACGACGATGTCTAATTTCCCGAATTTGGACTTGGCCAGCTCAAGCGCCAATACCCAGGCCTCCCGCTTGGTGACGTCGAACTGGACAAAGATGGCAGAGCCGCTACCAGGGTAGTGCTTGTCGGTTATCGCGGCAGCGACCTTCTGGCCGTTGGCGACGGCGATGTCTGCGACCAGGACGTGTGCCCCTTCTCTCACAAAGCCATGGGCAATGGCCTCTCCAAAGCCAGACCCCGCGCCGGTGACGATGGCAACCTTTCCTGATAAGCGACCCATTTTGATATGGTACGATTATCTTGGCGAGACTCACAGGCTGTCGGAATGTAGTAGACTGGAGTGAAAAGATTAAGGGATTGATGGGTGATTTGCTTCTTCGACGTTGCGTCTAGATGTAGTCAATATGGCTGCTGTATGCCTTTCCCCCCCTATCACGCCCTGTAGCGTCGGGTTTCCGCCGTGTCTTGACCAGCGTCATTGCCGGCCATAGGCACATTGCCATTCGTCAATCTCGATGTCCCGGCCCCTGAGAAGTTTGCCGGGTGAGTGGGCCGCGGGCAGTGAAATTCCGTGAGGTTGCCCGTTTCCCGACAAGGAGGCACGAGATTCTAGCTTCAGCTATATGGCATGGCGTGGAGAGACGGAACTTCATATGGCGATGCGTTTTGGTAGATAGTGAGATGAGGGTACAGGAAGTATGAGTATCATCCTCCAGCCGAAGATAGCAATTCCTTGATACTTTCCTACGCATCCAGCAGTCCATCTGTCCCACGCGAGCTGCTTCCGCCCTCGTCGATTACTCTCAGTTTTCTATCGATTCCCATCAACATGGCACTGCCGACATCCTGCGATGTTCTTGTTGCTGGAAGCGGCAATGCTGGCTTCTCTGCTGCGGTTGCTGCGAAACAAGCTGGGGCCCAGCGTGTTGTCCTCATCGACAAGTGCCCCGAGGAATGGGCCGGAGGGAATACTTATTTCACGGCTGGCGCTTTCAGGACGGCGCACAATGGTACCTCAGATCTGCTTCCAATTGTGAACAATGTGGACGAGACTACCGCAGGGTTGATTGACATGGAACCATATACGGTCCAGGATTTCTCGGCTGATATGGCCCGAGTTTGTGGCGGGAGATCTGATCCCGAACTCTGCAAAATTCTCCTCCAAGACTCGAACGCAGCTATAAAGTGGCTCGCAAGCAATGGAATCAGATTCCAACTCTCATTCAACCGTCAAGCCTACAAAGTCGATGGTCGCCTGAAGTTCTGGGGAGGATTGGCGCTCAAGACAGAGGATGGAGGAAAAGGACTCGTCCAAGACCATAGGGCCGCCGCTCGTCAACATGGCGTATCAGTATTCTACTCGACCTCCCTGACACGACTTGTCACTGATCCTCATACGGGGGCTGTTACATCGGTAGCCGTTAACCAATGTGGAGAGGAAATACTCATTCGGACTGGCGCCGTTATTCTGGCTGCTGGAGGGTTTGAAAGCAATTCACGCATGCGGTCACAATACCTTGGTCCAGGGTGGGACCTCGCGAAAGTGAGGGGGACACCGTTCAATACTGGTGATTGTCTCGAGCTCGCCATCCGTGATGTTTCGGCCAAGCAAGCTGGCAACTGGTCTGGTTGTCACTCCGTTGCCTGGGATGCAAATGCACCTGCTCATGCAGGAGACCGGGAAGCGTCAAATGAGTTTACTAAGTCTGGGTACCCTCTAGGGCTAATGCTGAATACTGCTGGAGAGCGATTCGTGGATGAAGGCATCGATCTCCGTAACTTCACCTATGCCAAATTCGGTCGTGCAATTCTAGCACAGCCCGGGCTCAATGCCTTCCAGATTTGGGATTCAAGGATGATCCCATGGCTACGCGACGAGGAGTATCGGGAAGAAAGGGTGAACCGAATCATGGCAAATTCAATCTCTGACCTTGCAGATAAGCTTGTCTCGATTGGCTTAGAAGATCGCGAGAAGTTTATTAGCACGGTGGAAAGCTATAATGATGCTGTATATGCGTCTCAAAAAGAAAAGCCCGGGATAGAATGGAACCCTGCCATTAGAGATGGCCTCTCAACACAATCCAACGCCAAAAAGCTGCCGCTTGCCAAGTCAAATTGGGCTTTACCTTTAGATCAAGCACCCTTCTTGGCAGTCCATGTGACATGCGGGGTTACATTTACCTTTGGTGGTATTGCAGTTATCCCTGAGACGGCACAGGTCATTAGCTCGACGACACAAAGGGGAATTCCAGGGCTATACTGCGTAGGCGAGATGCTGGGTGGCCTCTTCTTTGAAAACTACCCCGGTGGAAGTGGTTTGACGTCTGGTGCAGTCTTCGGACGAAGAGCAGGTACTGCAGCCGCAAAGATGGCTGCTTTGAGCACAAGAAGCTCTGATGAGCATCAAGTCTTTCAAGCGCTGGCTAAGCTTTAGGCAGGTATAAATGAGTATATAACAGTGGTTGTGGTGTTAAGAAGATTGGAGATTAACAAACTGTAGATTACAGTGCTGAAAATAAGAGTACTTGATAGTCATATAAAATCTTACGGATGAGCAAGGAAATGAAATAACTAGTTGAACCACTAGTAGCTCTTGATTACTAGCTTCCTTGACTCTCACAAATGCCTTCTAGTTCATACCATAATACCTAGTGACTCAAGTCATGACCTAATTTATGCTTCACGTCTCGTTAAGATGGTGTAGATGTAGCGGAGTGCATTGTATATAATTTGAAATACCAATGAACATCCCATGAGAAATCTTAACTGCCTTTTCTAAACTCCGACAGTGATGCTCTTGACCTCAGTATACTCATCCAACGCTTCTCTACCCCCTTCTCTACCTGTGCCGCTATTCTTTATACCTCCAAATGGCTGCTCACAAGCACTTATAAGGCCTACTCTTACGCCCACCATACCTGTCTCTAATGCCTCGCTAACCTTCCATACACGTGAAATATTTTCAGTGTAAAAGTAAGCGGCCAATCCCACATCAGTGTCATTTGCCAAGGCAATTACCTCCTCATCCGTGTCGAATGGAACCAAGAATGCAAGCGGTCCAAAAGTCTCCTGCTCCATGAAAAGCATGCTGGTCTTTGCCCCAGTGATGATGGTTGGCGGAAAGAAGTTAGGACCGTCATTTTCAGACGGCTCTTTCCCGCCACCGAGAATCTTCCCACCCTTCTCAAGCGCGTCTTTGATTTGCGCGTGGATCTTCTCGAGCGCCTTGTTAGAATATAGCGGGCCGAAGTTGACGTTTTTGTCCCAGACAGAGCCGTAGCGGAAGGTTTCTCCCAAACGCTTCTGGAGAACCGATGCGAAAATCTCGATGATAGAAGAATGAATAAATATTCTGTTGGCACACACACACGTTTGGCCTGATGAACGGAACTTGGACGATATTAGGCCTTGTCAAGCCGTCAGTCTGAATCCGGGGACAATTCAACAGACATACGTACCTTCGACGGCCCTATCGATTTTAGCATCCCCAAACACAATAAAGGGGGCGTTCCCGCCGAGCTCCATGCTGGTCTTCTTGAAACTCTTCGCACATTCAGCATGTAAGAATCGACCGACGGCAGTAGAACCAGTAAAACTGAGATGTCGAACAAATGGATTCGATGTGAGCTCTTGACCAACCTCGGCAGCCTTTTTGACACTCGATGTGACTATGTTGAACACACCTGGTGGGCCTCCAGCTCGCTCAAAGAGTTTCGCCACAGCGATTGCGCATAGCGATGTCTCCGGAGCAGGTTTGCAGACCACTGTGTTCCCAGCAGCGATGGCGGCACCAACTTTTCTTGTCACCATGGCAATTGGCGAATTCCAGGGTGTGATAGCTGCAACGACTCCTTGAGGCTGGCGAATGGTGAAGATCCTGTTTTCGCTCTTGGCCGCGGGAATCGTCTCTCCGTATTGTCGCTCGATGGCGCCCTCGAACCAGTCGAGGAAGTCGGTTCCATACTTGACCGTTACTAAAGACTCGGAGAATGGTTTTCCTAGCTCCAGAGTACAGATCGCAGCAAGGTCTTCCTTGTTCTCTTTTATCATATCGGCCCAGCGTCGCATTAACCAGCGACGTTCGCGATGAGAAGTATTCTTGAAGGTCTTGAAAGCTTCTTGTGCAGCTACGACCGCCTTACGGGTATCATCGCGCCCAAGGTCCGCAACGTCGCAGACCTTTTCGTTGTCCTCCGGGTCTATCTGATCAGCTCTGCAAAGGAACTGGAGGAGGTACGGGCTGGCTCCTTACCGTAGACTGGGAAAGTCTCCAGGGTCGAACTAGTGACCCATTGTCCAGCGATGAACGAGCGATTGTCGAGCAGCGATATATCTTTGAACTACTCACACATCCAATTAGCCCTAGCATCGCACGTAGGTCAGCTGCCTCTGGCTTACCGTATATGGAATCTTCTTGCACAGGATGGATGCCATGATTTACAACCGAGACTGGCACTGGTCAATGCGACGAAAAGGGTGCATTTACTTCTCTGCTACCTTCTTTTGTATTACGAGTACCTGGACGCTACAAGCTGTAGACGATGCCTTTTTCATTTTTGATTTACTTCTATCCTATGGTTTCTAGCTACCGCGGCATTCCGGTACTCGTACTTGTTCGGTTCGTGTAGTGTTCCTAGTTTCGTGTAGCATGCGGCGTTGGACTTCAGGTACGAGTAACGCGGACGGTCGTTGTGGGACGGAGACTGATTTCCCGTCCGTAGTCGAATTAAACAATGGAGCCCAGGCAGCACCAACCAAATCCAGGCACCAATCAGCAGCTTCAAGACCACGAGCGCCGAGAGCCGGAAGCCGACCGTCGTGTTGTGTTACTCGTATCCGTAGTCGTAGTCGCCGGAACCGTGGTTCGATCTGCATCGCCACTCAATCATTTCATTCCCCGTCGCACCCCGCAAAGTTGCTGCCTCCGTGGGGATACTCGATGGGGCAGGGCTACCCCGTGGGGATGGTGGGGAAGGGGAAACGGAAGCCGAATTACTGGGACTGACCCTAGAGATGGCGGTTGGAATCGGATACTTGTGCTTCATCTACATCTAACGTGCGGAGTGATAACTATGTACTGTACATGTACGAGTACTTGCCAGCGACAAGCAATGCTAATCTCGCGGGCCAGGTGCTCTTTTCTTACTCGTATGACTTAGTTTTTGTATAATCCCCATGACGTTGGATTTCTGGTGCTCCAATAATGGCTGCGCAACTTAATGATAGAGATCTCCCTCTGTCAAAACGCCTGTTTCTTGCAAATATTCCTTTGATATATGTATAAATAGATATATATTCTAGACGTTGTTGAGACTTCGTCAGTCGGGCCTCCGGCTATCATCAGCCCTGTGGCAGGCAAACTGGCGACACAACTCCGCATTTTCCCCGCCGCAGGAAAATTCGGGGCCATGGCCCTGCCATCCAACATACAATCCGAAACACTTACTGTCAACGACAGTAAGCTTGTCTCCGGCTGCTACATGCTCCTCCATGGAAGAAACGGTGTTATCATTTCTCGTATAGAAACGCAACGCCATATGCCCCGCGACCGGAACCATGGCGTGGAGGAACGATCAGGGCAGAAGCCATGGACGCGCATGTGAGTTTTGTCGCGTGCGGAAGATTCGCTGCGACAGACAGAGGCCTATCTGTGCTTCTTGTGTCTGTCAGAACCGTGAGTGTATCTACATCGAGCATGCGCATAAGCAAAGGTACGGTATGTGCCTAGAATCGAGATATTCCTTATCTTGGGCACGAACGCAATTGACGACTATTCAGACCGACGAACGCAGTTCTAAGTGCCCTGAGAGCGGAAACAAGACAACTGATAACCATAATTCAGAAGCTGAAGGGTTTATCGCCCGAGGCAGCTGCCGACCATTTGAAATCAATCTCCATCAACGATGAGGGTCGGGTTGTGAACCATCCACTCTCAATGCTGACACCTCTGAGCAGCGAAGAGCAACCTGGGGCAACCCATCAAAATGATAATGAGAGTAATGATACATTCTCAGATGGAGACCTCGACACGTCTCCTTTTATTTCCGTCAATGAATACGGGACCATCGATAGCTTTGGCCCTTCGTCGGCTTTGCAAGTCTCGACAAAGCTCCCAGCACACTCTAACTCCATGAACCTCGAAAATATCCGAAATAGCTTGATAGCCAACGCGGTTTTAAAACGGCAAGGCGAATATGAGCTTTATTCATTTCCCGATCTGGACGGGGTTGCCACTGATCTTGGCATGCACCTTCTCGAGCTTCACTGGAATCGCCAGCACCATACTTTCCTTCTGACCTACAGACCAGCCATTATGCGTGATCTCCGACAAGACGGCCCATTCTCGTCCAAGTTCTTGCTCAACGCAATCTTCGCCTGCTCGAGCAAGTTCTCGCGAAGACTTGAGGTGCGCGATGACCCTGAGGACCCGACGACTGCCGGTGGCCGTTTCTTTCGCCGATGTGATGACCTGCTGTCACAGGAGTCGCTCCTGATGGAACCTAGCATGCCCACCGTTGTAGGATTGCTACTACTTGGTTCCACATTCAATGCTCGTGGCAACACCTCAAAGGGCTGGCTGTACACTGGGTATGCACTACGGATGGTGTATGACTTGGGTTTACATTTAGACAGGAAGGTTACAGAGGAGAATGCTGAAGATATAGAAATCAGAAGACGGGTATTTTGGGGCGCTTTCATATGCGATAAGCTTCAAAGTTTGTACCTCGGGCGTCCTGTGGGCATCCAGCTACGAGACGCACATGTGTCGTATGAGCTGATTGACACCATGGAAGAGAAAGAAACATGGATACCGTACTTGGACCTTATGGCGCCCGGTGGTGTTACACCATCAGCATTCGCGCGCGGAACGCCGATATACTCAGTTACTTGTTTCCAGCAGCTTTGTCGACTTTCTATAATCATGACGAAGATTATAAACAAATTCTATGTTATTGGTGCGACTGCAGCATCCGCGAGGGCTAATGTCCAAGCCTACGATGACGCTCTGGTCAAATGGAATACCGACCTTCCGACAGAGCTCCGATACGATCCTCTTGCTGAAGTAGTGCCCAGTTCTCGTCTTCCAGCGCCTACCGTGATGAATCTACACGGAATCTACCACGCACTGATCATACTTCTTCATCGACCTTTGATTGCCGATGGCCATCTCCGCTCCGCAGCTGGGATATTACCATCTTGGCAAAGATGCACAAGAGCGGCTGCAAATATAACAAAGATTGCTCTAGCATACCAGACAGCGTACACGCTACGGGGTGCTCCGTACTTGCTGAGCTACGCTCTCTACGTTGCTTGCACAATACACGTTCGCAATGCAGCTGCACTTCAAGCCGGCCACAGGCGTGAGCATTTAACACTATTAGCCTCAAGTCTAGCATGTCTAGATGAGTTAACTGTCCCAAATTCCGGGGTTTCGAAAGTCATGGGCATCATTAAGAAACTCATGGCCGCAAAAGATGTTCAACTACCTCCTGATAGGGACGAAACAGCTCAGGTACCACGGGATGCTCAGGACTACTCTCAAGATTTTGGACATCAAAACTTAGATGCTGTTTTGCGTACTTTTTCTGCCCGGTCATCACAGATGCAAGATATCTCGCAAAATAACTCCTCAACACTGGTTAACTGGCTAGATGGGCAAGAAGAGCCATTTCAGGACGATCTACTTTACGGGTTCATGGGTGACTATTGCCCTACGAACGGTGAGTTACAAGGACAAGCATACCCTGGTGTTACATGAGAGGCCCTGAGATATACTGGCCAAGGGCGAAGACCATAACATAATGTGAGCATCGATCACTCCGCAAGGCCAATATTTTGACCATGCCGCGATACCGAACGAGACTGAAGGAAGTTTTGAACATTGGAAGTGACCGGTACAAGGAGGGGCGTGTTGAGTGCACCGCATGGAGTCGTATTCAAATTGGAATATATCGAGGTAGAGGATGCAAAGCCAGGGGTATTTGTCAATTCGGGAGATAGATCCTGCAGCGCAGTTTTCTGTCAACATCGTTGCTCTGTCAGATAACATTTCTGACAGTGCTTGTTAATGCCTGGTTCGATTGGTGCTCTCTGAATATACTACATGGGATGAGCCGCGACTTACACATGCTATAAGGGCCTTTTAGTATAGTGTTAAAAGCTGGCCATGAGCAAGGAGCATGCCAAGGGCAGGTAGGATGTTTGTGACCTAGCTAGCTTGCAGGATAAATAGAATCGACTGATTGAGTTGTGATAGTTTACATCAGAAATGACAAACCAACAAGTAAGAAGTGCCCCTCAATAGAATGTGCGTCACAGTAGTACATACAATGATATCGGAAATCAGTAATATTTTTTTCAGGCTCCCACAGCTACTTCGGGGGAAAAAATAAATCGACGCGAATTCTAAATCGATATCAAAACAGTAGTTATAATTATTATCAACTTATTTAGATATATTTCTATGTTCTAGCTTTATTATAATAGAGAAAGTCTCTAAAATACAGTTTATTAACCTTTTTAGAGCGATTTTAGATTTTAGGTAATTCGTAATTTTCCCCGAAGTAGCTGTGGGAGCCTGAAAAAAATATTACTGATTTCCAATACTATTGTAAGTTTAGTAAGATTTTCGGCTTGCTTAAGATATACGAGTAATGCAACAAAGAGGCTAGAAGTGGTTCTGGTGAATTGTAAGAGTACTTCAATGCCTGACATCTAAGCACAAAATGACAGTAGCAATCCATCCGCACCTTTTAGTTTTCTATTTGCGACTGTGTCCCAGACAATATTTCGGGTGCTCGAAATCCGAGTGGCATTGGCAGCGGCTTTTTTCGAGTGCCGGTCTCATTCGAGCCACGGGCTGTTCGATGCCACAGTCACCGAGTACCGGTAAAAGAGGCAGGGTCCTAGCCACCCCCTTTCTAGAATATAGTGGTCCAAGAGAAGATGACGGAGCTGTCTTGACAGATTCCGCTGCTAAGAGTATTTGGTACGGAGCCGAAAAGTATTTATTATCATCTCCTCGAACGTATTTGGAGCCGACCTTGGTACCTGCCTTACTCGAGACAAGAACGTTAGATTCTGCTCATTCAAAAACAACAATATATACTCGTGACGCCTCGAGATCTGCCTAGATTGGCCAGGAGACAAACATGAATGCAGTTGTTCTCAATGCGCCGCACGAGATTAGTGTGGAGAAACGGAAAAGACCAGGTATCGCCAACTCGAAAGATGCATTGGTCAAAGTGATTGTCGCAGGAATATGTGGCAGTGAGCTTCATCCATATAGAGGCCAGCAGAACACCACATATGGGCACGTTATGGTTAGCAGACAGGATCTTATACCCTACGGCAACTAGTACTGCCAGCTAAGAATGATTGCAGGGCCATGAATTCACAGGCATCGTCGAGGAAGTGGGGAGCGAAGTCAAGAGCTTCAAATCCGGCCAGCATGTTGTAGGCACATTCTCTACAGCATGGTGAGTGACTTTCGTCTATTGTTTTGAGAAGCTAACAACCTCGTTCTACGCCAGTCTATCATGCTGGTTCTGTCGATACGGCCATACGAACCGTTGCGTGAACAGCTTAGCACTAGGCACGCAGCAAATCGACGGCGGACAGGCTGAGCATGTGCGAGTTCCCAACGCCGATGGAACACTGCTACTCGCGCCCGATGATATAGATGATGAGCTGTTGGTGCTGATGTCGGACATTTTCCCTACGGGCTATTATGGGGCAATGCGCGCAATCACGCAGTTCCGACAGCCAGGCGAAGGGGTGCCAGAAACGAAGCTATTTGAGAAGCAGCCCTTGTCCGAGGCAGTGTTCGTTGTCGTCGGCTGTGGGATCGTGGGACTCTGCGCCGTCTTGACAGCCCATATCAGAGGTGTCCAAAGTGTTTATTGTGTGGATTCTGTCGATGACCGCTTGGAACAGGCTGCGAAGATGGGCGGCATACCGCTGAAGCTTGGAAGGGATGATATTCCAGCCATTGTTCGCGCAGCGACTGATGGACGAGGGGCCGATGCCGTAATTGAAAGTGTGGGCAATAAAGCTGCACTCAGGTCTGCCTTTGACCTGCTTAGACCTTGCGGGATTCTCTCATCTGTCGGCTTCCACCAGTCGGAACTTCCATTCACCGGGCTCGAATGTTATCAGAAAAACCTCAGGTAAGGCGCCCAATACATTTTGGACTTGGAGACGAATTCCTTGGCTTTTACTAACAGCTAATGCAGTATCAATTTCGGACGGGCACCTGTTCGTGCCGTTTTCGAGGAGGCCATGCACTTTTTCGTGGAAAATAAGAGTAGGTTTTCAGAAGTAATCTCTCATCGCCTTTCACTGGCTGAGGCCGCTAAAGGGTATGCTATTTTTGATAAACAGGAGGCACGAAAAGTCGTGTTGAAGCCATGATGTTGAGGTGCTTATTTTCAAGAAATGAAATGTTATACATGTCAAAGGCCGAACATGTGAAGTGGCACAGCAGCCTTCTATGCTCATACAACAATTCTATCACATACTGTATTTCAACATACGTAAAATACAAAACGCCAAACCAGGTAAGTCAAGTGAAATAGATTTGGCCGGTGTGTTTACGGCCGGCACCCCAGGAAACCCGAAGTACAGTCCAGTTGTCTTGAGGCCATACTGTAACCGAGACTCCTTGATTTGGCTTGCTATTTAAATTGCTTGGAGAATGGTAAGGGTGGTTTTGATTCCATAGTGGTGGCCACTGTAAATCCAAGAATTGTTTGCTAAATCCTGTGAATTCACGCTCGTACCCTTATAGGCCAATTTTTACCGCCTCATGCGATTATCATAGCTAGATTTATTGAACTCCAAAGGTTTGCAGCTTGATCTTCGTCACTCTTTGTTTGATAATAATTTGAGAGGTGATTTGCAGCTAATCTAAACTGTATGGATGCATAAGCAGCACAATTTCTCTGATTAGAGTTCCTCATAATATTTCCATCTTGAATATGGGATCAGGCACATCTTGGCCGAATCCCGGGTCATTGGGAAAGCCATATTCGTTTAGTAGTGATGGGCATAATTTTGATATATCACTATCATATTCGAGTCGGCATACTCAAAATGTTGAAAGAATCAGAGTTAAAGTCTTCCGGCAACATGCAAAGTTCCTGCAGCTGTGTGGGAACATCCACCGTCCATTCCAGATCGGAAAAGGAGTTCGCCATGTCATCCACAAGAATTGCTCCAATGAGTGGAGTAGTATGCACAGTGACATATGGAAAATAACCCATCCACTCGAAGCCGTCGCCGGTAGCAAGGTCGGCAAGCGTCGAAGCGGCTGCAAAACGACCGGAGTCTCCATTTGGCGCTGCATTATGTGACATGCCATTGTGATTGTGTTCAGAACTCAACAGAGTTTCACATCCAAGATCAAACATATGCGCAGAGGGCCATAACTTGCCCAGCTGCTTCAGTGCCGTGCGCAATGTCCGGATATCATTATCTGCGTGGGTGGCGAGAATTTGAACGCGGCGTGCATGGAGGAGGCCCAGGATTGCAATCGTGATATACCATCCCGCCTGTCCGGAAAGAAAGCGTAGTGTCCCTCGCACCAGATAATCTTCAAAGATGCGTGCAACACACGAAGCTGCAATTATCGCAGTTGTAGATGCCTTAGGTAGCGATTGTGCAGATTTGCTCAGGTATAAAAGCGTGATATGTGTCAAATAGGTAAGATGCATTCCGTGTACATCTCGATTGAAGTCTGAGGTGCGATCATAACTGATAGGAAGCTGTAAAGAGTTTGGCAAGGATTGAACCCAGTCGACCAGTTGTTTGCCCACCGACATCGTGGAGCGAGGTCCACCAGCCTTCTGACAGAGCAGCTTCCCCATTTCACCAACGATTTTACACAGATGTACCCAGGACACAAATATATGGGCATTGAGATCTGCAGGGCAGGGGAAATCTTCCACCGTCACCATTTCAACATCACAATAGTCCATATCGATGATACAAGGCCGACCTTGAGAAATGGCCGTAATCCTCTCCCTTGCCTGTCGTTTTTGTTAGTATTCGTTGCTTTTTAAACCCCACACCGAGATTGCACCTACGAATAAGGTCCACCAAATCCTTCGCCTCAAGCCTGGAGTCTCACCATGTCGCATAATTTGTCCAGGTTGTGGTTCACGATGCAGGCCAATTTCTTGAGCCAGGCGGATTGCGATGCCAGTCCACCACCAATTATTGTCCATGCTGACGACGTTGGGAGCACCAGCACTCCACCAGTAGAAGAGCATAAGAGAAGATATACGGATTATAGGGTTCTCTTCATATTTTTCGTAGAAGAGACTCTTGGCACGATGGTAGAGTGTAGCCGAATCTGTATGGTCCACCAGCGGCGGATTGATTTGGTTGCCACTTAAAGCGAGGGCATAGGTGAAGAGAGAGGAGCGAAGTACATCCGGCTGGGTCTGTAACGTTTCCCTATGCATGACGGGGCACCACACTGCAACGTACTCAAAGTAAGTATCCAGGTAGCTTTGTTTCAGTGCAGGCCGGATGAAATCCACAGCATTCGGGATCCCCGTAACCTGTTGTTGTTTAGGTGATGGAGCCACCCTGCTTTCGATTTCGTGACTGAAGATTGGCATATATCCAGAGTCGCCAATGTAACTTGGTGGGTGATGTTGTTGGGGGCTATCGAGCTCCCGGCCAGGTGGGACCGCCGATTTTTCAAGGCGTGCTGAAGGGGATTTGTCTTTGCTTCCAAGATTACCTGGATCGGAGGCCCCGTACTCATTCTGATCCTGTTCCGGATAGGTGCGTCGAGACAGGAGAGAATCATTGTGATAAGTGACGCCGTTGGGCAAGGGCTGCGGTGGCGAGAAGATGAGGTTGGAGTTGAAAGTCTGCAAGGTTTCATCCGGCTCCGCAATTGAGGTGCAGGTAGCATGAACTACGACTTCGGGATTCCCGTCATTGGGGTGACTTGGGACACCGCGAGGACATCGAGCTTTCCGCTTCGCAGTACCTCGTCTAGAGGAACGAATACTAAGGTAGCCACCAAGTCAGAATCCCCATTCTGCTCAGAGGGTGAATGCGGGCCGCTTACAGGCACTCCGACCCTGCTCTCTCGCAATGCTTGCACGGCTGTATTATTTCATATCCTTCATGGTCAACGCGCCGGATATCGCACCGAATCTAGAGCGGGTATTAGAACCCGATGCTTCTCAGTACGAGTGTGCCGAGAGGGCAATGGAAGCGAGCAATGGTGATTTGAGTACTCGTACCTTCTTATTGTGGCAACGCACACAAACCAATCTCGCCCGGCCATTGCTTGCTCCATGCGTAGCATCGTGAGCTTGGGCTGGGACGTAGTTCGGGAGAGTCTCAGCACCCATGGCCATGGCGAGGGCAACGCTAGATGTCATGGTCAGCCAGCGTGTTCACTGGCCACGGCGGCGGGCCCGGCTGTCGGTTGGCCGCAGACAGCGGTGCTCGGGTTGCTGGCTGCCAGTGAAGTGGAGAGTCGACGATCCGGCGATGAAGATATGTGCCGCCAGAGGAGACGAGCTCTCGACTTACGAAGTACAATATGTATTTGCCAGTGCGGGTACATGTAACGCGCCAGCGAGAAAGCGGGCGATTGCGCCTGAACGAATGGTGGGGTGCTGGGAGGGGAACCTCTGACCGTTCGGCACTCGGTGCTGCCCATCTACGGGCTCAGCATGGCCGTAAGTGTGAAGTGACGGTATCGAAAGTCCATAGCCGCATGATATACTCCGTATGACGGGTGGATGGACACCTGGTTATGGTCCTCCCCTCTGTACCCACACGGTCATCTTCAGCTGTTCTCTTTGCCTATTAGCACTACTTGCACTTTGGCCTTGGTCATAGGTGATGCTGCCTCCCCTCCCACTTCAGTATCAGCAGCCAAACCAGCCTCTTCACGCCAATGGGTAGAGACTTAACATGTCTGACAATAAATTGTCGCTGCCTACGTCTACTCGGATAGTGCGGGTCCGCATGGTAGATACGACGGCCCTTATGACGGTTGTGGCAGATAAATTTGTAGAGCCTGCCCGAGATGGACATGAGCTATTAAACATGACGGTTGTTGCCTTTCTTATTGAACACGAGCCATCAGGCCAGAAACTCATGTTCGATTTGGGTGTTCGGAAAGACTTTTGGAACCTCCCCCCCATTCTTCAGCAGCGTCTTGGCCGGGTTATACCTTCTTTGAGGGTGGACAAAGATACAACTGAGATTCTCCAGGAAAGCAAAATCAGCTTGAAGTCAATTTGTAAGTCTGTGTACGCGTAACCCAGACCTCCTAATCAAGAGAAATCCTCTTCTAGTGTTAGTAGCGATGGTACGGTCTGCTCGATATTCTCCAATTTGGTTTACTAACCCTATCTTGCGTTCATTAGCTTCCGTGGTATGGTCACACTATCACTGGGATCACACTGGCACGGTTTCGCTCTTTCCGCCATCCACATCGTTGGTTGTAGGACCAGGCGTCAAATCGTCGCCAAACCTTCTACCGGGATATCCACAAAATCCCAACTCGCCCCTCAACGCCTCTGATATTGAGGGCCGTACACTCGTCGAGATAGACTTCACTTCGGGATTGAATATAGGGGAATTTCGGGCACATGATTATTTTGGTGACGGGTCTTTCTACCTCCTTGGTGAGCTCCCCCTCTCAATTAGCTCAATGGCAGAAAACAAATTGTCCTAACTCGCCATGTTCTGTCGCTAGATACGCCAGGACACTGCCTCGGCCATATGTGCGCCCTTGCTCGAACAACTCCTGAACCAAATTCCACCTTTGTCTTTCTGGGTGGTGACATTTGTCATTTTCCAGGAGCTTTTCGCCCGACACCTAGTATTCTTCTCCCGGATCATATTCCTACGGGTGTTCTAGATGAAAGCCCCTACTTTCCTAGTCCTTGTCCGTGTTCGCTATTTACAGAACCACATCCCCTTTCACCCACAGAGGAGAATAAGGCTACTCCATTCTATAATATCTCCACAGACCCTTCAGCCGCTTATGCTGACCCTCCGAGAGCACAAGCATCAGTGAATGCGCTCATCCAGTTCGATGCTTCGCCGTCAGTGTGTATCTTCCTATCCCACGATACGACGTTGCTTCAATATCTGCCTACTCTCAATAACGAGCCGGAATCAGATCTCAATGACTGGAAAAAGAATGGTTGGAAGGAAAAGTGTCATTGGGGCTGGCTAAACGAGATGCCCCGTGGAGGGAAGCCTGGGCGGAAGCCAATTGTGGATGGCTTCTGGCGTGACGGACAGCTTTGGGACACAGCAAAGAGCGAGCTGGCAGAGCGTGGAAAGGGTGCAACGGGAACCGGTCTGTAGAGGGCTACAGGAGAGGCGTATAGTGTATAGCGTATATGGAACTTGATAGTCTTTACATTGTTGGGGTGGAATTGACAGCCTCAATTCTATTAGTCCGAGACCACGATGCTACGTGAGCATCAGGATATGTACTATCTACAAAGTACTTGATATTACTGTAAGATGGTAGACAATGGCAGACATTAGATTTGAACATATCTATGAGCATATTAGAGTTCATTTGAATACATGGCGAGTCACGAAGGATAAAATTAGCTCCATTTGTCACGAACAGTGCCATTGCATTCGAAGAAAATAGAATTTACGAACAACACCCGTTTCCTAATTTATGGCTTCGGCAAAAGACCTCACTTGCTGTGGGGGGCCCACATCTCGGCAGTTCTGCTTTATGGGCCGATAATTGATATAAATGCAACAGTGCCTCTACCCCCAGAAATGCCCAAAAGCATAGTCCAAGTCTTATTCGTACTGTAACTCACCACCCTATCCAAATATGCCTTATTCCAAGTACCAGGGTCCCAGTTCTGAGTGGACAGATTTCATCCACACTACCTCGCTGCCTGTACCTAGTCCTTCATCTGCCTCACAGACACCAGAACAGTTACGAGCAGCAACGAACACAGCTCGCCTTCAAGCCTCAGAGGAGGATCTACAAATCACAGGTTGGCGTTCTTTCCTATTCCATACTGGCATTATGTTTATAGCATTTACTGATCTCTAATTCTGTCTTTTGAAGGCTTGCGAGATAAAGTAAGTTGGCAAGACCATTGCATACTCACTCGGGACTATGAAAATATTCTTGCACGAGTTTACAAACCCAAGAATATGCCGTTGGAGACCCTGCTTCCTGTATACTTGTATTTCCATGGCGGAGGATATATCTTTGGAACACTTGACACTGAAGATGCTAGCTGCTGTCGTATCGTCGCAGCTTCTCCAACTCCAGGTGTCATTGTAGTCAACGTCAACTACCGACATACCCCAGAATTCAAACATCCAACTCAATTCAACGACGCATGGGACTCCTTTCAATGGTTATCGATGCATATCACTAGCCTTGGAGGCGATCCGAACCAGGTAGTTATCGGTGGTATTTCTGCCGGTGCTGGCCTCGCAGCTTCCATCGTCTTGCGTGAGAACACTCGTCTGCAACAGAGCCAAACATTGGCGAAACTGAACATCAGAGGCCAGCTTCTGTGCATTCCATGGCTTGTTCACCCCGACAGGCACCCGCTCGCTACTAATCAAAATGCGTCATTGAAGCAGAACACCGATGCTCCTGTACTGCCGATGTCACTTCTGAAGCTCTTCACCGACCTCCTCAGCATTAAGGACCCTGCGGATCCCTTATTCAATGTAGCTCTGGCTGCCGAGGGAAGTTTAAAGGGTATGCCACGAGCGACGTTCCTGATTGCCGGGCAGGACCTTTTAAGGGATGACGGGTTGCTGTATGCTGACAGATTGGGCAAAATCGGGTAAGAAACTCGGTTACTTTCACGTCTACTTTTCAAGTCTGTTGGTTGCATTATGCATGAGACTTAAGTTTCTTCTATTAGGGTACCTACAAAAGTTCATATTTTCCCCGGCCTCCCACACGCATTTCGTCGATTCGATAAGCTCCCATCTGCTGCACGATGGGATGACCTGGTGGTCGAGGCAATTCAGTGGAGTTTGAGCAGCGAATGTCGTTCTATACGGCAGATCGAGGGTAGGGGATTTGAATTAGAGAAATAGGTGCTACAATCCATTGATAGCTGGTTTTATATGTAACGGAGCTCTACATGACGAACGATCGCCTATGTCACTCTTTCTTCCTTATTGTGGAGTCTGCGAGAGATTCGCCTTGCGCGCATGGCTTCTGTGCCATTCTCGGCCAAGCCCTTCTAAGCCGATATCCTTCGAACTTTTTAGTTAATTTTCATTAAAGAATAGACCTTGACCAGAAATCTAGGGTTCTAGTGCTTACTTCAGAAATAGTATCTAAATCCTACAATACCTCAATCGGTGAACAGAGTTTTCTATTATTTTGGTCAGTAACTACCAGCGTAATGGGTGGCTTGAGGGGAGGCAGTTAAGGTAGGGGAACAATGGCACGGGGACTAAAAATCCACGGGATTCATACTAAAGCGCACACAGTTCTACGAGGGAAACTAGCTGCACAGGGGAAAATATCTAGTGATAGCACTACAAAAAACAATAGTCGATAAATTGAGTCGTTCCTCTAAACATTTGACCCGTTCTACCACTAAGACTCTAAGAGTTATTAGCCACCTCTTTAGGCTACTCCGTTGGCTTTCCCATTCGTCTGGACATTCGGTAGAGCGCCTTGAGCAATACCCGCGAATTCCATTGGATCCTTATTGAATGGCACACCGTTCTCCCAATCCTCCCTCCCCGAGAGCTTATCCAAGTACCAAGTAATATCACCTTTGTCACTGAACTCAAAATCAACAAAGCCATTGCCCAAAAACCCCCACCTATTTTTGCTCCAATACTCGATCTCGTAATCTTCGAAATGCGGCTTACGCAGCGCCTCGAAATACGCCAGTCTCGATCCAGGCCACATCACTATCGGCCCAGTCTTTGTACCCTGCTTGAACCAACTTGGGCACGGATCAGCCCAGCAAGTCCGCTTGAGGAACGTGTCCGCGTGCTCGACAAAGTCCTCAACCACAGACTTTTTGGGGCTGAGGCGTCGAATATGCTGGCGACGCATGTGGTTAATGACTTCAATGAAGTTTTTCGTCAAGTGAGTAATGATCGGTAGCACTGAACCTTGTGCTATAGGTGTGAAAGGACCAGAATATGTGAAGTAGTTTGGAAATCCGTCAACACCTATACCAAGGTAGCTGGATGGGTGTTTTGGGTATTTCTCTGCGAGAGTGACATTAGGGTCAAGGCCAGTGATAGGAAAGCGCGGCTTGTAAGATGTATCAAACCCTGTAGCGCATATGATAACGTCGACTGGATATTCGGTCCCAGTGGCCGAGTCAACAATGCCTGTTGGTGTAATTGCTTTGATACTTTCCGTGAAGACGGTCGTCTTTGGTCCAGTAAGTGCTTCTAGATAGCCGTTCCCAGGTGTTGGCCGGCGACAAGCTACATTGAAATCCTTAGGGATCATCACACCCATTAGATGTGGTTTTGATTTCAATTTCGAAGTCATCTCTCCGAAGGCAAACTAAATGTTTCCGATATCAGCTGCTGTAACCGTAGAACCAACAGATGCTAACATAACGATCTTCTAAATAGAATGGGGAGGCTACAAGGGGACAAAACCAGAGAGAACTTACAGCATTAGCTTCATCAGACTCGCGAGTATTTCGTAATACTAGCTTGAATCTTTTGTTTAGTTCGTTCTCAATCATCTTTTTGTAGCGATGATATTTTTCGGGGTCTCTCGCAAACTCTTTCTTTTGCTCTTGAGTGTCTATATTTTAGTTAGCAACAATGGATAGGTTGAGAAAAATATACTTCAAGCAGTCATATACTCACAATCAAAATTCCGTCCATCTTTGCCGGCAAATTGTTGCCCAAACGCAGCTGTGATCCATGTCGGGCTTCGAACCCAAGTATATAATTCAGAGACGTCGGAGTAGACAGATGCAACTACTTGAACTCCAGAGCTACCAGAGCCAATGACAGCAACACGTTTGCCCTTTAGATCGAAGCCCTCCTTGTAATTAGCTGTATGGAAGAGATCACCCCTGAAAGATTGAATTCCGGGTATTTCGGGCCATTTCCAGGCGCTATAGAGCAAGTCAGTATTAGAAGACAATATCAAGTTCAGAACGAGCATCCTAACTTTAGAAACCCAAGCCCGTTCAGGAGCAAGTCACATTCCTCCTCCCACTCTATGACACTCCCGTCATCCTCTACTAGAGTCTTCTTCTCCAGCTTGACAATCCACTTACTCTTAGTCTCATTCCAGGTCGCCCCTATGACCGTTGTGTTGAGTTGTATATACTTCATCATGCCCTCTTCATCTACGATTGCCTTCATATACTCCCAAATTTCTCTAGCTCCAGAATAGAAATTCGTCCAGTTTGGGTTGGCTTTCCATGGAAACGTGTAGCCCACACTAGGAACATCACAGGCACAACCGGGATAGCGATTCTCGTACCATGTACCACCAACCTCTGGATTTTTATCATAACAGACGATGTCAAGTCCCTGTAATTCTTTGGTAGCATGATGGATAAAGTCGATACCGGCAGCACCCGCGCCCATCATTATGATTTTGAAAGGTTTGTCTGTCGGCGGCTCGTTGATCATATGCCGAGAGACCGTGTAACCTCTGGAGCTGGGAGCATCCCATTCTGGATCCTGGACTGGTCGGTCGATGGAAGCTGGGTGGTTACCACGCGTGTTGGAGCCAATTTGGAGGTCCTCAGGCAGGCCATAGGCCGTGAACACATCGTTCGAGAAGTTCTGGCAGTCGGATGGAGGCATGTTGGATTACCTGAAAAGGCACCGTAGTAACGGTTGAGCACCACGAAGGATGCAGAATCAGGCTCTTTTCAACAAGTGATGAACAAGAATAACGAGGAAATATTTGCTATAGATAGACGAACCTTGAGCACAACAAGATCGGCCCTTGTACTTGGGCCCTTCGGCTTGACCAGCCCTCTTGGTGGGGCAAACAACATACGTGAAGCCGGGGTGAGCCAAGAGAATGCGCACCCCGCCACAAGAACCCCCCAGCGGGCACTACCGCGCCGTGCCATACCATCCGACGGGAAGTGATATGCCGTGAGCATAGAGGATTCCACTGGGGACCCCGCTAAAAGCTTGGTTTATCAGAAAGGCCAACGGGTCTCTGGCTCCACAATCCTCTTCCACTGCCCCGGCCCCGGAGTCAATGCGGAGAAGTAAAATTGGACCTTGGGGTAGAGAATATTACGGGACTCGGACAGAATTGTGCGGTGTCATTTGAGCCGAGTCTGGTGTTGGGTGGGGTGGGATTGCTTCGCAGAGTCAACACCCCTATTTCACCAGCACCAGCACCACAACCACACCGGCAGGTACGAGTAGCTTGAGCACCCGGCGATCTTATTTATACCGAACGCCGAATGATTTCCACCACCAGCAAGCACGACTGCGTTTATCAGAATTACTCTCGGCCTCTAAATATTTGATAGCCCGATCGCAGTTTGACTCATGCAGTCTCGGGAAAGAGAGCCATCGTAAGGTTCACGGCACGCCTGCATTTCTATGAATTTTTCAATTATCCTATCCCCGCCTGCTTTTCTCGAAGAGTTTTGTTCATCTTTCGAAAGAGCGTGTTGCTGTCGACCGCCATGCCTGACCCCTTCTATAAAAACGTGACAGTCGATTGCCAGGCCAAGGTAGATTACAGTAATGCTAAAGGCAAGACAGTAGTCCTTACGGGAGGTGAGTCTTCAACACACATCATCGGCGAAAGAATTGGTTGATAACCCCCCTCCAAGGAAGCAGTGGTTTGGGGGAATACTTTGTCAAAGCCTTCACAGATGCTGGGTTGGTTTACCACTGCCTCTCCCTAGCCCCAACTTACCATGTTCAGCGCATTCGTAGTGAATGCCGACGTCAACCCCCCACGAGACGAATATGACCCGTCAAAGTAAGTGTGATACTACTCTTCAAATCCATCACCACGGCAGATCCCGACTGATTTCCTTCAAGAGCACTTTTCGTCAAATGTGACGTACGCGTCTGGGAGGATCAAGTGGCGGTTTTTAAGACTGCTATTGAACACTCTCCTAAGCATGGCATTGATATCGTAATTGCCAATGCAGGAGTATATGGCCCAGATATCCTTGAAGGTTGGCTATAATTCCTCGCTCCGAAGTAACGACGCTGAGATTTGGACCCACAGGTATCGATGAGGATGAGCCATCACCCGCGAACTTAAAGCTCATTGAGATCAACCTTTTTGGTGTTATTCATACGGCGAAGCTGGCGGCTTTCTATTTCAACAAACAGCCGAGGGAATCCTTCGACCGATGCCTGATTCTCGTCACCAGCATCATGGGTTACATCGATACTCAAGGCTCCTCATTGTACGGTGCATCTAAGCACGGTGTTAGAGGATTGATGGCATGCTTGAGGCGCAAGGGATTGATGAGAGTCAATGCACTCGCTCCGTGGTATGATTTACTCGTCGCTTTAGATGGAAGCCCCACTTAACCAGTCCTTAACATTAATGGCGCCCAGGTTTGTTGCGACCGGTATCTTTCCAGAGAACTTCCGAATCTCTCTCACAAAGCAATTTCAGGCTCAGGGCGTGGACTTTGCCGCGGGTAGTGATGCCGTCGGTGCTATCATGCGTATCGTGACGGATTCTTCAATAAATGGTGAGAGAACACGTTTATCTCGCCCTGCGAACTAGAAATTAATGTCTTACACTCAGGCCGTTCTATCGCTATTGTGCCTCGTCAATTGTCGCCGTCTGGCTACCTTGATATGGAGTTGGATGATTTCCAAGAGGGTTCGCCATGCGACAAATTACAGAGGGTCGCAGGTTCTCTCTCTTACTCGGATATTATTTGAGGATACTTGGTTCAATTTGACAATACGAGTCCCATCGGTATTGTAACATAACCTTGATGTTGAGGATTAAGACAGTCTTAATGCTCCCAGTTGGTACATCCATAAACTATCACCTCCAAACCAAACGGATATTTATTGCAGTTGCACAATCGTTAAGTGAAGCTTAATGCTTGTCTAAAGGTTTCCGTTAACTACAGTCTTAACCCACCCTATCTTCCAAAGCCTAAATCTGCTCGCCACTTTCCCGTAAACTTTCAAGAACTTCCCATGCAATTCGGGTGGCATTAAAGGCGGCGGGGACTCCAGCATAGATCGATACCTGAGTGGCAGTCGCATATCAGCATCTCCAGTGACTGTAAACTTGACTCCAGACCAGAGTGAGCTCTGGGAGAATGAGCTCTGAGACAAACCTGAAGAAGAGCTTCTTTGATTTGCAGCTCTGTACATCCGTTCTTAATAGCACCTTTCACGTGGACGCCCAGCTCATGATCTCGCTCTAGAACACTCAACATCACTAGGCACAAGAGCGAGCGCGTTGATCGATCGAGTCCAGGTCTCGACTAATAAAGCGGCCATCCTTTGGTTACCGCCATAGTCTTAATAGGCGGTAGAAACTCGGGCGAGGCAGCGGACTCTTTGATGTTGTTGGAATGTAGGAGTTCCTTGATCAGCTGAAAATGCTATTGAGGTCCTTGGCACTCCACTGGCACTTATCTACCACGATAGAAAATTATATATATATATCCCTAATACGCTAAATCCTTAGCTAGTATTGTTTCTTATACTAATTAGTATAACTTGTAATAATAGAGACTCTTAGCTAATACACAGGTATTATCGGACTTATTTTATTCAGTTACTTAACTTATATATTTATTTGCCTATATATAGATGAGGCCTTTACCCTATAGTATTAATACAATTACTTTAATTCTATAACCTATTTTTAACTAATCAATTGCCTTGGTATCCATGCCCCAATTTAGTTTTAATTATTTAACAGATGTAGATAGTACCCAAAACCTGGCCCCGAAGTTTCGTACCTTAATCGAATAGAGCCTGCTAGGCGTTCTCAATGATGGTTCGGTTCGGTTGCTCGTTCGCTATGTTTGACCAATGTACTCGATGATGATGGGCTGAAGTAAATACGTATCGTGAAAGATCTTAGAGGGTTGGGTAGGTTCATGCTTGATAAGCCATTTCACAGAGATGAAATTTAAAAGACAGACCAAGAACTATCAACAATTCACATGTGGCCTTTTCGGTGTACACGACCACGATAATGGCGGCTTTCAGAACAGATTCAGTTTTCTTCGTACTCAGGGGTTCAGAAGCTCAGAAGCGCAATGCTAAGTTCCGGGTGCCGGTGGTCGAGAGGCAGAATGGGGAGGCTCACAGAACCGCAAGGCATCCCAAGTGCTGTCTTCCGTCGCATTTGTTTGTTGCGTTAGTTATGTCTTGCTAAGAAAGACCAGCCAGAGTTGCTGACTTGCATACGAATGCCATACTGATTGGTGACCACGCTCTACTTTTCCACACTCTTCGTTCCCACTCCCAAAATGCGACTGAGAGCGGTTTCCTGTCTTGCAAGGCCTAGCATACGGCTACTTGCCCAATATTTAATTGACGCCCCTTATTCAAGCGTTGCGAGCTTGACAGGTGTTCGGCATGGCGATTTAAATCCTGTCAAAGGTCGGTTCGACCTTCGCGACAAAAGTTATATCGTTACCAGGGGCGGTCGAGGCATCGTATACGCGATAACTCGTGCGACTGCAGAAATGGGAGGGAATTTATCTGTGCTTGATGCTGCGCCTGTACCTATGACAGACGTTACAACTTTGGCAGCTAAATTTGGAGTCAGGACGAAGTACATGCATGCAGATATCACGGATAAAAAGAGCTTGGCTCAAGCATTCGATGACACGGTCACTGAGTTTAGCTCGCTGGGTGGCTGGTATGTTTTGATGGGCTGCTTAGTGAGACTTGCTCTTAGGACTCATCGGAAGTCAACAGTCACGGCTGTATGAATCTTGTCAACCCGTAAAAAGGACTCCCACAACCCAGAATCACAAGAAGACAACAAATCCCAGGAGTTGAGTCGCGTCTGTGCTTCCGGTACAACGCCCTCAGCGGGCGTGGCACCTTAGAGCTGCAAAGCTAACAAAATCTCAGTCTGAATTACCACTGATGGCCCGAAGGAGGGCGACAAGGTCGGCTGGTATCGTCAAAAGTGCTACCCTTGAAGCCGCCACTTGTCCTCCTCGATATTTCAATGACAGTCCGTTGAACGGGATACAGAGGAAAGACGCCCGGTGACGAAGACACAAGCAACAAACGCAGGAAATAACAAGTGCCTAAAATTCTGGACTACAGTAGCCTCACCGAGCAAGAAACAGTACCTAGCAATGTCGGACGAGATAACGACCTGGGAAAACTGCGTGATCATCAAGAAAGAAACCTCTTGAAGAGAAAGCTTGGTAAAGGCAATGTTATACGTCTACCAAATGGTGAGATCATTTACCCCTTTTGGCCGAACTAGCCACTACAAAACGAAGCTGCTACACTCAAATTTGTCCAGACACTATGATACCTATTCTAGATTGTCAACTCTACACCATTGCTGGCTTGCTTCATCTTGAAGTGACTCGCATTATTAACGGAGTCCTCCTAATAGATGTAGATCAAGGGTCGACAGCTCAACAGCTGAAGCAGGTGAGCTAATCTCCGCGCCCATGTACCTCACTGGCACAATGTACTACGTAAAGGAACAGCTCTGAAATATGTAGTGCAATTGTTTAGGCAAGTTTAAATTTGCGAAGTGTTGAAGTTACTAAAAAATTGCCACACGCTATCGAATACGCTGAAGCTATTGCACTTCCACTTATATAAGCTGCTTTTAGCTATTAAGTTACTCTCAGCTCTACATCGTATACTTGAAATTCGATTGCTTCACGTCGTCAATATTATCCGTGACTAGAGCACTCTTTGCATTTCTCCTTCGCAGGAGCAAATAGATCAAACCGACACATATAAGAGCAACAAATTCCATCCCCAGTGAGATTGAATTACCCTTTATGAATCGTGGGCTTTCGGTAGCTGGGTATATCTGGGAAGAAGCGATACCAGAAGAGTTTGCAATGGCAACAAAGAGAGGGATTCCAACAGAGCGGACATGCTCATTCTGGAGGTTATTGATGACCCAAGTCACTACAACGGTATTGTAAGTGTAAACGCCTAGATCGAGTTAGACGTGAGAGCGAGGAAAGGTACGCTTGAAAAGATTCCACTCACTGCCAATGAGAAACATTGCGAAAAGACCGGCCCCATTGTTGTCGGTGCCCAAGACGATTGAGTATCCAATCAGAACGGGAATTGGAATCATAATTGCGATTACCCCTCGTGTTTTTGTCTTATCTGATACCCAGGCCACGAAGCATAAGACTATCGTGGCGAAGACGTAGACAGGAATTGACAGGTAGTTGGCTTGCAGGGACGTATAGCTGGAATTACTGTCAGTGATTCTACAGCCCTCACTTCAGACGCCGAAACTTACCCAAGGCCGACAACGATTGTAGGAAGAAAAGTTCCGAAGCCAAAAAGGGGAATACCAGAAGCGAAGAGCGCAATGCCGCCGAGGTAGATCAACGGGTCAGACATAGCCATTTTGACGTATACCCACGAAAACTTCTCCTCTCCGGAATAGATGGCATCTCTTTGCATCCTAGCCTTCATTACTTCTGTCTCCTTTATGGTAAGGAACCAAGCAGTCTGTGCATTCCGTGGCAATGTGAGCCAGAGTGCGGCACCCATCACTATTGATACGCAGCCTTCAATGATAAATAGCCAGCGCCACGCCGCGAGACCTTGACGGTCCCCCATCAGCTGAATGCCATAGGAAATCAGTCCACCGAAGGCTCCTGATAGCGCAATGGCAGCGTAAAGAACGCCAATGCGTTTGCCCTGCTGATCTACGGTGTAGATTGTCGAGATCATGAATGCCAAACATGGAAAAAGAGCGCCCTCGAAAGCCCCAAGGAGAAGGCGTAGAGTAAGTGCTTGATGGTAATTCTGGATAAATCCGCCGCCGAGTGTGACGACGCTCCACCCAACCATGACAATGGCGAGGACGAGATTGGCACCGAAGCGCTTGACGGCCATGACCCAGGGGATCTCAAATAGTACGAAGGCGGGGTAGAACAATGTCGAGATATTGCCGAATTGGTTGCCTGTGAGACCAAGTCCTGCTTCGTAACCAAAGACTCTCGCATTACCTTTTAAAGTGTTAATTTACTTTCCAATTGGGACGTTCAGTGAATAGGGTTGGCAAACCAATGTTAGATCGATCAAGGTATGCCATGAGCATAAGTAATGCCATCTGAGGCATCATGAATTTGTCGAATTTGGCTATTATACGCTTTTCGACAAGCGGGTCAATTAAGACATAATCACTTGTATCTGCAGCCTCGAGAGCACCGTCGATCTCGGTTGGCGCATGGCCTGAGCTAGTCTCTTCAATCTTTTCCTGCATCTTGTTCGTGGTTCCAGAGAATGACCTGCTATGAGTTAAGGGTAAAAGGCTGTCAGGTCCTCAGAAGATATATTGGATGGGTGGAAAGAGCACCTTTTAAGCCTCTTGTGGGAGTACTCGTAGACCGAGACATGGTTCCGAGAGTAGAACACGGACTTTCAATTTCCTATGGAGGTTTTCATAGCGGGGAAAGCCAGTCCACACGCGGTACTAAATGTATCGGCGTAAATCTGGTGAGAGAAGGGAGATAGGAACTTTAATGTGGGGTCATCAATGCCAAGGCCGATGGTCAAGTCGGAAATCGAGAAAAGAGGCGTGTCTTCTTTGGCTAGACTATCATATCTAACTGTCTTCAAGGTGGAGTTCGTGAGAGCCAGACGCAGGAACCACAGTTTCCGTTAATTGTCCTACTACCCCGTGGGGTAAAACTCTCAACGGAATGGCACTTTACAAAGTGCAAACAATGTTTGGTCGGGCTACATCACCATACCCTCCCCGTGGGTGGCCGTAGTGCAAGACGGACTCTCATTTTCCGTTCCGCAACAATGGATCCTGGATTGCCGTTAGCCGTTGGCGCCCCTCCCCAATTCTGGCGCGTAGGGTTAGCCTTTGTCTTTGTGGCTTGCTCAGCAGAGAAAGGGGATGGTCCGTTAGAGGGTAGGACGCATTTCGAGTATTTTGGGGTGATGTATTGATGTATGGGCTGCCTGACTTAAGCCAGGAGGCGATTGCGCATATGGTCACGTGACATCCTCCGTTCTCCAGCCGAGCATGAAGCAATCGCCGAGAAAGCCACAAGAACAAGAGAGACATAGTCGATTAGCCAATCGCTATATTTACTACTCTATCGGGCAACAGCCTTCTACGGCTATACCTAGAAGTACTATACTAGGCGAGAAGTCTTAGAATAATATAGCTTTTAATAAGACTAGGAAATCTATATCTAATCGTTTTATAGGCTTAAAGGGCGAAAAGTACTTGACAGTAGTAAGGCGGGTCGAGGAGTCGTATTATACTATAAAAAGAGGTCCATAATTCAGGGGAGCGGCGATAGCGCGATCATAATTTTCGGAAATTATAGGTCAGGAGTGTTTGGGAGAGGTATATAATATAACTAAAATGAATATATATAGAAATTCTAATACGTTCATAGATCTAGAGTCGCTTGAAGTCGAAGTATCTACAGTTTGTCTCGTAATAGGGTGCGTCTCTGGAGGCAGGGACAGATGATATATTACTATTTGACATATTATTAGTCGTAGAAAAAGAAAACTCCTTAGCGTCCAAGCAGATGGCTTTATGACTTAGAGTTCTTTATAGCAGCTCTTTATATTAAGACGCGTGGGTTTCGAGTAATTCCTTGGTCCAATACTGCGTGTATCGACATGGCTGTTTTGAACAGCCTCGTGGTGTAAATTGTTAACACGCGCGTCTGTGGATGGGTATAAATGGGTAGGCCTCGACCTTTCCACCCTCAACTTCACGTGGTAAGATACACACACACCACCCCATTGCATTCATCCGCCATCACTACCACTACCACCACCACCCCTACAAGTAAGAGCACTCGCACCACTGTTCTCACACCACTATCAAAAGGATGTGTGTGAAGATCCAGTGCAAGCACTGGCTATGCAGCCACACAACCTCCCGCTACGAACGCTGTGACTCCATGTTGGTACGTGTACAGCGTTCTACATCACCAGATAGGTGTGCATTTCCTCAAAAGCGCAAATGCAGAAGAGCTTTACATTGCAGCGACTGTATAACGAAACATCCCTTCTTGACAAGGATATACAGGGTTTGTCGCTTCAGCGTCGATTACGTGGGAAGATGGGTGACTGAATATTGATGATAGTCTCTTTCGCATCCTCATTCTCCTAACTTGCACACTGGTGTATAAGTTGGAAGTCTACCTAATTAGGTTGGCGGGCTGCCAGGTTGACGAGGAATGCTCGTCATCCCAAAGCAGACCTTCGGACCTTAGTAGAGACACTGGTGCGATTTAGAGGTCTATGGTGCCTCACCCACTTGGTGACGCAACATATCTCAGGGAAAAACAGTAGGTAGGGGAGGTTCTTAGTTAGCTAGCCGCAAATAATGAGACCGCCTCTTCCGCATGTGCCTTTCCCCTTGCTTTTCATTTCCATACTCCAAGTAGTGACACCCAAATTCAAACTGCCTGTCCTAATATTCTCGAATGATATCACAACCTTCACACCCCAGAATAACGGTGTTTCAACCTCCCATCCACAGGAATGAGAATATTGGGAATTCAGTCTAAAAACCGGCCATTAAGGGTACTAATGGGAAGTTGACACTCGCCTGCGCGATCAAAAGCAACGTGGAGACATGGTAATAAAAACAAACCGCAGGGAATAGCGCACATAGATTGTTCAAACCGCAACAAGACATCTGAACCCTATTCCCCAAAAAGACACTCGACCTTCTCTTTCACCATCCAATTTCCTACCACTATCAAACACTTCTACGGTAAAACAGGAAATATTGCTCAAAGGAGCTAGAGTATAATGGATATATATTAGGCTGAAATGTTACCATATTTGCCACCAACACCATGCAGAACCCAGAAACCCAAAGTTCTATGAATAGCCATGCTTTACTCCCTTTATCCAACAAGATAAACTTCATGACCCTGTCTTCATATGCTGTTGACATTACAAATGGAAACTTTAAAACCATCTCGCTGCTTGCTAACGCCAAAAATGTGCATCTTCGCATCTATCTAGAGTTTCCTCTTTCTAAGTGTCTTTCTTTCAGTCAATTCTCATACCCCAATATAAAACAGCAGCTGTATCAGGTTGGAGAGTCTCTTCGAGAAAATTTCGGCTCATGAAGGCTTCTTCCTCTCTGCTGCTATCGTCCTCGTGGACATAGAAAATCCGATATTCGATCTTAACGATGGAGATGTTGCTAGAACATGGTCGGACTTAGGGGTAATAGGTTGGCTTTGGGAGAAGTAATCAAGCTCATCTGCCTCATCCCTGCTCTGACTGTCCTTTCCGTAGTACAAGCTGAGTCCTTTGGCCGAGGTGTCGCCAACGTCTGGTTCGGCACTGCTGCTATCGGTATGGGAATCAATATCTGCATCCGAACTAAACGCAGAATGTGGTGTTGCCGTTTCTGTCGCCGAGGACGCAGGCATTTGACGATGGAGCCCCGGCGCCTTGGTCGAGGTTAGAGCCCTTTCGAGCAAGGGTTCCTTACTATTGTGAAAAGCATCGTCTGGTGATTGAGGGTTCGATGGAGCCATTGGTGACAAATACCGTCTTGTTATGCCCCAGTGAGAATTTGAGGCTCTTAGGGGCGGCCTGGAGGAGGGGTTCTTTGCGTTATTGACACCCTCTTCAACAGCCGCATTGTTCCGCGGCTCTAGAGTGTGAATGGCGCTACTGCTATTTCCCCTCTTTCTTCTCAAATATCCAGGCGCATTACGCAAACTTCCTGTCGTCAATCTCCGTAAATCAACTTGGCTGGGGCTGAAAACTACTCTCGCTCGTAGTTGCTGAACAGCAGCATCTAATGCCAACTCTACCGCACAGTGGTTCCGTACCCTGCTCAGTTTAGGCCACGTTGCTCGTTCACCAGATAGACAGGCCTGCACCATGAAATCCGAAGTTGGATTCTTCAGTATCCGAGGAAAGTCCTTGTAATAGATCTGCGGTAATATTGTGATGTCTCCGGAGTATTTCTGACTCAAGATCGATTTGCATTTCGTGACTAAGTTAGGGAAGACGCCTAGTTCAGCTAGGACTTGCATTCGATGTAAAGCCTCATCCTTAGCAAGACTCGTGATGGTGTAGACCCATCCTGGTCCGGAATCATTTTCGGACTGTGCCGCTTTGGTGATGGCATCGTCGTCCTTCACCAGAAACGGTACAACATGCGGATTAACTTGGGAAACAATAAAATGGTTCACGTTGAACATCTCTGCCAACCGAGTCATAGGGAGATCATTATCAACGCTGCCATCAATCCAGAGTTGGGGCGTGGGGTTCCATGGGTTGTGATCGCCGGTGAGGGGATCCTTCACCAGAAGTTGAGCTGCTGAGAATACAAATGGGACAGAACATGAGGCTGCAACCGCTGACCAGATCATAACGTTCGGAGCGGTGACATAGTTGAGTAGTCGAGGGAGTTCATACACCGATGCTGATGACACGCAAATGTTGAGTATCCGCCGAGTACGGTTGTATCCCTCTTGAAAAGTCATGTCGCCCAGCATATCATGCATCACTCTTGTTAAATGCTTTATATCGATCCACGATCCCTGGGTCAGAAGCCGCCGGAGCCGCTCAAGTACGCCATCTTCCTTGCCTTCTTCTTCGAATACAGCCAAATCACCATAGGGGAACATTTTCAGCACCTCCGGTATTTCTTCATCTGTCCGAGTACACAGTACGGCGCAAACAATGCTACCTGCCGAAGCCCCCGAAATTATTCTAGGAAGTAGTTTGGCCTCATGCAATGTCTTCAGCACTCCAATATGATTCATTCCAAACGTCGCGCCTCCACTGAGCAACAAGGCACTCCTTCCAAATGCTTGTCGTGCGTACACAATCTGTTCCAGGACATCTTTTGGGCCCAGCCCCTCGGGAAGATTATGTTTGCTCAATGCGACTATCGCTTGGATTGTGTCGAGGGTAGAATCGATATAGCGTTCTATAAGATCCTTCGTCCCAATGTGTGAATGTTTGTAGAGCTCAATGTTTCCCATGCCGCCCAAATCTCTCGACAAGGCGGTCCGCACCTGGTTGAGCATGAGTCTAACATCGCAGCTGATGCGCGCATCATCAAGTTGCTTCAGCCGGTCTTCGATCAACGCGGCATCAAATTCGGAAGAGGTTGAGTCCTGTTTCCAGGCCTCATTATCCTCGAGAATATCTAGCTCTTTTGCAGCGGCCTTCCATTGATCCACGGTCTCTGCGTTCTTCACTCTCAAGGCTAAAATCTGGCGCCTCTCTACGATCTTCGCCTGCGCAATCCTATCCTCCTCGGTCAACCCATCGCGGAGCGTTGCCACTGTATTATTAACCATATCAACTCCTCCCCTTAGTATCTTCGCTGCTGGTCCTAGGAGACTCCATGTTTGTTGTGAGAGGGGGGCATTGACATTGCGCCGTGCGCGCCCGCCATCGTCATTCTGTAGATATCCCTTAGTGGGGGTCGAAGTGGCAAGTAATTTTGGAGCATTGCTATCGTCGGCACACAGGAGGGAGGTCTTTTGAAGGTATTCTAGCAACACCATATTCTGTTCCGCCGCTCGCCATGGAAGTGCGCCCTTGCAAGCCCAAACCAAGGGATTTCCAACAAGCCTACTTCGAGCGCCAGCAGAGTGTGTGTGTGTCTGTGAGGGTCGGCGGTGGGAGTGTCGGGTGTCAAAGCCCAGATGCGGGTCTCGTAGGAGTTTTCGAATAGACTATACCGTTGATGTAGTGTATATATGCATTCGTAGGTAGGTACTCGGAGTAGGAAGTCTGCCGGAGAACCAAAGCAATTTAAGGATTCGAGTACTTGTACAGAAAGAGGCCGTGGGGTGCAGCCGTCATCCTTTTAGGCTATGCTACGTAACTGAAGGTTTGGGGCTGGTGGCACCGTAGCGCGGTAGCCGTGGTTGGCTTGGCCAGCACGAGCAGGGAACTTGTAAATCCGGGGGATCATGGGTCGAATGTCTAATAATCCGCTGACTCGTATTACTGTACTCTATAGCTCAGAAATAGCCAGCCACAAAACTACATGACATATGCTCTCTGCTCCATAAATCGACTACTGCTCAACCAGGATCAAGGTGGAACATCATGGCGTTTAACGTGACCTTAAACTACTCGTACTCGAGTACTTCGTAATACATGTTTATTACTATACCTCGGTAGGTACCTAGGTACTCTACTTACCGTTTGATCGTATTTGGGACCTGCAAACTCAACCCGACTACGACAAAGACACAAACACCCAAAACACGTAGAGGGTTGGTCCTAGTACTCTAAAGGTATCACAGTTTCTTTCCCGTGATCGTTCTGGAGTATGAATCCTGCATCACCGGAGCCAACCCTCTTCCTCTTCGCTTGGTGCCCCATCTCGATTGCGATGGGACGCTAACGAAATGCTCCCCTTCTAAAGCCAGGTTTCTCCAGTCCACACGGTTTATTTATTTCATTTCCGCATTTCAGTTTCGCATATTAAAGAGGACCGTCTTGCTTAGCAGGGCGGCCAAAAATATTAGTCCCTCAAGATGGAAAAAAACACGCTTTAGGTTGCCTGCCGAGTTATTCTTGCATGTGCTGGCGGTGTGCGCGTAATTTCCGGCTATTTCACGTTGGAGATATTAAAGATGCATATATTTTCACAAGGCATTGAAGTTTATTTGTATTTTGATATTGTGTTGTATAAAGGGTCAATGCGGTTTCTCTCTAAAAGGGCCGTTCGGTTCAAGTCGTGCTTGAACCAAGAGAGAAACAACAAAGGCATGCGAAGTGGATTAGTCGGAGACTTCGTCAAATCCCACAAAGCAAGGACAAGAGGATAGTGGCAAAACAAACAAAACCAGCGGAGATCCGCAATCGCAAAGAAGATAGGAATAACGGAGCTCCCAGGCATGCGATTTGTTTTAGTGTCGTACTTCTCGCTCGTCGCTTATCATGCCTCCGCAGTGCCCAACGATATGTACCAATAAGCCTAACTAACTCGGTTTGTATTGGTGTGGTGGTTGTTAGAATGAAACCCCTCAAATGTGCAAGCAGCGCATAACCCTTCTATGTGGGTGGTGGGTGTGGTCAACTTGTGACACTTTTCAGGATCATAGCCACTAGGATTAGTGAAAGGACAACGGCTAGCAAGCTGGTCCTCACAAGCGACTCCATCTAGCTTTTGGTGCCCACACCTGGTGTAAATTACAGTAACTAGCCAACACATCTTGATACCTTGTCGAGAGAGCTTGGAGTTTGGCTAGGTCGGTGTGGATGATGTGGTATCTTCCGGGCTGGTATGGTGTAAGTACGAAGTACCCCCAGTCTTGAAGATGCTACTTGCCTTGCAATTATAAGAAGTTAGAGAGATTACAATCCCTCTATGATAGGCAATATACAGGATCCCTTTTGTTGTTCAAGATTGAACAGCCATATCTTATTTTAGTTATTGCTCATTGCTTATTACCACCAACTGTTTGAAACTTTGAATTCTGTTTGACCAGAATCCTCTAAACTAGCAGAATATCAAAGCAATGTAGGAGAAACATTAACATTGGATGGCAAATCAGTCCCAGTGGCTAATGTTTGCCTGGCCTTAATTAGTCCTCACTACTAGTAAGCCATAAATTTCGTTCTCTGACTTCAAACCAACTGCAGGATATGTAAGCAAGGCTCTAATTAAACATATAGCCTAATGCTGTTATATGGGCACTTTCAGTCTTCCTAGCACCCCCCCACAATAGCCTTCCATAATGCTGTGCTCCTAGTTTTATCATTAGTAGCCAGCTTTCTAGATCAGATGCTAGCTCCAAAGGTGCCTTCCGTAGGATAGGCATGTGAAAATCAATAAAACTGCCCCGTAAATAAATACCTTCCCTTGTTTTGAGACAAATGAAATATGGTAAAACAGGTTGTTGGGCAGGGTGGGGCCAGACAAGACAAGCCGGGCCCACGGGTATCCCTCACCAGGACGCTTTCACATGTTATCACGCCAACAAAATAACCAAAACAAAGGTACCGAGATGCAAATTACAAATTACATTTATTTTCCGCTAATAAATCGCAACTAAAGCCAAAAATAGTGCAATACGTCTTGTTACTTCAAACGCCGAATTCCCCAACAAGGATTTCAGATGCATCCAAAATGTCGAGTTCGTAAATCTTCTAAAACCCATCAACACATGCAAATAACAACATCCACTCACCTATCACAAATGTCCCACATCGTTCCTGGGAACCAAATTAAATAGGGAGGGAGCCTGTTGCTCCCAATCCAGTCCCATGACACCCCGTGTTAGAAGCCATGTGGCTTGCGTGAGAAACTGCCTTTCTTCGGCGCTGAAAGCACCCACGAAGAGTGGAGTACACCATAATCATCGGGCAGGGCTAGGCTGCCCTCCACCTAGTGGTGAGTGTAAGCATATGGCGGTGAGAATAGAGGATGGGGGACGCTGCTATTAGCAAGCAAGCGCACTGTCCTCCTTCACATCACCTATACTTCATCGTTATGGAATGGGAAGCTTGGGTAGCACAGGGTATATTTGGATTGGGAGAGTTGCCAATAACAGAGGATTTTCAGCACCTTAGAAGGTTTGATGTCTCATGGATATGTAGAAAGGTCGGTAAGCAGCGACGTGAATTTGTAAGGTGCCATTCCCACCAACCATCGGAAGGATCTTGGCTGGGCTCGCGCATACATTCGGATGTGGAGTATTCGATTTTGCTTCGCGGACAAACTCCTTATCCTCGTCACTCAAGACACTATATTCTCCGGATGCACGCTGTAGTCCCAAAATAGATATGGAGTCCTTCCCAGTTCCGTCACCTTAGGGAAGTATTTGACGTTTATCGTGGAACACCTTGGCAGCCATCAACGAGGTTCTTCGGAGGATTACAGGCGTAAGGGGTAGCATCAATATGCTAGCGAATAAATTGGGTAGCCACCAAAATCACCCTTTCTTCTAAGGCTTCCCCTTAGAATCTCTTATGTTCTGGATGAACTAGGGCGACGTCCGTCACGTAGGCTTCACTCAACTCATAATGGCCATTACCGATAACCTGTTTTGTGATTGGTGGGGGGTGGTATTGAGATCTGGATGAAGAATAAAGCGTTTTCTGTCAGGAGTCCAACATGACCATAACTGCTGGAAGCAGGATCAAAGAGATGCCTGGACTCATATTAAGCTTTAAGGAAAGCACCAGCTTGGATTTTGAACAGGTCTTAGAGGTCATTTTGATAGCCTCGGATTTCTTCTGCGATCATGTTCTGGAGGTCGACTTTTCGATCCCAACTCTGAAATCGACGGTCGAGATAGAGGTGGAGATAACGAGACGAACTTGGAGAGTTTTGTAGCCATTTGAAAGAAGAGAAGAGGTGATCAGTGAGTAACAGGATGGTAAATTGCCTCGCCGATTCCGTAGAGTCTACTCAAACAAGTAGAGTGAGACCTAGCTAAATGTAAGGCGTTTTATTCTCACATACCTATTTGGGGTAAAGATTTCTACCCACGACAAAGGGTAGCTCGTCCTCTAGACTCGCAGACATTTGCAAACCTGTTTGCGCAGAAATGAAGGCAATCGATAACATATTAGAAGTTATCAAAGAAAAGCCAAGACTCTGCGATGCCAAAAGGCACCATGATCGCACGTGACAGTAACGCCACGATAAGATACCAAGTTGGGGCCTCAGGTTGTGGAGTGGAGCGCCACAACCGGCGTGCAAGGCTGAAGCATGGCTACGGCGGCCGAGAATAGCCAAATCCGCTCACTCCAGAAAGGTGTTCACAAGTGAGGTACACGGATTGAAGCTCCAGTAGGCCATCAATCACTCAGCACACCACATCCCCGAAAATGAAATTCCTACGCTCGTTATTACCGTCGTTGGTTCTCCTAGGTGTAACTGCTGTGGAGGCAGCTTCGTCATGGTCTTTCGACGAGGCAATTGTATCCATTAGCTCCAAAGGAGGAGCTGGAGGTGCATTTAAGGACAAGTAAGTTGGAATTCTCCTAATGCTCTTTAATTCCATGCCCATCCTGCGAATTATCGTGCTAATTGTAATTCGTACAGACTTTCCGACCATGTCCCCCTTTCGAAACCCGTAACATTGGGCGCGCAAGATACTCTCAAAATCATATTGACAGCTACTGAAGATGGCAAGGCGAAGCGGCCACACCAGGCCTTCTTGCTCCTCAGAGACCAAGATACTGGGCTAGAAACGACGTTTCCATTTTCCTTGAAGGATACTGGAAAAGGGAAGGTGGATTTTGTATGTGCCAAAACTCGAACTCTATGCCTACAAGCTAACCTTTACTGTTGAAGACACAAAAAGATCTCCCAGTCCAACTTCTACACTCCTCCAGACCTTTACGTGCAACTCTACTCCTCGCCTCGTTCGGCACCTCCCAGGCATTCAGCAACCATGTATTCAACTTGAATGTGAAGCTAGACCCAAGTGTTGCTCAGCCGAAATACGAAAAGCCATTGAGATACGGAAAGCTCGCTGAGATCAACCATATCTTCAAAGCAGACCCTAAGAGTGGTCCCGTTGTGATTTCTCTATTCTTCGTCCTTGCGATTGTGGCTACTGTGCCTATTCTTCTTGGAACGGTACGATGCACTCCTACCTCTGGGTAGCTCAATTGCTAATTATGAACAGTGGGCGTATCTCGGAGCAAACCTTGAGCACCTCTCGAAAGCAACAGCTACAGCGCCGATATCTCACGGACTTTTCTTCGCCTCCATTGTCTGCATGGAAGGGATTTTCTTCCTATACTACTACAAATGGAATTTATTCAAGACTCTGCCAGTTGCGGGAGTAGCTGGCTTGGTCGCTTTTGTGAGTGGAAGCAAGGCACTGTCTGAAGTGCAGAGCAGACGTCTTGCCGGTGAGCGGTAAATGTTGGGAAGCAAGGCGGTATTTGAATGGCATTGGAGGTTACAAAAGTTATGAGGCTCTGTATCAGCAGGTATCTAGGGAATGTACAAATACACAATATTCAGAATGAGTGAATGTGGGACGCAATGAGGCGTTTTCAATGCTACCTACCGCTACGACAAGCTGCTATGCAGCTATCAATGCATCCCACGGAGCTTGCTCCCGTCTCACCCCAGTCTCCAGGGCCGTCCTAAAACTCTTAATGATATGTGGTGTTGTTTCGGCGAGGCAGATCAAAAGCAACACCCGGTCGTAATGTCTAGGCTCTGTTTGTGAAGAGCCACTGCAAATATACCTTTTAACTAAAACTCATGATTCCCCAGTCACTCCGCAATATCGATACCATTTCCTTTCTACGCCATTCCACCCCGCGCCGGAACCCCTATTGTAGCATAACCTCAGCTCATTTTGACGTTGCTGAAATCCATCTCCGGGTGCTAAAATTATCGTTAGTCCCAGCGCCCAAAATATAGTGACAGGCTCACTTACCTGCGCCTTGAACGTTTCCAACATATCTAGCTTCTTCTGCTCATCGCTAGTTGGCTTCCCCAACTCCTTCTGCCGCTGATCAAACATCATCTTCTCGACCATCCCTCTAGTCTCGCCATCCAAATCCCCTAGCTTGCTACTCTCAGGCGAGATCTTCGTCACATCGATCTTCGGTGCGGAAGTAACAACGTGCGCCCACCATTCCATCTTATTGGCTTTATCTAGGTGTAATTCGAGGATCTTGGTACCCGAGGGAGAGCTCGTGATGGTCCATGTTGATTCGTCGACGTGAATCTCGTGGGGTAAATCGCCCTGTCATAATCCTCAGTATCTATCATTTTGGACCGGGCAGGAGTAGGGCAGCATACGCTAATAATGGGCTCCTGGCCCTTTACAGCGAGGAAGAGCTTCTTCTTCTTGATATCGACGTTCAGATCTTTGCCTTTGATATTTCCAGGGAGTTCGATGATTACGTCGAGGTCGCCGATTGCTTGGGTCCACTTGTAGGGCAGAGCGGCTTGCTCCTCAGCTTCCTTCGCGCGGGCCGCTACCACTTCTGCGGGGGTAGGTTCAGCTGTATAGAGTTAGGCAAGAACATTAATAGACAGTAGATTGAGGGCATGAAGTAATTGGCCTTACTGTTATCCGCCATGTTCGCAGATTTAACCAAGGGTGTAGTGGAAAGGTGTGTAGTCGTTGTTTGTAGTTCGTCAAGTGGGGTGTCGCTGCCGATGTAATGGCCTCCTACCGAGCTCGAAGCCCGCTAGACTATGGAGGAACCACTACGTAGTTTAAAATTGGCTTTTAAACTTATAAAATTGCTTATCATGCATATATAATAGGATATATTAATTTGTTCTCTATTTAATTATCTTGAAATAATGTAATTTTTTAATGTGCGTTACCTGTTTAACCACCACCTGAGAACAACACAGATTCGGATTAGACATATGAAGTAGTTTCCTACGAATCCGTTGCGATGGTTAGACTAGGATTGAGTTTGAGCTAAGACTGAGTACTTTCAGGCTTGTAGGTCTATAACATGAGCAAAGAACTTAGCTGGGGATTTTCATTTGCATCCTTGATTTTACTTCCCCTCGAAGACATCACGAAGAATGCAGGAAGTTCAGAAGCCCTTGATCGTAGCCACATAGCACGTTCCTTTGAGCGAACAGTGCTAAGTACCTTGGTACCTAGGTATACAGCATTGATTATGTAATAGTGGCTTAATAAGACAGCTCTTGGTAGTAGGGATCGGATTTTTCACGTTATATAATTATATAATATTGTAAGATTTACGTTATTATTATAAGAGGTGCTGCGTTATATAATTGCATAAAATTAAATACAACTCTTGTATAACTATGTATAAAAAGACCGAAAAATCAGGGCAAAAACTAGGTAAAACTATGCAGCTCTATACCTCCAACGCTTCACGATTATTAGTTATTTGGAGTACAATTTCGTCTTCAATTGCCAACAGATCGTCGTCAGTTAACTCATGCTCCTTCCGACTCTAGTACAGTACTCTACTATTCATATATATAAAGGAAAGTTTATCTATTGTCTCTATTGACATCCGGTTTCTTGTTTTTGTATAGAGATTATTGTAACTCTTTTATTATTCTTCCGACAAAGAATCCTAACAGAAGTGTTCTATTTCGTTTATGTAGCGAAGTAATATAGTGATCTCTTTTAATAATCTGTAAATAATGTTAAAGTGAGTGAATCACAGAAAGATTCAAGTATAATCAAAGTAAAATGTTATAATTGATATTCAAGAATCAAGTTGAATACGAAGCTCCTATCTAGTAAAGAAATTATATTATTTATATAGAACTTTCCTACTCCTAGATCTAGTTAGATCTAGATCTATTCAGATCTAAAGTCTGAACAGATCTAGATCTTCCTAGATCCTCTTCACGTAATCTTATCATATAATTTTCTGCTGTCACGTAACTTCGTTATATATTTCTATAGTTCTCTATAGTAATATAGTATATTACCCGAGCTTCAAGTTATAAAGTTAGTGTTCGTAATACTAGTTTTTATATAGTTTAGTATAGTCTTTTAACTTAAAAGTTATATCGAAAACGTCGAACGTCAGATATAGCTTTTCTTCTTCTTTAATATAACTTCAAATTACGATAAACTTAAGAATTACAGACTATTTACTGATTTTATAAATTCTGAGAATAACGAAATAATACTTTATTCAAATTATAAAAAGTATAGTCGGACTTATATGTTACGAACGCCAACCTTATGGCCTGAGGCTCGGGTAATGTGCTGCATTACCACAGAGAACCATGGAGGCATGTGACGAGGTCACGTGACGGCAGAAAATCATGTGATGAGATCACGTGAAGAGGAT